TTTTCATTGGCATCGGTCTTTGATCTTTTGTTGAAGTGAAGCGAATATTGTGACTGAATGCTCTGTCTTTGTTTCCAACTTTATTGTTAGTATTTGTCTTTTGAATAGGTATGGAATCGACGAACATCACTTCTTTTACCTTGCCCGATGCCGTTGGTGGTCTGTCTTCTGGTTCATTGTCGGCAATTTTATCGAAGTTTTGGGTTAGTGTTTGGACTGACTCTTGGCCTGCAGACTCAGTCCATTGAAGTTTAAAGGTTTCTTTTGTAATCTTTCTTTTCTGACTTTCTCTTGCTTTGGTTCACTTTGAATATTCTTCTTTTCTGGACATTTTGGAGCTATGTGACCTACTTTATGACAGTGGTGGCAAGTTAATGTTTTAATCATCTTGGGCTGATATACTTTCTTTACATCTTTTTCTTTCCTGTAAGTATGGTCATCTAAAGTTGAATTTTCTTTCTGCAGAGATTGAGTAAGTTCCCTTGCAAATTGGGAAAACCTTTCTTCTGTTATGAATCTCTTGCGGTTGAGGCGTCGTAATTCAGAAGGTTTCTGTTGGTGGTCAGTTGTTGAGGACGAGACATGATTTCTTCTTCTAAAACTGTCTTTACTGGCTTGATGATGGATTATCATATCTACTGCTTCTGAAATGGTTCTTGGAGTTCTTATTGATATTTCATATGCCATTTGCTGATCTTGGATTCCTTTCAGAAGGTATTCGATGGCCAATTCTGCATAAGTTGTGGTGCCAACTATGTCTGGGTAAGCCTTTGACATCATGGTCTGTATCTTGGAGGCGTATTCTTGGATGTTTTCTTTTGGACATTTTTGGATATTTTCTAATTTAGCTCTATAAGTTCTTGTTGGTATTCTGTGGCTAAAACGTTCTTTCAGTGCTTTGATGAAGAATATTGTGTTGCTTCTAATACTGTACGATAGATTGGTAGTGAAGGATGCTGCATCCCCTCTCATACATAATATCAAGTTGTCTCTTATGTTGATTTCGTCCCATCTGTATCTTTTGCATAGAATCTCAAATTTCATCCAGAAACTTTCCATTCAAATTTGGTTTCCCCAAAAGAAATAAGGGTTTGATAGTCCTGTGGTTCATCATAGTGTCCCCTTGGCTGTAATGTATGTAATACTGGGAATATATGTTATCAATGACTCTGGTCTTTGATGCGCTTGTTACAGTCATGAGTGTTAAGTCTAAGAACTATTGAATTGGGAGAGTATGTTGTTGTGAAATATTCTTCTCTGGTTTCTGCTTTTGTGATTGGAGTTCTTGTAAGTTCGTTTTTCTAACAATTTGGACCTTTTTCTGAAGATAAAGGACTCCCTTGACTGTGTCGTTGTGATGTCAAGAAGTATGGAGGCCAGTTGGTCCCCTGGATGTTTCAATAATGGGTCCGTTCCATGGTAGTAGTTTTGTTCCTTTCTCTGGTATGCAAAAAAGGGGTTAGTTGTAATTTTTGTGGAGAAAAAATAACAAGTCCGTAGAAGTAGACAATCTTCCTTCTGACGTGTTGATGCCAACATTGGTTTGAAGTGTTCTGGATAGCGGTTCCATCTCAGTATTGTGTTTGCGTGTTTAGCAGCTGGTTATGTTTGACTTTGAGCTTTCTTCGTCCATTTGACGAGGTTTGACAATATGAAGTTGGAATCTTCTTTCGTATTATTTCGGAGCCAATGTACGGACGAATTTTGATAATCTTTTATTTCGGAGCCTATATACGGACAAACTTTAAAATTAATAATGGTTTGCCAAGTGAAGTGCCTTTTAGAATGAATTTCTTTGAATTTTATATTACAGATCTAGGCCAAAAGTTTTCTGATTATACACACTATATAGCCTAAAATGTGTGTTTGCGAAATAGGCACTATCGGACGCTGAAAATAAAGTTGTAATTAGTTAGGATTGACTATGTACTTCATAAATCAATAACTTTGGTTGCTATTGATCTCTGTACTTGTGATTTTTATTTCTGGGTAAGGGACTCTTTGGGAATTGGCCTTTATATGAAATTAAAGAGGTAAAATAGGCCTGGCTGGAAGATAGAAAAGAATTTTACAACTCTAGGATCATATATGACACGCTTGTGCTTCCAGCTGCCAGAACAGTATAGCCAGAAATATATAATCACCTATTATTGTATTACTAATAGAACGATTACCCCATATAACATCCAGCTTTGCCGGACTGCCCGCAAATGTATAGCCGGAAGGATGTCAATGTATTCACCGTCCTACCTCATATGAAATTAACTGAAACTAAGCTGTTCAGACTTGTGACAAGCTTCAACCTTCAGGCCGCCCCTATCAGTTGAAATAGAACAGATCACCCAGTAGCAGTTGAAGGAAGAAAAGATAGGTTAAGAGCGTTTACTGATAATTGACTTCACTTTATTGCTATTAATTGATTTTGAATTCAAAAATTCAATTTGACAAAAATCTTTAGTTTCAAAAATACAATAATTTACTTATTAAAAATGAACTACTCCTGAGTTGAGAAAATTTACTATTTTCAAAACTATCCTGATTCTGACACCATTGTTGTGGTGATGAAAAATATGTTTAATAAGTGGTTTCTAAAAATAGAAGCAGGCCTCTATCCCACTTGGCACCATTGTTGTGGTGTTGAAAATTAAAACCTTTTTGATTTCTATTAATAGAAGTTAGTTACCTATTACCTAATGTTCTTAGTTTGCTCAGGAGTACTCTTTAATAGGAAAAAATCTAATCGTCAGGATGACACCACCCTTTGAATGCAAATGGAAATAAAACACAAATGTTGAATAAATTTAAATCAACCAAATTTTTAATGAACTAAGCTTTTATTTACACTTAACTAAAAGTTACTTAAAACTATTCAAGTTGACAAAATGTACTTTAATATAAACTGTCTGTAATTAACCAAAAATATGAGAATAGAAATAAACTAGTGAATAAAAGATTTAAACCAGTTGAAAGTTGCTAAATTGTAATAACTGAAAGTATGAAAAATAACATAAATGATTCTGCGCTGTTTAACTTATAAACCTAAATAGTAGCAAGCCCTGTTTTAATCAGCATCAACAAAAAATAAAGATCTAATAATTCAAGATGGCTGCCACTTGAAACAAAGAAAAGATATTAATTAATCTTAATTAATTCTGTAAGAATAATTACTTAAATTACTTACAAATGTATCAAAAATGTTTCAGTGAATTTAGATAATCTCTAAGGTTCATTTAAATGCCAAAGTGCCTAAAATAAATTAAATAATTAGTTAATTAACCTTAGAGAGCTTTTAGAGATCTTACTTTTCCAAAAATTAGCAGCAGAATGACAAAATTGTCTGAGATGCTTGTATAAATGTACTTCTGAATCCCAGAGGGAGCTAGCATCTACCTACAGGTGGCACTGTATGTAACAACTTATCTGATTGGTCAAATTACAGCCAACCAGACTTTACTTAACAAATGCTCTAGGCTTATCAGCTCTTTACATAACTATTCTAAAAATAGATTATGATTCATGGAAAATTTTGCAACAGTATCAATTGACCATGATCACAAAAATAATAAAGTAATAAACTTTTACAAAAATATTCTAAACAATAAATCTAGAAACTAATATCAACTAAACATATTTACAAACATATATAAATGCTAACTCAGTAACTTGTATCCTACTAAGTTTAAAGGCCAGTATAAGTTAAAGTAGAACCATTCACTATATATTGTATGTAAGGAGTCTTAGGCCATGCTAAGTTACTGTTAAAGAGTGTATCAATAAGTTCTTCAAACTATAATCAACATTAAACTAATGAATGATAAGAATGAATGATTCTATAAAATAATACATGTCCAATATGATAAAACTTTAAAATAAACTTAAATTAAATCTTAAATCTAAGTAAAAGTTTAAATCCTTATTATTTATTAAAAATATATATGTGAAGATTATACATGTTATACTTCTTGAGTAATATTATACAACATTATGTAATGATTATGTAAACTGTTGTAAGTGGAATCCAACTTTACAACACATCCATATATTACTACAAATAAAGTCTTTATGTATAGTATTATATAGATGAAATTAAAAGAACTACTTTCTGTTGTTGTTTTACTAAAATGTTGTTTTAGAAACATTCTGAATAAAGAAATATTTAATTTATCCTAAACAAAGGGGAGTGGTCGTGAACATGTAAAGTATCCAAGCCACGCACCGACTGGCTGTGGCATTTTTAAACCAACATTGCTTTATTTATAGCAATGTTGTTTGAACTGCTTTTTTATACAAACCGTCGTATGTGGCATATTTAATAATAGGATTGTAATTGTAATTAAGACATTTCACATGTAAATCATATAAGAGAAATCTAAAGAAATTCAAAGGGCATTCAAATTAATTATACAAACGCTGTAAACGTGTAATTAAATTGTTTAGATGAAAATTGTTTACAATAAATTTAATACCGATTTTAAACGAACCTTGTCCATTGTCTTCAACATTGTTTTAGTTTGGTTTTGGTCAAAGTGTCGTTGGGTAAATATCAAAATACATAAACTGGTGCTATGGAATGTAAGAGATGTTCATTTTATCATTGTATCTCACGGAGAAAAATAGACAAACAGTCTGCGATGTTTCTTTATTTTTAGTATCATTGCATTTCCTTTTCGGTATTTGTAAGGTACGCTTTGTAATCTCTAGTCTTACAGAAAACTCAACAAATCTTATTTCACCAGATATTATTAATAAACGCCATTGCTTTTGTGTATCAAGAGAAACTTTCATTTCTTCAAACACTTTTCCAATAATCAAAGTGTGCTTCTTTTGCATTGGGAGTGATGTTTTTAGACAGGTATTTATTCTTTTCATGACGATGTGATGGTAATTCTGAAACAATACCGATTTGTTGTCGGGTTTTATTCTGTTTTTCCTTTTTCAAGTATTTTTTTTACGATTGAAAAATGTTAGATTCAATGCCTGTGTCTATATTATTATAATAGCAATTTATTAAGTCTATAGCATAATGTTCATATATTTGTTAAAAGATTTTATATAAAGACTATCATCATTGAATAATTCAAACAAATATCAGTTGGAGCAATCTTGAAGGTGACAAGGCTTTTCACTATATTCATTGCCATGACAATCCTGAGTGTTGCCCGTGGAGCAATTTCTCTTAAGCTGAACAAAACCTACTCCGCACGTGACGCTACAAGGCGCGGCTTCGTAAAATGGCATCCAATCTGAAATGGATAATAAATGCATGAGTACCATTTATTTCACGATGAATCATATCTTTGTCTATCTTACTGCATATATTTGATTGTTATATAATTAACACTCATAGCATAGTATATTTTATATCTAATTACTTTAGTATTTTTCCTACTTTTTCGTCAAATGAGACAGGAAAATGTCTGAAACAGTCTGCCAGTCTTATTATCATAAACCATCTTCTACTTACTTTATTTGGCTTTTTTTTATCAAAATATCGCGCCTATCTAGTACGGGCGCATGCCTTCGAAAAGTAGGCTAAAGACTTAGCTAGTAAGACGCTTACAAGAAAAAGACTGTAGCTGTTTAAGATAAATGTGTGAAATATGGAGTTTATCTTTGTTTTCATAAATATATAAACGCATATTTGATTGGCATAATAATTTTAAAAAGATGGCCTTATTTAGTTACGTGGACAATCTTTAGCGTTGCACGTTGAAGATTCGTTTCTTAAACCAAAGCAAAAGTTTCCGCCATTTTGTGGTGCCGGATTATTGCAGTCTCTTGTGCGACTTTGACTTCCGGTCCCACACGTGGCAGAACATGCGCTCCATGGTTGCCAAGGGCTCCAATTTCCATCTACTAAAATTATTTTAAGAGAAAACATAATTATTTCATCAGATTGAATGTCAATTTGAAATTACAAATGATATGAAAGAAGGCAAAGTCTACGAAAGAAATTCCGTTTATTTTTTTATTTTATTTTAGATCTACATTATTTTTCGTTTAATAGGTGTCATTTGGTATTTCATGCACAGAAGCAGCGAGCCTCGCCTTTGAGTCCCCATATTAAATGTTACATATGCGTGTTATGACGCAAATCTTTTTACGATATCTCAAATAACGAAATAAAATGTTATATCATATTAAAGTAATAATTACATCACATCTGAGCAATTTTTCACTGATAAAGGATACAGAATGTATGATGGCCGGCTGCGGCCATTGCAAACCCGCGAGAAATTTTACCGTTTTATCATTAAATGTCGCGGGCAACTTACAACGTTTGAGAATATCTGCCGAAATCGTACATAATATCGACAAGAATGTATAAACCTCGATAGTTTATAACAGTTGTTGGAACCAGCGAGGAACATTTTGACTCAAGTGGCCGGTAGCGTCCATGGTTCGACTTTACATTTATCCCTCGTTTGTGTAAAAAAAAGTCGAGGAACAGAAAGAAATTCAATTTTTGCAAGTGTTATAGAAATGGGAAAAATTATAGACACCAACAACGGTCTCTATAATATCGCGGTGAGTTATAGCAATATTCAGTTTCTACTTTATGCGCGTATTTCTTTCAAATTCATCCAAATCCCGTTTTACTTACGGGTGAATCACGCTGAGCAGTCGGAATTTCATAAAAGTCGCCAGTAACAAAACCAACTACTTTTTTTTAAAAGAAGCTGCGACTTTTTAAAAGAGACATTTCATAAAAGTCGAGGCTCAATGCTCAAACTCGATTGTTTACAAGGTATGCATCAAAACAAAATACCGCGGATCATTATGGCCGCAATCGGCTACCTAAAGTAGGCACATGTTTGCGTGGCTAAGTCTGCTATGTAGATAGAAAAGGTCGCGGTTTCCTTCGTAAAAATCGACTTTTTTGAAAAACTCGAGTTTCTTTTCGCCGCGACATTTATACAATTTCGACTTAAATCTCGCGGATTTAAAAGTTACCTGCGACATTTTATTAACTGGCGGTAAAATGACGGCTTTAAAAAAGGACGCTACCTCCCTCCATAAGAATGTTTTTACATAAAAAAAATAGTTCAAAAGTTATAAAGCAAAATTTGCATTTTTATGAAACTACATTTGTCATCACCTATATTTATATTTATTGTCATATCGTAAACACTCATCAAAATACTTCGTTAGATTAAAATTAAAATCTCTAAAAGGAATATTATACCTGGCTTATCGGACGTCGTGTTTGTTACTTGAGTCTCCAAATCTGAAAAAAATCTAAATCTTGATAATCTGTTTTGAGACGTTGTGGGTTATCACAAAAATTGATGAGAAGTGAGATTTTTGCATAAATAACCTGCTTTGAACAAAAAGGCATTTTCTCACTATTTTCATAAAATTTTCTCCCAATTTAAACGCAAAACTTGTCTATCTATCATGAGTACTTCAAAAAGAATTCCCTCTAAATTTACATTAAACTTGTCTGATCTCTGTGAATACAACTATATTCATTGCCATGACAATCCTGTGTGTTGCTTGTTGAGCAACGTCATTATGTGTTTTCCATGGAAGCTGGTCATATAAAATTATAACAACATTAAAAAAGGTAAACCAAAAACTTACTGTATTGACATATCCAGTTATACGATATAAGTGTCCCAAAAACCAGAGCATTGCAATCAATGTCGTTCCATTTTCCATATCTAGAAACGACCATAACAACACAATCTTCCTGGTCGTGATATGGGTCAACATATCGCCCGGGAGCCCAATTAGTATAATTCACTGTGGCACCTACGGGCAATGTAACATGTATGGTGATAATGGTGGCATTAAACTAAAGAAAAAGAAAACAACGCGTTCAGTGCCGATTCGCTTCATGCCTCGTCGCAAATTATGAAAGAACCAACATATCGTGCAATTTTTGTCTTTACGAATAAAAGAAAAACACATTGAAACGAATATTTTTTAATGTTGTACTTCTATTAATGGCGTATCGCAAAGTTTGAAATAATCACTATTTCTTGCAATTTGTGTCATTTAGAATAAGAAAAAAACGAACGTTTTTATTAATGGCATATCAAAAAATGTGAAAGAAATTGTTACAAATTTGCTCCGTGTCTTATAATAATGACAACACTACTTTATAATTAAAATTACAAAAATCAAAATGTTTGACTTATCAACCGAACAACAAAACATGGATATTTCTTTAAATTCTTCTTAACACCGTTATGTCTTCTGGTCCAACTTATTTCCGGATTTTACTGCTTATTAACGTTTATTTCTACAGTTATTACTACAAGGAATTCCACAAAATCTGTCTAAAGTTATTAAAATTACATGTACTACCTTATTATAATTGAATATAGTGTTATATTGATGTTTGATTATATATGAATCACATACTTAACACACACAGTTTCACTACCATTACTTATAATGATAGCTTAAAAATGGGTATTAATTAACAAAGAGACATAACAACATAATTATAGAGATATGTTTATAACCAAGCAAGTTGCGTGTGGATACTACCATTACACATGTATTTTATATTAAAAAAATGTTACCGCTGTCCCAATTATATTGCCCTTCGTTAACCCGATCATCTAGTCCTAACCATAGTTTCGGTATAACATATACTTTTGAAATAAGATTCAAAATAAAAGCTTGTTCTCCAGCGTTTGTTATGGACAACATATGTCCTCCTTTACTATGACAATCTGTTCTGGCGTGCATCCAGCTACCAACTGTTGGAACGTACTCGTAACATTTGTCTCCGTACACGTGAATATACTGTGTCGGTACTCGCTGAGTCACGTGAGATGGGCATATAGAGCGCACTAAAAGAAGAAATAATTCCTTCGTCATTAGTTGAAATTTGATTTGAAAATTTCTCATATGTCTTTTAGCAAACAAATTTTTGTTTGGTGTAGTAACTTTGTTTGAAGACTGATATTCTTCATTGGGAGCCTGGCATAGAAGTCTGTTTTATAAAAAAAAACTCCTTCTTCGGAATTGTCAAAAAAGCCATTTTTTCTTATGCATGTCTATTTTTATTAACTTAACATGCTCGTTTCGCTTGTTGATTTATGAATACTGTTTGCACAATAATATTTTTCCCAGGAAATTGACCTCGGTGATTCTTGCAATATTCAGTATGCATACGTAAGCTAAATACAAATACAGAGAAGAAAAATATACAAGTATTATTCATAAATTCAATATTTTATCGATACATTTGAGCCGAGTCATATCAAAATCAACATAGTGCATTTGCGACCAGCATGGATCCAGACCAGCCTGCGCAGTCTGATCAGGATCCATGCTATTCGCTATCAGTTCCTCTACTTGTAACACAGTTGGTAAGCGAACAGCGTGGATCCTGATCAGACTCTGCGGATGCGCAGGCTGGTCTGGATCCATGCTGGTCGCAAACGCACTATGTTGATTTTGTCGTGACGCAGCTCATAGGTTTTTAAAATTTACCAGAAAGTCTATGGTCTGATTTTGCTGTTGTTCCAGGACTGTTATTCGTTACTACATTTTCTGTTGACACAGTTGACGGCTGTGTATATACGGCGTTAGAAGGTGTCGTCGTTTGTCGTTCCGCCGTTGTAGATGACAACGCAGTGGATGGCAAATCTTTAATATTAAATTTAATATTGATGTAATATGACGAGAATTATTTAAAAAATATTTTCTCATATCTAGAATATCAGTAAACTGTCCACATGCATCCGCTCAAACTATTGTCATTAATTCCGCAATAAAGTAAGAGATATAATATTGCATTTTCAAAACATGTCTTCTGAAGTTGCTTTATAAGCCGGTGCTAGGGGGCGTGGACGGTAGCTTGCAATTACCACTACCGTCCATGAACAAGTTCATTTAAATCGAGCCTGCAACATTTTCAATTTTGCAGTGCTGGCTTTCTTGAGGTATTCTGTTTTTTTTTCTCTATTTTATAAAGTTTAACATTTTGTTGGTCAAAATATATATTTGTAGTACAATTAAAGATTATGCAAAGGTGTGATTCACTTTATCTCATTGTATATCTGCAACACTTCTGACGTTTAAAGTATATAATATAAAATATTAAATACTGCATACAATTCGAAATTTTATCGCCTTTAACCAGCAAAACTATTACATATACAAAATGTACTCAATCTGGAAACACAAATACAATTAAGCAACCAATGCTATCATTAACATCTAAATGTCACAGTGTCGTTACAATTTTTTTGGTCCTTCAGAATCATTGTTTCAATTAAGGTTTGTGTTGAGGATTGAAAACCGCTTAAACCCCTGCTAGTGAGCCTGGAATATGCTGCATTTTCATTATTTTACCAGAACAGACTCAATATACGTACCGAGTCATCCTGTCAATTTAATGCTTTTGTTTTTCTTCGTTTATGAGGAAAGTCCCCTTCTCAGAATTTTCATGTTATTTTCAGAAAGTTTAATAATTTGCCTAATATTCTTTCTAACCGACTCTTATTATTGAATTTTTATTTTTAAGATGTTAATTGGGTTTTAGGGACTCTGACATTTGGCTTAACTAATCATTTAAAGGCATATTATGGCTCAGAAACAAATGAATTTTTACTTCCTTAGAAAAGGCAAACATTATGTTTTTAAATAACATTCTAACACTCATGTGATTTTGTCACTATAGACAAAGAAGGAAAAAAACTGGTGTTAAACTGCTAGGGACTACTTGTATATGCGCTGTTATGTTTTCACCCTCGATTGTATTGTTTACAAAGCATTTTAAAGCATTAATAAAAAGCATTTTTATCTATATTTTCAGTTCGTATAATGTTTTCTTTTCATACAATACCGAAATAATATCTCACATACACTAACGCCACATATTAGATCCATATCAGTTAATCAATATTTTGACAAAACGGCGCCAATCCGTAAGCAGCGTAATGACGTCATCCTAAGTAAACAACTCATTCATAAACAAGCTGATGTTATTTCATACATACAAGAATGATAAATGGGGCACTGATGTAAAAACAATACGACGTAAGTTTTTATTGTTGAAAAATAGATAAAATAACGTTTTTTTTTCTTATTATTGCTTTTGTTTGATAATTTCTATATCTTCGCAACAGTAGTGTGCGAAAATCGAACAGCGTTATACGAAAATCGGCACCGGAAGTTATTTCCGCTTGAAAAATAACATTTGTGATTTTCCTTATTTTATCGTGTTAGAATCGAAATAACATCGACCTGAGGGGTGTATATCGGCTATTTAACACCGGTTTTGTCGTTTTGATGCGACAAAATTAACCACTCAGGCCTACGGCCTTCGTGGTCAATTCCTACGCATAACAAGAGGGCCATGATGGCCCTGAGGTCGCTCACCTGTATATAGGCCAGCAACCCCCACACCAACGTTGCAGGGCCAATTTAACCCAGGGGCTTTTATTGCACAAACTTGGTAGACACCCATAAGAAAATGTTTCATGCTAAACATCTCAGCTCTAGCTCATTGGGCTTTTTAAAAGAAGATTTTTTTAAAGTTTTTACTATACACATATAGTTAAAAACAATGACACCCCTGGGGCGGGGCCAGTTTTGACCCCAGGGCTTTTATTTGAACAAACTTTGTAGACACTTACTAGAAGATGTTTCATGCTTAATATCTAAACTCTAGCTATTTGGGTTTTTTCAAAGAAGATTTTAAGTTTTTGCTATACACATATAAAGAAAATCAATGACCCCCGGGGCGGGGCCAATTTTGACCCCAGGTCTTTTATTTGAACAAACTTGGTAGACACCTATTAGAACATGTTTGATGCTAAATATCTTAGCCATAGCTCTATGAGTTCTTTAAAAGAAGATTTTTAAGTTTTTACTATATGCATATAAGGAAAATCAATGACCCCCGGGGCGGTGCCAATTTTGACCCCAGGGCTTTTATTTGAACAAACTTGGTAGACACCTATTAGAACATGTTTGATGCTCAATATCTTAGCTATAGCTCTTTGGGTTCTTTAAAAGAAGATATTTTAAGTTTTAACTATATGCATATAGGGAAAATCAATGACCCCCCGGGGCGGGGCCAATTTTGACCCCAGGGCTTTTATTTGAACAAACTTGGTAGACACCCATTAGAACATGTTTCATGCTCAATATCTTAACCATAGCTCTTTGAGTTCTTTAAAAGAAGATTTTTTAAGTTTTAACTATATGCATATAGGGAAAATCAATGACCCCCCGGGGCGGGGCCAATTTTGACCCCAGGGCTTTTATTTGAACAAACTTGGTAGACACCCATTAGAACATGTTTCATGCTAAATATCTTAGCTCTAGCTCTTTGGGTTCTTTAAAAGAATCTTTTTTAAGTTTTTACTATATGCATATAGGGAAAATCAATGACCCCCCGGTTCGGGGCCAATTTTGACCCCAGGGCTTTTATTTGAACAAACTTGGTAGACACTTACTAGAAGATGTTTCATGCCAAATATCTAAGCTCTAGCTCTTATAGTTTTTTAAAAGAAGATATTTAAAAAAATTTCTTTCGGTTGCCATGGCAACCAGAGTTCTGCATGGAATTAAATTCTTTGAACAATTTTTAAAGGTGACCACCAAAGGAACATTCCTGTGAAGTTTGGATGAAATTGGCTCAGTGGTTTATGAGGAGATGTCATTTAAAGTAAAAGTTTACGGACGGACGGACGACGGACGGACGGACGGACGGACGCCGGACGAAAAGCGATCACAAAAGCTCACCCTGTCACTTTGTGACAGGTGAGCTAAAAACTCCAAACCGGTGTTAAATAGCCGATATACACCTCATAGGCCGATGTTATTTCTTAAATATTAGATCATGTTAAATGGATGTTTCCCTAAAAAAGTAGTACTAAATGTGAAATAATTTGTCACAAAATGTAAACAACGAAGTATTTAGGCTTCTATACAAAATTATCTTTAGTAATAAGTCAATTGCATAAAAAATATCTACAACATTTGTGATATAAATATTACCCGTAACACAAAAATGACACGTCTGTTTACAATAAACGCTTGACCATGGCACAAAGCTTCCATGGCAAATTTTATCCCCGCCATAGAGCGCACAGTCTGGGCTTAAATCCACACATGTTATAATCGCCCCTGTAACAAAAGTAACCGTTCGTATTTTTATGAAATACATATATATATATTATGACTTAAATATAACCCAGACAACATTTTAAATGAAAAAGAAACCATTATAATAAGAAATGAACAAGACTTGTACGGGCCCAATATATCAACCAGGTCATCCTGTAAATTATATTTGTTTTCCCTCCCGCGACCCAAGCCAGTTTGGATATGATAGGATTATCCCAGTTTGTATATTTCCAATTCAAATAAAAATGTGATTCTCATTGATAGACTTTGCTACTATGTTTAGCCACTCATTTTCAGAGTCCAAACAATCTATATCATTTGCACATCATACTCCATCTAGCCTTGTTTTCATTTTTGAGTCAAACTCTTATTGTACTTGAAAGGACAAAGGTACAAAAATGTCAAAAAATGGTAGTATGAAAAAAGAGGTCAATAAATACTTTTGAGAACAATACTGATTTTTCTGGACACGTACACAGCTACCTGGTACCATAAGCTATCTTAAACTGGAGCAGAGTAATAAAGAATAGTATCTTTATAATGTTTTATTTAGTCTATCATATTTATACCAAACTACCTTAATCAAGAAAAAAAAGACACAAAAGCTCATAGTTACAAAACTGAATTGATATGATAATACCAATATTGATCATATTATAGTAAGTAAATAATTAGAATGTCTCGACTATTTTGAAGCTTTAAAATTTCAGTTACAGAATGGAAAAAAATGTTACCTTGGGTGGTAGAATAAAACAGAACAAATCCGATAAAACAATAAAAATGAAAGTAGAATACAGCGTTTTTATTGGTCACCATATTTGTAATAAGTTGTCGTCTGCTCCTACACATTTATCTTTCATTATGTAAACACCGACAAATTCGTCGTGAGGTCCCCGTGTGTTTGAAGTCTCCTTATCTTGAAATTATGTAGTTCATTCCAAAAGTTTATAAATGGATGATCACATTGTTGTTGCCGCTCAAGAAATTAAGCTATCGTGTAGAATATTTTATGAATTCAATACAAAAAAAAAGAAATTCGCTGAATTTAATAATTTTATTTCTTACACCAACCACTACCAATAATTTACTCATAAAGCATTAAATATTAAAACTTAATAACTTTAATTTAGCACAAAGTACATGTACTGTACAGATAATCATACAATTTCAGAATAACTGTACAGATAATCATACAATTTCAGAATAGAACAAAGCAAAATAATGAATAAGATCGTAAATTTTGTAAAATAGTAAATAATCAATACTTCAAATCTGTTTCCTATGTTGAGCTCGTGATTTTTCAAAAAAAGAGAGGAAAACACAATACATTTATTTATTTTTTTTGAAAATCGTGTCACATTTAAAACATTCAAATTTTGTGAATTTCTGTTTGTTGTTAAAATACTTAAAATGAAATCAAAGTTCTGCTTTAAATAAAATCTAAATTTCTTTCAGTTATGTTTTGGTGTCTTTCAGCTTATAAAAAAACAAAAATATATTTTCAAAATATTCAAAAATACTTTTTGGAACATAATACTGGTAGCATTAATAATTTCTTTGTTTTAAGGGATGGTGAGCAAGAAGTAATCATTAAGATGCCTACAAGTTAAAAATTAGTATAACAATATTAGAATTTATAAGGATAAGAACAGGGCTTCCGATTTTACAAATTTTAGATGTTCACTTGAATTACATATATGGAGAAGAACCACGCCGAACCAAGTTCGGCGAATTAATTCTCCAAAATTTGCAGTACAAGTCCTTTTTATTACCCCTCACTTTTTTCGTAATGCTAATTTCCCATAGGCCTCTGGGAGTTATTTTTACTGTTAATGCAAGTGTACCACGTGACTAAGAATTTTGTACTGTTACATAGGTAACAGTATTTTTTAAGAGGTCACGTGGTCTATTTCCTAAATAAAATGAAATAAAATGGCCGCCATTTTTCTCTCGATTCATTCTTATTTTCAACGTTAAACCCCGATAGGACATCAATTTCTCCTCTGGAGTCCCTTTGACACTCATAAAATTTAGTTGTTTGCAACCTGGTGTGCTTTTCGCGTATAAAATACCTTTTTGCTGAATAGTCAAAAAGTGAACATCCGTTTTCAACGGAAGTAATTGCAATGTAAATAATTATGTGTCAAACTGGAACATGCAGACGATTTAAGCATTCAACAAAGGATTATTTAACAAATTTAATCAGTGAAACGTTACAGATATGGTGGACATAGGATATCATCGTTATTTTGTCAAAAACCATGCTAAGAATATTCTGGAAACAGAAGGATCAGATTTCACAGATCATAACCGTGTAAATGGGTTAGTGTTTTGTTTCCTAAATAAAACCTAGCTTATTGTATGTTTATGATTTGTAAATATCATCACTTGCTAAAAGAATGAAAGAAAAAGAAAACTTCTCAAGTAGGCCTACAGTAAAGTACACTTAAAACTTAAAAGGTAAGGACAGTTTAGTTATTGTTACTCTTGGTTTATTTTTGTTACAGTAAGATTTAGTTGACAATTTCAGATCATCTCAGTATTTTTGTTCGGGGTAATAAAATAAATAACACATGGGTTTGTGAGTAACAGTAAAAATATCATCCCTCGTAAAAATACTGTTACCCTCGGCTACGCCTCGGGTAACAGTATTTTCCTCGGGATGATATTTTTACTGTTACCCACAAACCCATGTGTTATTTATATAATCACACATTGTCTTGTCACTATTTTCACATTCCGGTAGATTTGACAATTTACATCAACAGTATCATTGTTACTCCCGATCCTCCTGTATTTATATTGTACTAATGATAAAATCCAGTTTAAAGACACGTTTAATTCATTTGAAAAGGTATTGTATTTTTTTCCTATATTCATAAGACGCAAAAACCAGCCAAGTATGCACAGCAGCATATGATTGTCATCGAGTTATTGTTTAATAGCCAACATAAGTGAAAAAATGTATGTGCTGTACAAATCAAGTTACAGTTATCACAAACGAAAATAATGTGTAAGAAATGAATGCGGTTATGTTAATCAATATATAGTTAACACAAACAAACACGTTGAACATGGATGTATTCACCAATCAATAAACGGTTATCAGGAACGATCATATATTGAACATGAAATATGATGTATAAATCATTACACAAACGTATATAGGAACACGGTGTTGAAGTCGATACATAGTTATCACGAACGACTGACTATACATCTGATGCCTCATCTGGTACAGCGTCTTGTTCAACAATGCTTTTTGCAAAATTGGGATCAATATCTCCACTTCCCATATTAGCTAACTGCATTGCACTGCAATATCAATAACAATTACACAAATGTTGTTAAATATAAAATGGTAACTCGAGGGTTAGTGTCTTTGCAACTTGTATATACATATTAAACTGCCATCATTTTATAATGTATCAAATTAAAAGGGGTGATAGTGAGAATGAGATCAATCAGATCTGACACTCTACAGACTTTTCAAAAGTGTACAATGATGCGACACGAAAAAACATCGCTGTAAATTAGAATGTTAAATCTACATTAAAACGTCACAATCATGAATATTTTAAGTGAGAATTCTAAAATAGAAGTTTTAAAGAAGGTAAAACAAGATTCGTGTTTGGAGTATATTGGTGAATTCGAACAAGTCAAGTTTTTATATGTATATCAATTTAAACAAAATATTCTAACAGTCTTCTGTATCTATTCTGTAAATTAGGGTTAATATAACACATAAGAAAATCAGAAAAAATAAATTTATGAAGAAAATAAATAAAAAAAAACAACAAAAAACAAATTGCTAAATAAGTTGGAAACATAACAGACAAATTACTATGTTTATGCTGCAGTAAATAAACATACATTAAACGTCACTTGTGTACCTAAATATTTTACCTTGAACACCTTCTTACACCACTGAAACTATCAGTGATTATGGGGCCTAGCATTTATCTTATGTTTTTAACTTTAGAATAAATTGTTCCAAAATACATATAAAGAAATCAGCGTATACCTATAATCATACAAATCTCCGGAACTACCCGACGATGTGGAAACAGGTATGTCACACATACCGGATGATACAGGTGTTTGTTCCGATTTCATTCCGGTATCTGTTTGAAGATGGCCTCCAATGTTTATCCATTCATTAACCTGTTTAATCTGCTCAGGTGTTAGCCGGCTTATGTCTATGAATGTATTACGTGTTGGTACTATTCTATTTACCTGCCCGATGCCGTTTTCTCCAGTTAAACTAAGTTTTCCATCCGTATTTTTAACAGTTAAAACAATTGGAGAGGTTATGTTCTCCGTCACATGGGGTTTGATTTGCTTGTTTTGGCTGTCGATATCTTGGGAGCAAATAATATCTTCGCCACCGTAATCTTCTATGAATATCATATTATCTGCTGCCCCAGCTGATATATTTCTTTCTGTCGTTGCCGTTGTAAACTCACTTCCTACATTTGGAGATAACAAATCGAAACCGACTGGATAAACGTCTATACTTTCATGTTCAACAGTTATTTCCATGGCGTCAAACTGTTGAAATTGTTCCTTATCTACACATATTCTTCCCGATGTAGCACAATGATTATCATTGTCATTCAAAGAAGAGGACGAAATATGACATTCTTCTTTTAGGAAGGTTGGTAGTCGAGATTTGTCGTCTGTACATGACCCGCTGATTTCACTTTCTTGTAAAAATTGCCTCTGCATTGTAAAGGCCGGACTTGGAACCGACTGCGCTGGACTTGAGACTGGATACGGTGATTGGGCCGGGTACACTGGGCTCATGTGAGAAGACATTGGGCTATGGGACTGACTATGTGGACTCTGTTCATGGAATGGGCTTACATGTGGTGAAGAAATATTTGACTGACAGCTGCTGTTTTGTCTGGATGACCGTTTCCTTTTAGTTTCAGAATCTCTACGTCTTGGCTTTTTCGGATTCGCTGCATCTGTTAAACACGTGGACAATTAATCGCGTTTTTTGATATAATACTGTTTACATTTAAAAAAGGTGATCAAGGTATTCCAGATAAACAGATTCTAAGTAATTACCTTGTCTGTCGTACTGTTTATTTGCATAATTACCAAAGATCTTTATCCTTACCCGAGTTTTATTCATTATTCTATAAAGTCAAGTGGCATACACAAAATAGAATATTTCATACTTAAATATATTAAATATATTTTGTAAAATTGCATTATCTGACAAGATTTCTTCGCAAGTTTATTCATTATTGTTCAAAAGCAATGAATACTCGTATCTTATAAAATAGTTTACATCAATTACTCTAGCAATAATTATTATATATACCAAATTTCATGTTCCTGTCCGCAAGAGGCTGAGTGGACGGGTCATCTAGTCTGGTTTGGCTGATCTTCCTGAAAATACCAAAACCAATCACATCTGTACAACACAAAAATATATCATTTTCAATAGCTACGAATTCAGAGATGTAATTGCAAGAAATCCTGGTAAATTTCGAGGGGTCTATACAAGAAGAGCTAGGGAATGAATTCCCTTGTATCTCATAGCTATCTCTCAATTCAATGTATGCAATGTATACCTGCTAAGTGTAATCGTAAACGATTTTGAAGCAGTATAATGTAGATGTAGATGTGATGTAGATTAATTTATGATATCTATTTCTAACCCTTAACCTGTACAATTTCTTAAATTGACGTGACCATATTCCATCTTCGAAACAGATGTGCAAACTGGCCTGTCTTTTGGTTTCAGCAGTAAAAAGGTTCAAATCTTCATACATTAACACGTTTTTTATATACAAATGTTATTATCCTTCAATTTTATCAGAAAGGAGGAATCGTGTATTTATTAAAGTGTTCCTCGGACGGAGTTTACTAGTACTGCTTTGGAATGTTATATTTCAAGATAAAAAGACAAAAGGAATATCCCAACTTATTCTTAAATCAATAAAACATTCAAATATAATATTAATCTAGTGTTATGATAAACAAGAAACGATAAAACACATCAGATATTTTTCTTTAAAAGACTTCTGAGAATCAATATATTAAGACAGACATTAAGCGAGGAAATAGAATGGCTTTTAAGGAGTTCTAAAACTTACGTCATGGCCTGTTCAAGTATAGCAATATAAGCTTCTCTCGTGTGTTTGTATCCGGAAACAGTTGTACCTGTAACATAATTGTACCAGAATAAATAACAAAAGACTAGTGAATCAGACGATAACAAAATTAGAAACAATCTGAGGTTTAATTACATTAATATATTTTCATTAAATAAATACGATTAATGTTGAATGAAACATACAAAAAATATTCATAAATCACTATAAAATCAAACCCAAAAAATTAAACAACAAAAAGAATAAATTCGGGTTTAAAATGTGTTACAAACAGCTGGTAGTAGTACACGCACGTGCCTAGCAATATTCACCGAAAAGTAAAAAAAACCCAATAAATACGGGTTTCAAATGTAGTAGGATCAGTTGATAGTATTAAACGCACCTTCTTCGCAGTATTTATCGAAAAGTTCTTCCCTTGATTTCCTGCTCGGGTACAAAAAACGGTACATCTGGATTTGATTTTGTTTCTCTCGACATTTGATCCACGTTTCCTTCAGAATATTAGCAAGATTGTTCTTCGCACCATCCTCTGAATCTTGTTTCTTCATTTCACCTTCAAGTTTCTTAAAGTCAGCGACATCAACATGTTCAAAAACAAGCTTTTTATTATCGTGTTGATGACTCGAACTGTTTCGTTTCAAACCTGAACAATAATAAACTAATGTTAACTCCATACATAAGTTAGCTATTCTTATATATTCGTAATTAGAGCGTATTATGTTGAAATTTATCGCCACAATATTTTTAATTATAATTTACATTTTTCTTTGAAAACAGAAATGATTTGAAAACCGAGATAAACAATTTATTTTCCTTAATAATTCCTAAATAAATATTTTCCTTAATATACGAGTACATATTAAAGAAAATAAATATCTATATTAAATACAAATTTTCATTCGGGATATTTTGATCCTAACTTACGTTATCAATGATCTAATTTATTTTGCGACTGTGCCTTCAGCACAACTTTTGAAATATAGAAAAAATATTTAAATTATCAAGACTGCAACGTTGAAAACGTCTGTTTGTTTATAGGCTTGTTATAACAGGTTGTTTTAGTCATATTTCTGTGGTAATTGTTTTGGTTACCAAACCAGTAATTATCAACCAGCATGATTTCTGAATGTGCGGTGAAAACCAAATGACCGTAAGGCTTACTGTCAAAAATCAGTTGTAGCGGAGAAATATCAGTTCACCCAAGGGTCAAATGACCGCTAAATTGCCAATCCGATCCTTTTCTATTGAGAGGGCGGGCGGACGAATATTGAATAGAAAACTTAGAAAGAACATGGTTTGCATTACCTTTGCTTTCTTTCAACACGGCAACACATGATGTAAGGCGACCATAAACACTTTTCCTTCCATCACTGTTTGTGAAATGTTTGTCGGAAAAACGAAGTATAAATGTTCCTGCCGCAAACTTTCCTTCTTCTAACAATTGTTCAGCTCTGTCCTTGTTCACAAAACCCATGATCAAGCTGTGTAATATCGAAACGCACTTTTTTTTATTTCTTTAACCGCGAAATTCATGAAATACCATTTATTAATTTAGATTATAAAACCCCATTCAATGACCATAATGTGCACGTATATATACTTTATTGAGGTACTTATTAAGTACTATCCCTGGAAATATACTGACTCAAAACAATTATTTTCAAATATGGACGAGGTATATATATTTCGTTTTGTGATTTATACACGTACAGATTTAAAATAAACATCGTTTTTTATTGCAACATTAGTGAAAGTGCAGAAAGATGTTGAAAAGATGGATATTCATGGCATATTTCACTCAAGTATTGAATTGAGATAGTAAATAAAATGGCATACCCGTCATGCCAAAACTGTGGAAGATACTGCTCTATGAGATTATAAACGCCAAGGAACCATTTCCAAAATGAAAATTCTGTATCCTCCATGGATAACTGAAATGCAAAGGTAAGAAAAACGTTGACAATAGTGTAATGCACAGTGATGACTATATTTTCTGTCAAACTTAGAGGGGCCAAAGGTTATGCTTACAGCAGAAAATAATCAACAGTTAGCCTTGGGTGTACGTAAAACCTGTTCATCATATAATACCTTTCAATCGTAATATCTACAACATTACATGTATTGAATAAAGATGAAATTAATATACATGTAAAAGTTTTCTTGCAGCAGAACATGAAATGGCGCACTATTTACCTTTTTTAGGAATTTATATAATAAGTACAAGTCTCAAAAATTCTATGCTACATTTATAAGTAAACACATTATTAAATATTTTAGTATGAAAAAAAAATAAAGTGTGATATTTTTTATTTTATTTTGGTTGGGTTTACGTCGCATCATGGCACTTTTCCTTTCCAGCTCTGTTAGTGGATGAAGACTTTAGGTTCTCATCTATCATTTCAGACACGAACGGACACCTGAGTAGAACCATCCACGTTCCGTTAATTGGCTTGCATAGGTTCCACACAAGAGTAACGAAAGTCCCTGACGATAATCAAACCTACATCGGCGAGTGACAAATGGTTTGAAGTCAACGATCTAAATCACTCGGCCACAGACGCCCAAAGTATAAAATTCATTTTTAAAACTTACATTGAATAAGCTATAAAGAGTAATGACATAAATGGAAGTTTAAAAAGACACCTACACCATCGCAGAATAAAGTATGACCTAATCATTAACAATTTGTATGAAATAAATAGTAAACAATATACATGAAACAAAAAGATCTAGTAAATAATATTTATGAAATAAATATAGAACAAAATGTATGAAATAGATAGTAAACAATTATATATGAAAAAAATAGTAAACAATATGTATGAAATAAATATTAAATAACATGCATCAAATAAATAGTAAACAAAATGCATGAAAAAGATACTGAACAACATGTATGAAATAAATAGTAAACAATATGTATGAAATAAATAGTAAACAATATGTATGAAATAAGTAGTAAACAATATGTATGAAATAAATAGTAAACAATAAGTATGAAATAAATAGTAAACAATATGTATGAAATAAATAGTAAATAATATGTATGAAATAAATAGTAAACAATATGTATGATAATATGTGTGAAATAAGTAGTAAACAATATGTATGAAATAAGTAGTAAACAATATGTATGAAATAGATAGTAAACAACATGTATGATAATATGTGTGTGAAATAAGTAGTAAACAATATGTGTGAAATAAGTAGTAAACAATATGTATGATAATATGTGTGAAATAAGTAGTAAACAATATGTATGAAATAAGTAGTAAACAATATGTATGAAATAGATAGTAAACAACATGTATGATAATATGTGTGAAATAAGTAGTAAACAATATGTGTGAAATAAGTAGTAAACAATATGTATGATAATATGTGTGAAATAAGTAGTAAACAATATGTATGAAATAAGTAGTAAACAATATGTATGATAATATGTGTGAAATAAGTAGTAAACAATATGTATGAAATAAGTAGTAAACAATATGTATGAAATAGGTAGTAAACAACATGCATGAAATAAATAGTAAACAACATGTAGTCATAAAATAAATATTGAACAAAATATATGAAATAAATAGTTAACGTAATGTTTTAACATGCATATGATCAGAACAAGGCTTACCCAACAAAATTTTGTGAGATCTACAGGCTTTTCATCTGGTATGCTCTCACTGTCTTTGCCTGTATGAGATACATTTAAACTTAATGTTAGTTATATCGGTAAGAAAATATATCTAAAAATTAAGAAAAATAAATCGATTGGTAAAATGTAAAACAATTACTTTTATAACATTTACATACCAAACAAATCGCTAATTAAACAACTATATTAATAATTACAATTACGTATCATATACAAAAAATAAATGTGGTCATATCCATGCATCTCTGAAGTTTAGATTTTCATAAATACCATCTCGCAAAGTGCAAGTTTCAAAACATACGGAAAACATAGCACAAAAACTACCAAAAAGTAAAAAAACTACCAAAAAGTCTATTTTTCAGGTGAGTAATATTTTCTTGACATAGCCTGTGTTTTGTAGACAGTCTTGCCATCTTCTTCTGCAACATCTCCGCGACCGTAGACCAAGGTAGCTCCTCTGGCATATCATTTACCGGAGAGAACTGCATTGAAAGTGAAATTGTAATGAATATTTGAGTCGCGCCATGATAAAACCAACATAATGCGTTTGCGACCAGCATGGACCCAGACCAGCGCAGTCTGATCAGGATCAATGCTGTTCGCTTACAAACCCTATTACAAGTAGAGAAGAAATTTGATAGCGAACATCATGGATCCTGATCAGACTGCACGGATGCTGATCGCAAACGCATTATGTTGGGTTCGCCATGGCGCGGTTCAATTATTTTATAGTATAACATTATGATCTCTTTATAAGGTTAGGTAGGATACAATTCAACATCGGAGTAAGAATAAAGTCTGTTATTGTAACTGTGTTGACATTTATAAAGTGTTATTGTAATTTTCTTTAACTTAACTACGCAAACTAAAGATATACATGTTAAAAGAAATCCCACCAGGTACACATATAATGTTTTGATACAAATTATCTTGTTTTTTTAACACCAGGATTTTTTAAACCAGGAACACGTTCAACAGTGTAATAAATCGTTTACCATAAAATATATAGTTATTAGTTTAACTCACAACGTCTGTTGAAGAATAACACTGCCACATAATTGAGGCCAGGCTATGTGCTTCTTGGTTAGATGCAGTCGTTACAACCAATGGAAGCGATAATGTCTGAAAACAAAAGTCATTGTTATTTATACTGCAAGAGTGAAAAATGATTGGCGTTTATCATCATTTTACCGAGTACACAACCATGTCAGCATGCAAAGCCGTGCCAAATGATGGTTTATCATTTATGCAAACAATTTTATCTTTATTTTACAGGAAAAATAATAAAATAGCACCATACACCAAATAATAGTGAAAATGTGTTTTTATAAGTAATATACAATATAAACATGTTTATTTTAAAATACAAAATTCTTACCCAACAGGTTACAGATTCTATGTTAGTCACAAATACTACACGGTACTTCTCCTCGTGGACTTGTCTGTTTGCCTCTTTATTTGTCCTTTTAAATCCCTGAGCAAATTGCAAATTGGGAAAACAACATTCCATTTTATCTTTTCCATTCTCCGCCGAAAACTTAACTTTATTAGCTTTCAGTTTCCTCTCGTTTTTTTCAACTTTTCTAAGGTCAAGGTTATTGCCATCCCAACAGTCACTAAGGTCATCTTCAGATATAAAGCGTGCAGTTGTTTCTTCTGAGTGTTTACTGAACATGTCAGCCGCTAATATTCTTAAAATAGATAACAGTGTGTAAACAAACTGAAGGCAAAAAAGAGAAAAGGAAATCAGCATACAAATACAGGAGCACTGTAAACGTCCATGAGCGTTTGTCTATTATTGTTAACCAAATGGTACCCTGTAAAATTTTAAATTCTGTAATAAAAATCTTTATGAAAATCGATAAAATATCACTACCCAAGTAGTGAGGTCATCAAATAATAACTTCGTTCCATAAAATCGTTTATAGAATTTTCTGGGCGGCGTTGCTTTTGACCACCCACCCAGACTTATTCGGGAAATTTTATATTAACCATGTCATTATATCAGTTTGTGTAATAAGTATAAGTAGTTTTTTTATTGGCATTTTGAATAAATAGAGCCTAAATTTCCTTTCAACCGATAAGTGTTTTGTTTTCTCTCTTCCATAGCGAGTCTTACCGAGCTTGTGATCCTTACTCTGACTTTAGACAAAACATAAATAAATAAATAAATAAATAAATAATGGATCAACTGTCGAATTTTACCTGACAGAAAACTTCGGAAAACGTTTGTTTCCAGTTTTGATGAAGAAATTTCCTTGCTCCGTAACAACGAAAGTGCTGAAAAGAAAATAATTAAACATGTTTCCATATCATAGATTGATATTTTCAATAACAATTATTACCATGATAACTTCTATAATAATTTCAGACCTTTTTCATTTTAAGTTTACTGCAACACGGAAAGTAGAAATATAAATTTAAACAATTGCGTTTTAAAATTATTTTTGATGATGCTCGTCTTTAACTCTATGTTTCAAATAGGTTGACAAAGTAATTTTACAGTTCATAACTGACCAGAGCAAATTGTATTGGCTTCCTTAGTCAACCATCTAAATAACCTCGTCTATTTAATGTTGAAGAAAATATACAGGATATACATGTAGAAAACAAACAGAAAATAGATATAGTCAATTGAAAATTGCAGCCTTTAAATAAGATAAGACTACTGTCCGTAATTTAAGCAATTGTGTATTTATATATTCATTATTGGAAATTTGATTTGATGGTGCTCAATTTGGAAAGTCAATATTAAATAAAAGGGAACATTCAGTAAAAGGTACATGTACATTATTTTTTTGCTTTGTTTTGTTAAACGAAAACACAATTGTTAACAATTTAAATAACTTTCTGAAGGGAAATATTAAAAACTATTATTTTTTTCCTAAAATAAAGAAACAATAAAGCCTATATGATGATTTATGATTTTGTTGCAAATATTACGGCGTCGTGTAGATTTTGCAAAAACAACAAATTTATAAATAAAAAATTCATCAAGTATAGTATCACAAATACATGCTATTTGTTGTTACAATGGATCCGTTAGTAAAACAAAATGAGATATGTTCAAGATAAACCTCTTAATTAAAACCAACTATTGTAATTCAGCAATTAACTGAAGATCTTGTAATAAGTTCATATCATTAAATATAACTATACTTACGCAAATAAAACAAACTTGAAACCGAAACAATCACTGATTCTGTTTGAAACAAAATTTCATATTTACAAATTGCCATAGCTTAGAATAACTAACTGACAGTGTATCACACAAAAGACAACTATTTGGAATATGACTGAGGTTGTCAGTCAACGATAGACATGAAAAGGTTTATCCAACCCCGCAACCACCCCTCCCCATCACAATAAACGAACCTTTTTATAAAATCTGTCAACATATTTTGGAAAAACGATGTATATGTTTGAAAGCTTCCATTAAGATTTTCAAATGTGTCATTTGGGGCACTGTTACACGTGTTTTGCCAGCTAACAAGGCTTCCATGCAAAATGTCATGAATTATCTTTCCGGTCTGCGAGCACCTGAAACAAAACAGTACTTATAATTAACGAAATGCTGCAAATCAACAACTTAAAATTGTAAATCATATATTGATATTTCACAGTGATAACATTTTTTTTTTTACTGAAGCAAAACTGCATTTGAAAATGAAAGTGTGTTATGGAAATTGAAATTTCAGCACACAAAAAGCATCGTAAAAATACAAAAGTATAATAACTGTAAACGCATTTAGAGTTATATAGTTTTGTTAAAGGAACCAAAAATCTACACTATTCAACAAAGCAGTTGTTTTTAAATCAGTTAAACTTACTATTCAACTAAAAAAGCACATGATGTTACTGAAATATATTTTGATTTGCACTACCAACAAAAACATTTTTTTTATAATCAGATATATTTCTCGGTCATCACCTTCTTATATCAAATTAATACTATCGCGAAATTTCACAAGTAAAATACAATGTAACACGTTTTCCTGTCCTGTCTGTATGTGTGAAGTCAGATATGATTTTGTTACATTACCTGTTGAAGTCTTCAGATTCATGCTTATTTTCATAAAATACATGTAAAAGTAAAATATTGTGAAGTGAACAAAGAATTTCATTTACACATTGCAAACGACACTTACAGTCCAAGTTAATCACCAAAAAAGAAAAAAAGAGGTCAAAATATGCAAAATTAGCCCTTGCTGCATAAGTCACACAGTAGAAATATTCATGGTGATAAATATCCCACAAATCAGTCATTAATCACATATAATATGTAAATAATAACCTGAATCTTTTTAACTTTCATAATATCAACATCTTAGTACATTTTTATTTGATTCTTGAAATATTTTGGCTAATCTGGAGAAGGGATCCGGCTCAATATTGCAGTTGTAACCGCCAACAAAAAAAAGGAAAAACCGCTAGCATCCAACCGGTGCAAAGGAGAGTGCTGCAACAATAACATTAGTAACTCAGTAGAAAAATTACTTTTTTTACAATCTTAGTTCCTATTACCCAAGTTTGATTTTCTTTAAATATTTTGGCTCATCTGGAGGCAAGCAACTTTAAATTGCAGTTGAGTCAATTCTGTATTAACAACACAAACGAAACAAGAGGGCCATGATGGCCCTGAAGTCGCTCACCTGTGTATAGGCCCCCGGAACGGGGCAAGTTTAAACCTCAGGGCTTTTATTTGAACAAACTTGGTAGACACCCATTAGAAGATGTTTCATGCTAAACATCTAAGGTCTAGCTCCTTGGGTTTTTTAAAAGAAGATTTTTTCAAGTTTTTTCTTTACACATATAGTTAAAAACAATGACACACCTGGGGCAGGACCAGTTTTGACCCCAGGGCTTTTATTTGAACAATCTTTGTAGACACTTACTTTAAATTGTCTCATGCTTAATATCTAAACTCTAGCCAATCGGGTTTTTTCAAAGAATATTTTTAAGTTTTTGCTATACACATATAGTAAAGTCAATGTCCCCCGGGGCCGGCCAATTTTGACCCCAGGGCTTTTATTTGAACAAACTTTGTAGACACTCACTAGAAGATGCTTCGTGCTTAATATCTAAACTCTAGCTATTTGAGTTTTTTCAAAGAAGATTTTTTAAGTTTTTGTTATACACATATAAGGAAAATGAATGACCCCTGGGGCGGGGCCAATTTTGACCCCAGGGCTTTTATTTGAACAAACTTGGTAGACACTCACTAGAAGATGTTTCATGCTTAGTATCTAAACTCTAGCTATTTGGTTTTTTTCAAAAAAGATTTTTTAAGTTTTTGCTTTACACATATAAGGAAAATCAATGATCCCCAGGGCGGGGCCAATTTTGACCCCAGGGCTCTCATTTGAACAAACTAGGAAGAAATTCATTAGAACATGCATATAGGGAAAATCAATGACCCCTGGGGCGGTGCCAACTCTGACCCCAGGGCTTTTATTTGAACAAACTTGGTAGACACCCATTAGAACATGTTTCATGCTAAATATCTTAGCTCTAGCTCTTTGGGTTCTTTAAAAGAAGATTTTTTTAAGTTTTTACTATATGCATATAGGGAAAATCAATGACCCCCTGGGGCGGGGCCAATTTTGACCCCAGGGCTTTTATTTGAACAAACTTGGTAGACACTCACTAGAAGATGTTTCATGCCAAATATCTAAGCTCTAGCTCTTTGGGTTTTCTAGAAGAAGATATTTAAAGTTTTTTCTTTTGGTTGCCATGGCAACCAGAGTTCTGCATGGAATTAAATTCTTTGAACATTTTTCAAAGGTGACCACCAAAGGAACTTCCTGTGAAGTTTGGATGAAATTGGCTTAGTGGTTTATGAGGAGATGTCATTTAAAGTAAAAGTTTACGGACGACGGTAGGACGCCGGACGAAAAGCGATCACAAAAGCTCACCCTGTTACTTTGTGACAGGTGAGCTAAAAGGAGAAAGAAACAAGAAAAAACCGCAAGCATTCAACCAGAGCAAATGAGTGTGATGCAAGCAAATCATTAAACACATTAACATTGCACTGGAACATTTACATCTGTCATACTAAAAAAAACTAACAAAGAGGAAAATATGAGGTACACGATGAGATAACATTAATGGAGAAGCAGCAAAATAGACATGGACCTACCATGGTGCTATTTTAACTAAGTCTGGCGTCGCCTCTAATTCAGCATAGTTAAACAGAAACTCTCGTTGCCACTCTTTTACCTTTGTTTTTAAATTTTTAACAAGTTCATCCAACACACTGCAAAGATCTGTAAAATTTCCTAAAATTTCCTGAAATAAATATGTAAAAATTTCAAAAAACAATAGATGGGAATAAATTCAAATAATATATAACTGTAGCAAAAGAAGAACATGTTTTATCTCACCGAACAGACGGCTAAGTGTAAAATAAAGAAGATGGGTCAATTTCAGATTGTAGTTTTGTGTGTTACTCTTGGCATTCTGATCACCAAAGTTAGAAATAGTTTTGCGAGTGTATCGTGTTTACCATGAGAAAAGAAAAATTTAAGTTAAAACAGAGAGGAAAATATCCCTCATATTTCCATAAAAACTTCCTTCATTTCTGACAGAATTAAATAAACTGACAACAACAAGCTAATTCAAAGCATTTTTTTCAAGCATTTTAACAGTACAACAATGGACAATTGTATTTTAACCTGTCAAGAAGCATTCAAAATAATGGGTATTTTTGTAAATGTAATACGTTACCTTCTGCATTGGTCGTAATTCTGCCTTGGCAGCGTCGATTTTGACGGTGATTTGGTCGAGCTGTGATTTAAAGTATTGAGACCTAGGTATATTTCCAATTTGACGGGATGGTATTGCTTGTCGCGCTATAACGTTGTCAGGAGTATGAAAGAAGTATGAAGCATGAAAATAGTATGAAAGAAGTATGAAAGAAACATCGCATCAAATATTAAATCGATACTAACAACATAAATAATAATCAAATGTAAAAATAGAAACAAACGTCGATACACCTTACCTAAGATCTTGATCTAAAAAAAATACTGAAAAGTGTACAAATTCTTGCCTAAAACATATATCACTAAATTACACGAAAAAAGTATATAAATTGAAGAAAATTTAGAAATTACATAAATCATTCGAATTAATACAAATTAATATCCATAGACAATTAAATTAAATGGGTAAAGAAAATAATCGATTCATTCTTATTACCGAATATTTAAGCTTATTTTTCCTTGATATTTCAAGAGGCACATTATGCCTCAGAAATATATAAACTATTTTTCCTTTTTAGAAAGGGCAAACATGAAAATAATAGTTTCACCTGATAAAACTAGAACTCCGCGAGTCGGATGTGTCGCCTTGTGAACAATGTAGTTTAGGAGAAATGGCCAGGACAAAAATGAAATAGGAAAAATAACAAAGGGCAATAACTAAAAAAATAATAAGTGCAGAGCAGCAGTTTCTGTGCACTGCACTTCTTATCAATAAGATCTATCATTCTATGATGTTTCAAGTCCATAGCTTTCATACTTGAGGAGAAATGACCAGGACAAAAATAAAGTAAGAAAATTAACAAAGGGCAATAACTCAAAAAATAAGAAATGCAGAGTATCCTATCAGTTCTTATGCACTGCACTTTTTCTTAATGAGATCTATCATACTATGAAGTTTCAAGTCCATAACTTTTATACTTTCGGAGAAATGGCCAGGACAAAAATTAAGTATGAAAATAAACAAAGGGCCATAACTCAGAAATTAAGAAATGCAGAGTACCGATTCTTGTGCACTGCACTTCTTCTTATTTAGATCTATCATCCTATGAAGTTTCAAGTCCATAGCTTTTATACTTAAGGAGAAATGGCCCGGACAAAATTAAAGTATGAAAATAAACAAAGGGCAATAACTCAAAAAATAAGAAATGCAGAGTACCTGTTATTGTGCACTGCACTTCTTCTTAATGAGACCTATCATCCTATGAAGTTTCAAGTCCATGGCTTTTATACATTAGGAGAAATGGCCCGGACAAAAATAAAGTATTAAAATTAACAAAGGGCAATAACTCAAAAATTAGGAAGTGCAGAGTACCGGTTCTTGTACACTGCACTTCTTCTAAATGAGATCTATCATCCTATGAAGTTTCAAGTCCATAGCTTTTTTAGTTGAAGAGAAATGGCCCGGACAAAATTAAAGTATGGAAATTAACAAAGGGCAATAACTCAAAAAATAAGAACTGCAGAGTACCGGTCCTTGTGCACTGCACTTTGAGTTATTGAAAGAAGCATGCATACCAAGTTTAAAGTCAATCAGACTTAAAGTGACTGAGTTATGCTCCGGACAAGCTTTAGGGGACGCCGACGCCGACAACGACGCCGACACAGACGCCGCCGACAAAAGTAACCCCTATATGTCACCTTTTCAAGGCGACACAAAAAATGCGCTATATGTAAAATTATTTGTCATAAAGTATTAAAATGTACACATAGTAGTATTTTGACATCCATACAAAATACTAAATCACTACATTAATTGGCAAAACTCCACAGATGCAGGTAATTGGTCAATGGGTAACGTATTTTAGAAATTGTAACAGGACATCAACAATTTAAGACTTTTGACACATGACAACAAAACATTGTTTTGGGCACTATAGACATCATATTTTTTGTTCGTTAATAAGAAAATCAAAGCTATGCCAATGCATAGAGGATATTGAATGAATGTAAGTTCAATACTGAATTTATTGCACGAGTTGAATAAAATTATTTAATGTGATCCTCTGGCGAGCATATTATTATGTAATTCAACGAGTTAAATAAATTCAGTAATGAACTTACACGATTTTAATATTCTATTTATCACATACTAAAATAAAGACCGTTTAAAGTGAAAAAAGAGTCATTTTTCATTTACGCGCCTAAGGTATAACGCTAACATTTAGTGCGTCTTTTCGCTATGTTTGAATAACGCTAATGACGTCATGTCAAAATATATGCACGGCCGTGCAATTCCATATTTACGGACTTGTAAAATCGGCACGGGTGTGTGATAAATGTCTACACAGTCAAACATCTCCATAATATTGAAAATAATGAAATTGGGTATGCCATAGGAAGGTCTTCAATGTTCAAAATGTTAACAGACTCCCTTTCTAAATCGTAATTTTGTGCTGATGCGTTTACACTTTTTTCACATAGAGTGTGATTATATTTAATGATAGAGACACAAAAAATGTAAGCAATCCCGAAAAGGCGACATCTTCGTGCTTGTAATCATGATTCCTGTCAAGCGGCTACAGGTACCGTTCCAACACTGTAGTGAGTTAAATCCATATTTAATGCGTAGTAATAAAGTCTTAACGGGCACAACCAAACCCACTGCAAATTCAAATCACAGTATGAATAAAATGAAATACTTTTATTAATATATACATGTAAAATATGCATATATACATATATGTACACATATATAAGTATCTTAATATATCTAATGTCACCAGAACTACACTTTATCATGACATTACTTCGCCAATTCAAAATATCGTTATGGTGCCCTTCCTCAATCTTTATTTCGTTCCATTCGTCTTGAAGGTTGCCAGCACCAACTTGACATAAGAACAATATTTTCTCTCATATAAATAACTATCATATTTTATTGCAATCTTAAAGGAACTCAACTGATGTCCAAAAACGTAAAAACATTAAATTGTTATTTCTAAAACAGATCAGCTGAAGTACTCGATATAGAAAAAAAATATCCAAAATAATTTGAATGAAAATCATTGCAACGCTTTTTAATTGTGGGTCATTTTTAACAATTGGAATTATTATTTTGGAGAAATGGAGTAAGTAAATGATCTTAAATTTTGCACACAAGTTATTGGTCAATACCAATATCAAATCGAACATTATTCCCGAAAATATGTTTCCTGTCTAATTATGTCAAATGGCCTCAGGCCTCAGTTACTTTAAGATATCCATCATTATGTGAATAACACACAATGTTATATATGTACTGGTACAATACCTGTAAAGAGTTCCGCTTTCTCATCCTTTTGCTCGTACAACTCTTGTATATCAGAAACTTTACTTTTCACCATTTTTAAATAATCATTTATTTTCTGGAAAAACAATATTCATAAAATATGCTAAGTGTGCTAAAATATACATTTTCACGTAAAACAATAATATTTTAAAACGATATTTACACGGGTAGTGTTATAGCAACAGAATCTATCTCAAAACAGGAATATCACAGAAAGTACTAAAGTAATTCGATAAATTTAGGTCTACTAATTAAGCCTAGGTCTCATTTTCTGAGTTCAAAATAATCCGTATCAAATCACTATTGTATTTCATTTCGCCTCATTTTCATTTCATATTCAAAGTACAAAAACCCTTATCAAACCCTTATTGTACTAGAAGTTACGAAATTTGGCAACATGTTGAAAAGGTGGTGTGGAGGTGTATAATAAAGAGAGCCTTGTCTAACCCCAAGAAGTAGTTAGTCCACTTGTGTCCGGGCCTGACATAATGTTCACGTTTACATTTATATAAGCACAAGTTCTTATTTAGTCTTTAGAAAACTTAAAAGATTTCCGATCGATCTTAAAAAGCATCTAAAAAATTAAGTATTTTTGCATACCGTTCGTATTCGATCAGCCGTCTGAATATCCTGTTCAACTTTAAGTATAGCTTCTTGCTTCTTCTCGGTCTGAAGTAAAATTAAAATGGTAGTTTGTATGAGGGTTTGTCCAGAAAATTTTATTTCATTTGAATATATACTAAATCTGCAGCGAATTTCTAATTTGCCACTATATAAAATGAAATATTTTGCGTCAGACATAAATGTTTATTTATCATTGTATTTATTCTGTATACTAATCTATCCATTTGAAGTAAAAAAAAATAACATATCTGTATACAATGTTACCAACGCAGAACGGCAATTGCTTTATAGTGAACGTCAATGACATATTTGTTGTCGTTTTCGGTATGTTGGTTCCTTTTTTAAGAAAAACATTAAAAATCAAAATTAGGATTCAAGTACGCGAAAAACTGTCGGAATTATTCGTGTCAGGCGACTCGATAAGTTAAGCGTCGATGATGCATTATGTTGTTTTTACAAAAAACATTGACATATCTATGCTTTATTCAATCTTAAATAATGCAACAGGTGGTCGATCAAACGACATGCAGTTGATATATCGAATAAGACTCATTGATTCCAAAGGCGTAAAATGTGTGCCCTGTCGCTGCAATCAAAGCTCATGGAGATAAGGCGACTTATTTATTTGCTTTGGGCACAGTATCTTCACTGGAATAATGCATCTATAAGGCTATGTTTGCAACAGCGGTTCGAGATAATGAGGATTGATAAAAAAATCAAACACATTCATGTAATTTCGTTTGTTAAGAATGACCATGTAAAACCGCTCTTTTATGTTTGTTCTCTAAAATAACACACAATGAAATTCTGTTTGACATGTACGCAATTAGCGATAATAGATGGATATTCGACGCAGTAGAGCCCTTTCTTATCCGGAATCCAAACAGTGGCTAATTAGAGGTTTCTCAAACACTGTAACGTGAATGCGGCCAAATAGAAACTTAACTTTCATTATTTTTGATAGCCGACACCTTAATGCAAATAGACGGATTATAACGAAGCCAAATATAACTCTAAAGTACCACACACCCAGATGCTTGCTTATTTTCATGAAAATTTGGAAAATATATTAAAAAGAAAAATATTGTGAAGTAAACAAAGAAAATAATTTTCACATGCAGTCCACTAAATTACCAAAACGGGATCACGCAGTAGAAATATATGGTGATAAATACTGCACAATCAGTCAAATATAGTTCACGTCCTTGAATCCTGAATCTTTTTTATTTTTTTAAAATATTTTTCTCAAGTTTGATTTTCTTCAAATATTTCGGCTCATCTGGAGGCATGCAGCTTTTACATTACACTGGCAATGCCACTTTTTGGCAACCCAAAAGTCCAAGACCTTCAGTATGCTATTATCCCAAAACATGTTTACATTTGAATCTTAGAACCTTAACGATTTTCCTGAGTTTTTCTTAATTATATTTTCTTTCCCTTTTTATGTAAACACTTCTTTCAAGCACTGATTGATTGCTAACCATATATATTCATGTTTTTTTCACTTTTCTACAGATCTTTCATTTAATCTTTCAGTCTGATAAGGATCCATGCTGTTCGCTATCAGTTTCTCTACTTGTAATAGAGTTGGTAAGCGAACAGCATGGATCCTGATCAGACTGCGCGGAGGCGCAGGCTGGTCTGGCTCCATGCTGGTCGCAAACACATTACGTTGGTTTTGTCATGACGCAGTTCAAATGATTTTGTTTAAACTAGGGTGATTACTACCTGGATTCGTGCCATCTTGTATTTTTTGAGAAGCTCCAATTCCTTCTCTACACATGTCACAGCCAGGTCAACCCAATCGCCCGGGCGGTTACCATAATCTGACTGAAAAAAACAATGATTTATTAATTTTTACTATAAAAGGTCATCAGTGATAACTAGAACTGCCACTGTCATGGCGTGAATACCAAATATTCACCCCGTATACCACTTTGTCAGAATCAACAGGGCCATTTAGAGCTCAAGGACAACCTCCCTTCCAAAATTTGAGGTTACTTGAAGCCAGTGCATTGCTAAGATATGTATTCTACATGCTACAAATGTGAAAATGTCAAAATCCGTACACTGCGGAGAGGCATTCTTAAGCATTTGAGCAGACAAACCTATCATAGTAAAAATCCCTGTGACCTTGACCTTTGACACAGTCAACTGAAAATCAATAGGGGCCATCTTCTAGTCATAAACAACATCAATACCAAATATGAAGACTATGGGTTAAAGGTTTCTTTGGTTATTGGGCGGATAATTGTTTGAAGTCCAAGTCCCTGTGACCTTTGACCCAGTGACCTCAAAATCTATAGGGGTCATCTACTAATCATGACTAACCTCCATGCCAAATATAAAGACTATGGGTCAAAGGAATCTTAAGTTATTGGGCGGACAAGCGTTTTTTAGTCAAAGCCCCTGTGACCTTGACCTTTGACCCATACTTTAAAATCAATAGGGATCATCTACTAGTCATTACTAACCTGCATGCCAAATATGAAGACTGTGGGTCAAAAGAATCTTAAGTTATTGGGCGGACATGTTATCAATGTTGTTTTTTTTAGAAAATGAAAAGAAATATTGTATAAATGAACATAAAACGCAAATACGCAATTTTTGTTGTGAATGTTTTTTGTAATTTGTAGAGACTTAAACTAGCGTCATCCAAATAATGTCGCCCACGCGTAATCAATTTGTACAATAAATACAATTGATTTCAACCGATACATGTTATAATCCGTAGAAATTTTCCAAGAATCTAACCAAGGACTCTCATATAGTTTGTTTAGCCTCAGAATCCATAAAGAATATTGTGTGATCGATTGTGATGATCATGTGATAAGGAAGTTACAGAGAAAATCAAGGAACAATGCAAGCGGAAATGACTCATTCCCTTTAAATCCCTTAAAATCTGACCAAAGTCATTTATTGTGTACAAAAAATACGTTTAATTTGCTAATATATGCATAATTGTCTTCTTAATGGTAAGCAACAAAGAAAAAGTCATCTGGTGGTGAAAATAGTACATTCATGATTCTGTCAAACTTCATACGATACATTCATGACTTCACGTGGATTTAAAATATTCATGCATTTCATAAACTATAAATATATATTTCTGAAGTCAGATGTTTTCATGATTAATTTTACTCTTCTGGTGACATGCCGCTTTAAGCTTGATAGAAATGCGACAGAATTTATTATTTTTGACTGTAAGTACTAAATACCTTTATTTTTTCCTTGACTGCAGTCATTTGTATTTTAATAAGTACTTCTGCAGAATGTTGAATAGTTGTTTCGAAATCGTGAAAGAATTTCCAATACAGTTCATCTTTTCTTGTCTGACATCTTCCCGTGGTTTCGTCCTCCAGTACATTTAACAGATCATTCCTTTTATAAAAGATCTAATGTGAATTATTATAGTCAATGCAAACTGAAATATTCAAAATATATAGTTTTAATGCTTATAGTCACATTATGCTTTAGAAACAAAAACATTTCTACTATTTTTAGAAAGGGCAAACATAAATTTTATAATGTATAAAAATGGTTTTAGAAAAATGTTAGATGCTTGTTACCTGAAATAAGTAGCGCTTAAGGTGACAACAGACAATTTCCGTGGTACTCACACAAATGTCATTTAAACTAAGTTATTTTAGTAATAATTGTTATTTATTTAATCTTTGTGCATTAAATATCGTTGATCATCATAAAAAATAACATATTTGAAAAAAATGCCTTCGTAAATGATTGATTTTGAATAAAAATTCTAAAATTTAAAATCGTCATATCAAAGTCATTATTTATTTTTTTGTCATCAAACTTTTGGAAAATAACCATACTTATATTATCTGGGGAACCGTGTCTCAAATTTTTTCTATCTTTTCTCAAAAAAATATTACGTAACGTCAAACATTTTATGCGACTTTTTTCACCATACATATTACGTAATTAAAGATAATTAAGTCGCTGATTGAGCAAACAAAAATCCGTGACACGGTTCCCTCCGTAAATGAATTTCCTTTCATGTACTTTAAACCGCATGTTAATTGCTTGGTTATTAAAAAAGTTATGCCGATTCAAAGTTAGTCCGACCCGCATCAAACGAAGTGTCATAAATCGGATGTTCTCTCTCGGACCCCTACGTTTCACGCTAAATAATTGCATAAAACACAAATATCGCACCAGAGAGGGTCACAAGTTGCGGTAAACATACTCTAACAACATTTTATGACCCAGTGACATCTGACCAATTAAAAAGCTGCTGATTAATATCAGTTTATAGCCGAAATTTCTTCAATTCTTAACGTGATTTACTGTCCGTCTGGTATCTGTCGCACATGTCGCGTGACTATCGGTAAAAGTTGAGGCACTCAGGGGGGGGGGGGGGGATGGAACGCATTGCGCACCGCTAGCGGGGTATTTAATTGTTTCCTTTTTGAAGTTTATTATTATTATTATCAGCATTATTATTGTATTATACCAGTGTCACTCTGCCTGTGTATTCGTGTATGAAATTCCGTTAAAATATAAAATAAAATAACATATTATATATTTTTTCCACCAAATTGATAATGCTTCACATATTTTAATAGAAATAAAAGGTATTACTCGATCATTATGATCTGGCCTTCTTGACTTCTATTATCATGAATATCATCTATGCACGGCATAGAGATCCAGTTTCTACCGGGATAGACAATAAATTTCATACTTTGTCCCAGATTTATTAGTACTGTGTCCGATTTACTGGCGAACAATTTATTTTCACTGAAAATATATTTTAATATCTTTTTTTTATTCATAGAGAAATAATCATCCTTAGACAATCTAAAATGGTTTAGAAATTTGTCAGGGACACCTTACCACAAGTCATATAGGCGTTCACATAAAAATGTTGTCTGTTTTTGTTGTTAATTGTTTTACTTGACATTGTTAGAAAACGAGGTTGAATGTAAAGTAAACCCTTGAATCCGTACAAAAGTCTATCAACTCAATGTAATATATATCAGATTAACGGGACAGACAAATTATTCTCACACATTATGGATATTTTAGCAACTACATTTTTAATCAACCCCGTGGTCGTACGATTTGCCGCTATGCTTAATTATTTATGTTTCATACATAATGTTACGTACATTGGCCAACAATTTTTTAATTTATAAAAAAAGGCTAAATGTTGAGATATTCATAAAAGATGTACGGTAGTTGTACGATACATGTATTACGAGTAGTATGGACCAGTATGGACCTGTAATTCACGCATATATGGAACTACCGATTTCCCTCATTGATGCCTCAACAGGGGGCAGAGCGTTATCGATAATCGACAGGTTACGCGAATAGCAGATACAAATAGTATAGGTACCGTTTTAAAACGTTTAAAAACACATTTTTTGGACTAACTGCTTCCAAAATTAAATCACGAATGTGTTCAGAAAAGGTTGATAAATCTACTTAGCAAAAAATCTCATTTTAGGTATTTTCAGTGATAATTGACTCCGTTGTCACCTTAATGCGACAAGACTAATGTCATAAAAGTAGCAAACTGTAAACAAAATAGTATTTTGACTTTCATGCAAAATGCTAATTTACTATAAATGTTCTTATTACCAAAAGCAACGGATGAAAAATATGACTCCAGTATATGGTCAATGATTTACTTTGAAAGTACGAATTCTTCGAATAGTCGAGTTAAAGATATGCAGTTGCATTTTTATGCCCAACCCCTTCAAAGAAGAGGGGGTATATTGTTTTGCTAACGTCGGTTTGTCCGTCGGTAGACATCAGGGTTTACGCTGATTATCTTGAAAACTATTTACCACAAAGTCTTCATAAATCACAAAGTGATTGGTCATAACTTGTAAATGACCCCTATAGATTTCGGGGTTACTAGGTCAAAGTCACAGGAGCCATACATGTCAGAATGGTTTCCGCTGATTATCTTGAAAAGTATTCATCACAAAGTCTTCATATTTGACATAGTGATTTGTCATAACTAGTAGATGATCCCTATTGATATTTATAGTGTCACTAGATGAAAGGTCAAGGTCACAGGGGCCTTAAATGTCAGAATGGTTTCCGCTCATTTTATTGGTAACAATTCATCACAAAGTAATCATATTTCACATATTAATGGTCATATCTAGTAGATGATCCCTATTAATTTGGGATTACTATGTCAAAGGTCAAGGTCACACGGGCCTTACATGTCAGAATGGTTTCCGCTGATTATCTTGAAAAGTATTCATCACCAAGTCTTCATATTTCACATAGTGATGGTCATATCTAGTAGATGATCCCTATTAATTTGGGGTTACTATGTCAAAGGTCAAGGTCACAGGGGCCATACATGTCAGAATGGTTTCCGCTGATTATCTTGAAAAGTATTCATCACAAAGTCTTCATATTTCACATAGTGATTTGTCATAACTAGTAGATGATCCCTATTGATTTTGGTGTCACTAGATGAAAGGTCAAAGTCAAAGGGGCCTTAAATGTCAAAATGGTTTCCGCTAATTGTTTTGGTTACAATACATTACAAAGTCTTCATATTTCACATATTAATGGTCATAACTAGTAGATGATCAATATTGATTTTGGGGTCACTAGGTCAAATGTCAAGGTCACAGGGGCCTTAGATGCCAGAATGGTTTCCGCTCATAATCTTGGTTACAATTCATCACAAAGTCTTCTTATTTCACATATTGATTGGTCATGAGAAGTAGATGGCCTCTATTTATTTTGGGGTTACTATGTCAAAGGTCAAGGTCACAGAGGCCTTAAATGTCAGAATGGTTTCCGCTGATTATCTTGAAAAATATTCATTACAAAGTCTTCATAATTCACATATTGATTGGTCATAATTAGTAGATGACCCCAATTAATTTTAGGTCAATAGGTCAAAGGTCAAGGTCACAGGGGCCTTAAATGTCAGAATGTTTTCCACTCATTATCAAAGTCTTCATATTTCACATATTGATTGGTCATAATTAGTAGGTGACCCCTATTGATTTTAAGGTCACTAGGTCAAAGGTCACAGGGGCCTTGAATGGTAGTATGATTTCCGCTTATTATCTTTTTACTATTTATCAAAGTCTTTCTATTATATATATTGATTGGTCGTAACTAGTAGATGACCCCTATTGATTTGGAGGCCAAAGGTCAAGGTCACAAGGTCCTTAAATGGTAGTATGATTTCAGCTCATTATCTCGAAAGATTATTATCACAAAGTCTTCATATTTCACATATTGATTGGTCATAACCAGCAAATGACCCGTTTGCTTTTGGGGGCATTAGTTCAAAGGTCACGGTCACAGGGGCATTAAATGTCAGAATGGTTTCCCCTTATTATCTTGAAAACTATCGATCATAAAGTCTTCATATTTCACATACTGGTTGGTCATAACTAGTAAGTGACCCTATTGATTTTGGGTTCACTATGTCAAAGGTCAAGGTCACAGGGTTATTGAATTGTTAGTATGGTTTCCGCTCTTGAAAGCTATTTATCACAAATTCTTCACATTTCTTTTATTGATTGATCATAACTATTAGATGACCCGTATTGATTTTGGGTCACTACTTCAAAGGTCAAGGTCTTAGGAGCCTTAAATGTCCGAATAGTTTCCGCTCATTATCTTGAAAATTATTTATCACAAAGTCTTCATTATTTTTCTTTTTGCCGTAGTTGAACACTTCATGTACCCATTTATGGCAAGTTTCTATAACAAAATTACCAAATAATGTGAGTCAAGGGCTAGAAAGGGTGGGCCTATTTGTCATATTTGACATTTCTTGTTATTCTTTATACACACCTTGACCTATATACCTCCATAAACCAGCCATCCATCTTTGATCTAACATACAGCAGACTGATTTTCATATCCTCACATAACTTTGTCCATTCCTCGCCCAAGCTCTTGATTTCGGGATCTGCCGGGTCCTAAAATATACTCAAGCTCTTAAAATGATTAAAACTTTTAACATCTGACTAAACCATTCATTTGAGGAAACGCATCCTATTGGGTGATTATAAATATATACGAAAGATATAACGAAAAGAATGACTATTTTAATGAAAATGATGAAATGCGAAGATATATTATAATTATTGAAAACTTCTTTGTTTCAGATGTTTTCTTGGGAACCATTGGCAGAACATACTGAAACAAAAAGTCTATACTCAAATGTGGTACACAAAACAGACGCTTGTCTGCCAATTATTCAATTCATTGTATATTTCATTACATAGTATCTACAATTTTTATTTATATATTTCACAAACATTTGACTTACATTTTCACAAACATATTGATGAATGCTTTCTGAGAATTCTTCAACTTCATCCATAATTTGCTATGTTATTTAGACAATCTGCAAAAGAATATGATTTTTCTTTTAACTTACTGAACTCTAGTACCGACAATGACTTACCCATGCATGCCACTAGAAACACCACCGGGCTAGTCAGACACGACTAATACGTGATATTCTTGAACACTGCCGGCGAATCAGATTGTATAACAACTTGCTCCGGAATTATCTTGTTATCAATGTTGATTGCTTGACACATTTCCCTTGCTACTTCTGGAAATGTGTTATATGGCACTCGCTATGCATGTTTCAGGAAAGCATTAGTCTTAGATGCAGTATTATAGCTAACTTTCAACCTGGTTCAAGGGGAGCTCTGTAGAATTTAGAAGGCTAGGCTGCAGTGTGCTTTTTGTAGTTTTTGGCCGCACTCTTCTCAATAATTCATGGACCATTTGTGATGGAATACGCATGAAGTTGCAAAATTTTAATGTAAAAGCATTGGTTTCGTTCACCAGCCTAACCATTAGTTTGACGTACATTCCAAGGTTGATTTTTTTCTCTTACCGATAGTGCACACAGCATTTCCGTTTTCTCTTTTAAGGTTTTAGATGTATAATTGACACTTTTTCAAAAGGCGTTTAAAACTTTATATTATTAAACATTACTATATTCTAGACATTAATACAAAATATTACAAAAGTTTACCATCTTTTTTGAAAAATATTGGCATTTAAAGTTCAACTTTTGTATCGGTTTTATACAAAAACAATCATGTTTTCATTATCTGTAGAAAAGTTCCACTTATTTCATATTTTCTATACTTGAAAAGTGATAATAAAGAACTATAGTTTTTGAAAATTTTTAAATAAATCAATGCAAAATGCATATGATTTTTTTGTTTATTGAGACAGGTACCTGTCATTATACATAAAAATAGGAAGAGGGTGGGGATAAGAAAACCCTTCAGAGCTTGTCAAATGTAATCGGGATATTAAAATATTTTTAATAATAATTATCTAAGGACTATTCTTAACAATGGTACAAAACATAAAGAAAGTTTACCATGCTGATTTTTTTAAATAATAATCATTTTAATTCGTTAAGCTATCCAATTGATAGATCCCAACTATGACCTTTTATTTGAATAACAATATATTTTACCATAAACATTGACATGCTTACCAAAATCACTATAATAAACGAATTCTGAAATTAATCAAAATTTGCGATATTGAAAAGAATTCACATACAGCTTAGCCTAAATCTAAATGTACATTATATGTATCTTTTAGCTGTGTATTAAGCTATATATTGCCGCTGCCAATTTGTTTGATTTTTTTGTGTTAAAGATGCCTGTATGAAAGAAATATGTTAGTATATTTCCTTGAGCGAGTGACTCAAGCGTTGCTAACGTTTAAAACCGTACTTTAATTAGTAGTACTATTTCTTGATCCGGAACATTTTATTCTGTTTTAATGTAAATAACAGAAACATTCTATGTAACTCATTCGAAAATCGAGCATAAAGTACTGAAAAAAACATAATTCTTTTTTTTCATTAGAAATATCTTTATTTCCTACAAACTTTTCATAATATTTCTCATTAAAGATTTGTGCCATGAATGAAAATGAATTTAGGAAGAATAAATTTTGTTTCGATGCAAAGTACAAGAAATAAATAAATTTCCTACGTTGAGATAAAAACAATACAAAATATACCTATATAAATGTTCGTGCTCATAAATAAAAAAATACTTACGTTAATGTTTTAAGTACCCAATCTTAATATAATTCATTTTCTGCTAAATTTCAAAATTTACGCTTTAGATCAATCCATCAAATATAAGTGCAGAGTCTACCTAATTAACTTATGTTAAATAACATGCGCATTTTCATATCGACAATTAACTACAATTAACCTTTAAATATAATCGGTACCTTTTTTAAAAACATCCAACCGGTAATTATATGTGCACTCATTTAGTACCTCATTTTCTGAAAATTTCAATTGATTGTGAAACAAAAATAAAATTCATTGAGAAAAAATCTGATAGAGAAAAAAAGCAAAGCAGGGAGTCTACCCATACCTCATTTGCAAATAAATCTTATCTCCATTTAAGGTCCCCGATCGTTAATATCGATACATGTGGTTTTGTTTATTTTCTGAAAATGAAAGTAGGTCCTCTACTTAAGCGTTATCCGATCTAAGCCAATCAAATACACCGTACTGAACGACGTATGGAGGTAAACCAATAGTGTCGTAGATAACCGCGACTCTTTTTTGAAAAACTCAGTTGGTTATTCCGTAATGTTGCTCTATTTTCAGATCGTTACTTGGAAATGGTCAAAGTGAAAGTAGAATTTTAACATGACGGGAAAATTTTTTTGTTGAGATTTTTCTTCAATTTGACGGAGATCTAGAAAACCAATAACCTTTGTTGTAAATTTCAAATCATTCGCTCAATCGTATGGTCCAGAGTAAAGATTTTTTTTGTGAAAATGAGGCTTAGAACCGCAGTAATATGTCTTTTTAATCTTTTTTCTTTTAACGTTCTGTCTAAATTTTAATCTTTAAGGCTTTTTGTGTAGCGCATTTAGTGCAATTAAATATACATACCTTTAAACATTTTAAGAATGTTATCGATCTAGATTTTATTCATTTACACAGAAGTAAAGAAATCATTCTTATATCCCTATGAGATAGAACCGCCTTTTTATTAGATACTAATTGGCAAACTGTTGGTTTATAAGACGCCGCGAGCACCAGTGGTAAATTATAGTCTAGCTTTTGTTTATATTTTTGTTGTTTTAATAACATCAAACTGTTTTCAAATTCTCTAATAAAATAACTTTTCTCATGTACAACATGTCACCGAGCTTTAAGGAATTAAAGTAAGCATTTAACTGAAGTGATACTGTCATGTTTGAATATCATATCAGTATCTTATTTTATTTACCTAATAAATAACTTTTCAAGGACAGGGAACAAGGGATGTCTAAAATACGCAATATAGCTACGGGCACAACGGATTTTTTTTATGCAAAACAGGCAAAATGTATACATACATGCTTATTCATTCAAGATATAAACAGATTAAATGAGTAAGTTTGTATTAAAATGTATCACAAATATTTGCAATATGTTTTTTTGACAACTGATCGTTAAACTTCACGCAGTTGGTCGAGGCATATAACGTTGTTTTTCTTTTTATTGGAATTCCTATCATTCTGACCAATCGTTCATTGTTTATTTATATGTATATGTGTATTATCAGCTTGCATCAGTCTGTCTCACAAAATTAATGAAATTTATGCTGACCTAACAAACATTAAGCTATTAAATGGTTTAAATTATGTTTTTGAATATTTACCCTGTACGACTGTGATACATAGTATTAACTGACAATATTTTATTGAGTACCAAGTAAGCGTAAAACAGTGAATTTGAAGAATGGAACGATTTCATTAAACAACCACTGTTTATTATTATTATATATATACTTTTTATAAACAAACTGATTACTTTGTCATGTATTATGTTCTCATTTTGGCTGTATCATTCAAAAAATATTGTGAAGGTAGTAACGAATTTATTCTCGCCAGAACATTTTAAAGATACCTTCAGAAGTTCGCATGAGTTCGTATAGTTCGTATGTCAGTAGAAAAAGGACGTTTCATTCAAGTTTAATATGTTTTCAACATGTTTGGGTATTTTTTCTCTCTCTCTCTTTTGATGACGTTTATTTCGCTTTCACTTCTCATTAAAAAAAAACAATTCATTTATTTTCTGGATGGAATTATGTTAATAGAATGAGTCCCTTATCATTGATCTATTCCAGCATTAACCATTTAAATGTTTTCAGCGAGCATTATATTTTATCAACGCTTATCAATCTTACTAATAATTTTAAATGGATTTTCAGCGCTTCGTTACGAGTTAAGCTATCAAATTATTTCGCTTCGTTACGAGTTAAGCTATCAAAAACATTTGCAATATCCATATTTACTATTCTTGTCAAATTACATAACAATTTGTACATACAATTCATTTAAACATATCGTTATACAGTTTTCTAATCAAATTACTGAAAAAGTTGTCGAATTGTAAATCTTTCATGTAACGCAACTTATTATATTAAACTGACCTTGGTCTGAAATTTAAATTGAAAAGGCAATTTCTTTTTGTCAGACTAAAGGAAATTCTTGTGCAAGCACTGAGGGCAAAGGCATGCAAGTATCATACAAGTATCAAGCATTTTTCTTTAAGTATTATATAATTACTTCAATAAGAATGTTAATAGTTTATGAACTAAAGGTTTATAAATTTCAGATAAAATGCAACACAAGTTTTAAAGCACTTGGTACCTGTGTAAAAAAGTACATCAACAAAGATTTTTTCATGATTTATTTTTAATGATTCTCGAATCAAACAAAATGGTCAACATTTGGATCCGACATTTAACAACGATTTAACACCACGACACAATTGTCTCAAAGAATATCACATACAAATGGCACCATTTACAAAAATATAGCTTTTAAAACATAAAAAGTATGGACTGAAAATTTACGTATCAAAATTAAAGTGACAACATTATCATTTTAGCTCGTCTATCCGATAAGAATAAGTAGAGCTATTGTAGTCACCCGAGCGTCGGCGTCGGTGTCGGCGTAACCACTTATGTTAAAGTTTTTGTAACACCTCAAATATTTTCAAAGTCCAATGACATATGGCTTTAAAACTTTGCACACTTGTTCACCATCATGACCCCAACCTGTAGACAGAGCGAGGTAACTCTATCAAACATTTTGACAAAATAATTATGGCCCCTTTTCGACTTAGATCGAATTAACATTAAAGTGTGCATACCACCTCAGATATTTTCATATTCAATTGACATCTGGCTTTGAAACAAGTTGAAATTCTATACACTTCTTTGAGAGCATTATAGGACACTCTTCAAGTCCTATAACTAACATGGATTTAAAGGGGGAAAATGGCCCTTTTGTGAAGTTGAATTTTTTACATTATCAAGCACTAAGAATAGTCGAGCATGTCCTACCGTAGCATGTCCTACCGTCAGCTCTTGTTTTAATGTGATGTTGAGCTGATTTGACTATATACATCTATTTTAAAAGATTGACTATTCTTATTGCCATTGACCAATTATTGAAAATGAGAAGTGTTTAGTATATAAAACAACTGCCTAAAGTATAAAACAAACTACCCCACTCTTTTTATCAATTAAACATCAACGACACAGTCCGAAGGATTTTTATAAGAATTTACAGTGAGGCGCGTGAGTTATTGATTATACAGGTTAACTAGATTAACAAGAGGGCCATGATGGCCCTTAGGTCGCTCACCTGTATATAGGCCCCTTCCTCTCCCCCCCCCGGCAGGGCCAATTTTTGGACAAACTTGGTAGACACCCATAAGAAGATGTTTCATGCTAAACATCTAAGTTCTAGCTCATTGGGTTTTTTAAAAGAAGATTTTTTTAAGTTTTACTATACACATATATTTAAAAACAATGACACCCCTGGGGTGGGGCCAGTTTTGACCCCAGGGCTAATATTTGAACAAACTTGGTAGACACTAACTAGAAGATGTTTCATACTTTATATCTAAACTCAAGCTATTTGGGTTTTTTCCAAGAAGATTTTTAAGTTTTTGCAATACACATATAAGGAAAATCAATGACCGGGGCGGGGCCAATTTTGACCCCAGGGCTTTTATTTGAACAAACTTTGTAGACACTCACTAGAAGATGTTTCATGCTTAATATCTAAACTCTAGCTATTTGGGTTTTTTCAAAGAAGATTTTTTATACACATATAAGGAAATTCAATGACCCTCGGGGCGGGGCCAATTTTGACCCTAGGGCTTTTATTTGAACAAATTTGGTAGAAACCCATTAGAACATGTTTCATGCTAAATATCTTAGCTCTAGCTCTTTGAGTTCTTTAAAAGAAGATTTTTTAAGTTTTTACTATATGCATATAGGGAAAATCAATGACACCCTGGGGCGGGGCCAATTTTGACCCCAGGGCTTTTATTTGAACAAACTTGGTAAACACTCACTAGAAGATGTTTCATGCCAAATATTTACGCTCTAGCTCTTATGGTTTTTTAAAAGAAGATACTTAAAGTTTTTACTTTCGGTTGCCATGGCAACCAGAGTTCTGCATGGAATTAAATTCTTTGAACAATTTTTAAAGGTGACCACCAAAGGGACATTCCTGTGAAGTTTGGATGAAATTAGCTTAGTGGTTTATGAGGAGATGTCATTTAAAGTAAAAGTTTACGGACGGACGACGGACGGACGGACGCCGGACGAAAAGCGATCACAAAAGCTCACCCTTTCACTTTGTGACAGGTGAGCTAAAAATTGAAAATAATTATGCCAAAGTCTAAATTCACTATTTACACTTTGATGGGCATAATGTCACTTCAAAACATCAATTATAAAATAGTACAAAACCAATCATATAGAATTCACAACGCATCAAAGGTAAAGGTAAAGAGCAGTATCAAAAGTTAATGAACATAGATGCACCAAGAGTTGCAAAAAATCATCAGAGTTAAATGTGTACTGAAAACTAAACATCATGAATTGACTGATAATCGACACACCAGAATGAAAATAACTAAAGTATAATTCACAATGGTGCTTTTGTTGCAAAATATGAAAGTTGATGTTCATATTTCATGTCAATCCATCTTTAAAACAAAAATAGCAGTTTCAAACATTCAGTCTCTGTTCCCAGGCATCTTCTGACATCGTGCTGGCAACATATTTTTCAGATAAGTCATAGAGCTCATGCACTCCAACTTGAAAGCTTCCTCACAGGAATATAATATAACACACGATCACGATTCGAACCAATATCGGCGAAGTTCGCATGACTGTTAAGACTTTTGCCGTCGGAAGAATGCGGAAAGCGATCACAAATTCTACATATGACACAAGGAAATACACGATGGCAAAGTTGTGTAAGCTTTTCACATGTTTAATACGTCACTTTCCAAACTGAGCAAGTCCTCGATGTCTTGAAGATCAGGGATCTGGTCTTCGTGCGACATATTCTGCTCAAGGTCAAATCTGACAAAAAACAACACAAATTAAACAACTGGAAATCTTGCAATATATTATATCATTACAAAACAATTTTTAAACTGATGTATATTTTGTAATTGATTTTTAATTGAAACAAATCAAACTGCATATTCTAACGAAGAACATTCATCAAATTACCAGTTTGATTATCGAAAAGTTACCCCATTACACAGACATTATTATGTATAATTAATGCCGTTTTTGTTTAAAGAAACAAGGCTCCAAAAATAATCCCTCATGGACAAAGAACATGTTTTTAAATTTACATTAATTACAATAAATGCGATAAAGAATATCATGATTACAGTTAATTATCATCACTAATAGCATGGTGTTCACATATTCATAAACTATTCAAATTGGACGTGATACAATTGTAAAATTATTCATAATCACATTTATTTTAAGTAACATTATTTTCAAGAGAGCTGTTACAGCGAATTAGATTTCATTTTTAAAGTAAGTTTTACCCTAAATCTTCCAATGAGTTGCCAGACATAAAATCCTCTTCATTATTATTAGTAGGATAGTTGGTACTTTCTTCTGAAAACGTAATCTGATTTGGATTAGTCGGTGCCGATTCACAACCATTCTGTGACCAGAGTAGGACACTTCTGTATCGCTGGGGTGTTAATGTCTCTCTTAGATCTTTCATGGTCGATAATTGAAGTGTTGAATTACTTTCCAGAAGCTGTGTAGTTTGAAATTCGTTCCATTCTGATTCATGTTCTAATACGTTTGTGTTTTCATTGGATCTGACATCTGTCCCCGATCCGGTAAGTAAGAGATCAAAGCCAGTCAACTGTGGATCAAGTCTTTCTGGTGTACTGGCCCCGCCCATTGACAGATTAAAATCATTTACAGATTGGTTTATGCCTTGATATGATGCAATTCCCGCCTTACTTGCCTGATCTTCATGGTAATATAGTGCGGCATTCTTTGCACCTGACGCAAACGCATCTTCTGCACTACTTTTCATTAAATAACTTTCAGGTGAATATGGAACAACAGAGTCCCCATTTACATCATTTCCGTGAGATGGTGAAAAGGAAAAATTGGGTACCGATTGCTCTGGACTCTGTTCCATATAGCTTGGACTAATTGAAGAATTGCCCGAGATTTGAGATGTGTATTCCTTCCGTTCCGAATCATAAGGGCATTCGCTATCCTCGGACATATTCGAGGGACTATCTAAACTTTGTCCAAAATTGTTGTTTTCATGTTTTCGCCTTGCTTTCTTTACGACTCTTGATCCTTTAAAAAATGTAACAGTTGTTATAATAGTGTAAATCCATATGTAAAGGATTCAATAAGGTTCAATTACTTCATATCATTGATATGTATCACAGCAATGTTATGGTCATACAGATTATAACCGACTTGAAATCACTTTCTATTCACTGCTGTAACTTCGAAACCAGTTAAGGACGTTGCAAGAAAGCTATCAAGCTAGCTTACCGAGGGTGAGTGGTAATGCACGATGACAATCGCATGCAATTTACCGATCAATTTTATTTTCTTACTACATGTAGTTATATATTCTCGGATGTCAATTATATTCTAAGATGTAAATAACGGACAGAAGTGTCAGTAAAATTTAAACAAAATTCAAAATACTTTTTGTTTCCTGCAGAAGAAATGCTTACCAGGTGAGTTTGTTTCCGTGTCAGCTTGTGAGGGGGCACCAGCAATAAGGTTGATTTGCCTATAATTTAGTAATGTTTATAGGTTTTATATGATAGTCTTATCATTCCGAATAACTTCTAAAACTTTAAATTCTAATATCACTTGAATTATGTTTAAAATATTTTGCATTTTATACAACATAAGAAGGTGTTTATGAAGTTTTAATTTGTTCGAAAGAAGGTGAATTATTATCATACATACCTAACTGCTTTTTCCAAGTCAGGCACTGACAGTTCCACATCTGATGGTTTCTTATAACCAAAATCATCGCCATTGATTTCCTGCTTGCCTGCTGATAAAAATTATAACATTTTCAACGTAAATTGTAACGATTTTGGTAAATATATCATAAATTCTTTTCTAAGATTAATCCAATCATACTTTTTATATGATCACATCACACACAGATAAAAAGTGGATGCAGTCCTTATGCCTCAACCATTAAGGCAGCCCCTCGGCCAAAATGGACACATATGTCTATCAATTAAAAAAGTAAATCTTCACCTACCTTTATTTTTATAGTACTTGTCAAAGAGTTCCTGTCGACTTTTACCACCAGGATACAAAAAGCAGTATAAAAGTTTTTTCTCGTCTTTCAAAATATTCGCCAAATATTCCGGCGGGTCACTTAAATCGAGATCCTCTACCACTTTTTCTGTGCTGAAATCGGGCTGGCCCACACTGTTTCTTTTTGCTGCAAAACAATGTTAGCGCATTTTCTAAATATATTAGTTAAGAATAATGACAAAAGAGCACATATTCAAAAAGATACGCAGATTTCATCATATTATCATTGCACAGAACAAGTTCTATGCATAATCTAGTTTTAACACATTTATTTGGCTCGATCATGATAAAATCTTGAAGCGTGCTTGAACTGTTCTCGTGTCGGAACTGCTTCATGGAAATAACCAGTACAGGTGTTATATGAAGAAACATTCTTGTGACCCTAGAAGGGCTCAAAACCATGATCCCAATTTCAAAACTTTTCTTTCAAAACCATCTTGCTATTTGGGAAACTTAAGTCGAGATTTCAACATAAGAAAAATATGTTTTTGCCAAGAATATCAATACACATACCCGCTTCTCTTGATTTAGAAAATTTGATACAAAATACTGATGCTTTAAGTCGACCATATACATTTTTCACGCCGTCTCTGTCTCTTATCTCCGTATCAGAAAAGCGGAGAATAAATGTTCCACTTTCCTTGCATTTTGACAGCATCCTATGCACGATTTGCCGATGTTCAAACCCCATTATTAACCTGAAAACAAAAATATGGGTCGTGTAAAGAAAACATCGTAAATTTCATTATCTAAGCAGATATTTTGCTGAACCAAACTTACATTTAAAAAATATGTCCATAGAATAAGTATCCCCAATATTTAATTGTATAGTCAATGAAATCTTAACAATTACTGAAACGGACATACAGCGCGACGGACGGACAAGGGCAAATATATACCCCCTTCAATAGTGGTTGGGGTACAAAAATGACTTGAAATTACTTTTAAACATGTAAAGGATTTGTCTAGTTTTTGGTTGTGCAGGTGTCGCTTATAGAACTTATAAGGTTATTACTGGCACTGAAATTCCTAGTATAAGTAGACGGGGCTCACCTTGTAAAATATACCATATAAAAGTCATCAAAGAATAGTCATTATAAGGGCATCAGTTAAATATATTAAATATATCATCGGGTAATGACTTTCGCCATCAAATGTCAAAATATTGAAAATACAGAAAGCAATTAAAAAAACATGGATTGACAAAAATCTGATATGTACTAACCCGTCATTCCAATATTTCAATAGAAACTCCTCAATGACGTTGAAAACTCCAAGAAACCATTTCCAGAAGGAGTAAGGTACATGTTTTGGATATTTATCCTTTTTATCCTTTTTCTCCTTAGGGATGAAAGTAACATACAATTAATAGTTAGTTGTAAAATTTTATACTGGTTCTTATACTACAATTACTCATTGATTTACAGGATTTTTCATTCCGAGAAGAGCCTCAGCTGTATAAACATCTATAATAAAAATTACTGTAATATGAAGTTATTAATTAATTCTCTTAAAAACATTTACTTTAATATGAAGTAATAATTAATTAATTATCTATAAAACGATAAGTGTTCATAAAACAAGTCATCTTTACTAAACTTATGTTAACATCCCTATTATTCCAAATCATTTCATATTTTTATTCATTGCATGGATGGCAATTTACACATGTTCTTTCTATCCAGCTGGCTTATGGTACGGCGGTGCCCGTTTTGTGCCTGAAATACTAGTATTGCACACAGCGGCACCTGGCGGTTTTTTACCACCAGGAAAGCTGGAAAGTCGTCATATGACATACTGTGTTGGTGCGATGTAAAACCTAACAACAACACGCATTATTTATTAATAATAAAAAGCCTCTCCAAAAAGATAAAGCTATTTCATAAAAGCTATGCCCAAAACAAAATAAAATGCTTTGAAAACAATAGCACAAACTAATTGTTTTCATTCCTGGAATATCTTACCCCGTCGAGGGAGTAATCCTTCATCTTGCGTCCTGTTGGGTCCTGAAATTATACAACACATAAATGCTAGCGTTCATTTTTTATCCGTGACCTGCTGGATTAAAATTAATATGCCATGCTTCAAATTTAAAACATTCAGTTAATAATTATAGGGATTTCATGATCAAAAATAACAAAAGATTGAAGTACCAACATTATAGAGTCTATCAGCCTGCGAAGATGTGCGGGCTGGTCCGACTCTATACTTGTTGCAAAGGCAAATCACCTTCGGGTCCAGCGGTTAAGGGTTAAAAAAACACTTAATAACTGAATTTGCTGCAGTAGCAAAGTCTATAGTTTGCAATTAGTGAAATACATATTTATTGACTAACTTGAAAACTCTAAATTCTTATCATGCTTTAAACATTGACCAAATAACTCAATATCATCATGAATCTCACAAAATAATAGTTTCAACATTTACAATTTAATAAAATAATAATAATAATAATAATAACAATAAAAATATGTACTTACACAACAAAACTGGGACAACGACACCAGCTCATCATCAGGTTTATTTTGATCACCTAAGAATTATGAAATATCTATTACAAATTGTAGTTATCATGAGTTTTATCAAAATGTGAGATTTGGAGAGATACCTTTGAACTTGTTATGCTAGAAAAACTCATGTTATCAATACCGATACAAATAAATACAAATAAAGTAGACATAAAATTCGTAGCCTAGGATATAACTAGCATGTAACTTTGGGTAGCAACCTGGATGTTGTGCTCTGCAGATTGCGTCGTAGTGGGGATCATTTGTGCCAAATTATTTTAAAACCTTTGAATTGTCAGTAATTTATAGAGCTAGGCTACTTTTATTCATCATGCATAGCCGTTTCAAACGAAAAAGAGAAGTGAATATTAGACGATTTCATATAGCTGCGTCTGTGCATATATGCTACACTTAGGAAAATATCTTTCTGTAAACCGGCAAATATCCTAGACTTAATAATAAGGGTTTTATCAGAACATCAATATCTTGATCTGGACTTTGTTTAAGATCTCAAAAGTAGCAAAACTTCTGAGTGTGATTCGTACTAATTAACTCCATGGAAGTCAAATAAATAGGAAACCCTTTTATAAAATATACTTGTGCATGCACCTCCTTTTATTGGAACACTATATTCAAACCGTAATGAAATTACATAGCATTTTCACTCTATGTCACACTTGCAAACAATACAGACTTTCCTTCTGTCTTGTATTATTTTTACATGTAAATCATGAGTAAACATACAGCAAACACAAATGTATAATAAGAAATATAGTATAATATGATACAAACAGATACGACAGGGAAATAATTGAAGACAAACATGTCAGAACCACAAAAAGCGGTATCATATCATATCAAACATAGAAGTTTATTCTATACAAAACAAGAAAAGAAACAATAAATGCAAGTACCAAATAGCTGTCTTTTAAGGTGTTTAATGTTGTTATCGGTGAGGTTGTGTGACTTAGAAATCATAGAGAACTTCATCTTCAGCATCTCGGCAACTAATGACCACTTCAATTCTGTTGGAGTCATCTCGTGTATGGAAAACTGAAAAAAAAGCAAAAAAAGTTCAGCATAGTGTGAACAATGTATATATACCTCAATTCCAGTTCTAAATATATTTTTTGTGTTGTTCACTATGTTCATGTAAAAAAATTGAGTCCTGCTTTAGTCGGTGGTAGAGGAAGTAGTCGGTGGATTTCACTTACCTATGCTGTCCTTGAACTTACTTGATCAAACCGAGCCTGCCACATTGTCAATTTTCGCGTTTTAATGCTTCCACTATATATATATTTGATGTTTGTACACGAGCTAATTTTCATCTGAATTTTAAAATGTATTAAAAAGTAAAATATTTTGTTGTTTAAATAAGTTGATTCTAAAAATGAATTGGCAAGAAACACTCTACTTACAACATTTGTTGAAAAACATTGCCACATGATAGAAGCTAAACTGTTAACTTCTTGGTTTGATGCAGTTATCACCACCAGGGGCAAGGACATTGTCTGGAAATAAATCATCTTATATAATACTTTACTAAATTTATTATATAATCTATATTATTAAATTACATGAATGAGTACATGTGACAGATTTAGTGAAACACTTTGTGCTAATAAATTCACATACAATTGTATATCTGATCTTTATTCCTCAATTTCACCCACAAGCTCATATTATGACACTTATTATTGACTTTGGAAGTCTTGAAATTCTTATGTCTTTAAATTTAATTTTTGTAAACAAATGCATGATTTTTTATACGAAGCCAAATTACGCAGACTAATCCGGACAGTGTCGGTTTTGAAGCGAAAACATCTGTTTGGCATTTGCGTTTGACATATATTAAAACAGGGACAACCGATGCTTTAGAAAAGAAAAAAACACACCATTATAGCATTTTTTTTAACATTTCAAACCGTTAACTATTCTGATTAATAAAATAATGGTACAATTAAGTATTTCATCTGCTATGGTTACACTAATTTTTTCTATATACCCAAATCGTTTGTGATTCCAACTGCGTAATAAAAACGACCCTGAACTTTTCCTCGTGCACTTTAACTTCCTTGTTCTGTTGTCTCTTGAAGGTTTCTTCAAACGTTAGATTTTTGCAAACACATTCCATTCTATTTGTTTCTTTCCGAGATGCAATTTCAAACTTCTCAGGAGAATTCCGCTTTTTGGAAGCAAGCACATTCTTTACTCTTATTTGTTTCCTTGCCAATTCTTCAAATTTCAGACCATTACTATCTACACATTGCCTCAGGTTTACTTCAGATACCAAATAAGGAGTTACTTCCCCTACACTGTCATGCATGTAGTCAGCAGCCAAAGCCCTAAAATAAATAGACAATGCATTAAATGCACGTGGTACGGAGTATCTCTTCCTATTCAAGCCAATTATAAATATTTTTAATTCTGAACGTTTGTTACGTCGCTTTTCATTTGGTAATCATGACGTTTAAATTTTAGTTATGAAGATCATTGACAGGTTATATGGACCTATATAAACAGTTGTTTGAAAATATAACCCAGGCCGCTAGTAATATTGCCTAGCGGCTCCTTTTATATAAACAAAGGTTGATATTGGGCCATATAACTTGTTAAAACTCTTTATAACTAATAATATATACATCACTTTAAGTTAATTTTTGTTCGTTTTCATGGTGTGAAAAAGATATATATAAAAACAACTTTTTTGCTACAACACTTACATTTATATCTAAAAATAAACGAACCTTCAATTTCAACTTCGGCAAAATAACTGTCGCACATTATTCGTTTATCATTCGTTTCAAAAGGTAATAAAGACATCGAAATGAACCACAAGTGATCAGACTGACGCAATATTGATAACATCATGTATCCTGTTGTTGTCCTACTGCTTTTAAAATAACCCTGCGTAACATTTTACAATTGTGCGCATTCAATAATAATGTGTTCTTTAAACAAAACAGGGGATACATGCTTGTAAACCAAAAAAGCAACTGTTTTCACTCCATATAAAAGGTATAACTGATAAAACTACCTTATACAGAACGCTGGGAAATGTTTCTTCATTTTCCGTATACAGAATTCCTCTTGTTCGGTTACAACAAATGTTCTAAAATGATAAATAAGAAGTAATAATTCATTATTAAACAAAACAAAAAAAACAAAAAAAAAACATCAATACCTTAATAAAAATACAAATTTTCTTTAAAATATTTGAATATGCATGTACAATGTAAAATGTTTAACCTATTAAAAGTTGTTTTCAAATGTGTTTATTATTTTTTGTTTCACATATTTGTCATGCAAGGAGGATAGACAAAAATGGAGTAAATCATGTTATTCTCATGTTTATGAACTGTAGAGCCTGATTTAAAAAAAAAAAGTATTGGTCTGTCTGTCTGTCTGTCCGACAGAAAAATATAACAAAAATGGAATAAAAATAAAAACCTTTGCAAAAAGACTGCCCATAGTTTCTGGTAGGCTGACAAATGTGTTTCATAATCTTGTTTAAACTGGGGGACTTCAAAAGTTGTCAAAATCTCCTTCCATCCTTCAAAATCTTTAGCAAGTAACTGATGCAGGATCTGACCAGTTTCCCCACAACTTGAGGTATAAAAGAAAAACATATTTGTTATTCAAGCAGCATGAGCAGATGAGCTAAAAAAAATTCTATAAAATCAAACTTAAGAAAAAAGTAATAAGATTTAAGAAAACGTAAAAAGATTAAAAGTTGAAAGTAATAATTTTGCATGTTATGTGTATAATATACAATATTTATAACTACATTTCTAATTCGACACTAATGCAGTTAGGAACATTCTTGCGTATTATGACCTCCTTGCGTTGCAAGTGTCATTGACAATGTGTAATTATATAATTCTTTATAATAGAATTTATGCAAAAACACCAAAAGAAAAATTGCATTAAAATGACCTAAAACGCAACATATTTAAAGCAATTAAGTATAAATATTCACCGTTGAGCAATGCTTTTAAGGTCTGGTGAATCAGCAAGCCTGGCATAAAACAGCTGAAACTGTGCTTGCCATTTTTTTAACTGTTCGGTTAGGTACTTTATAAGACTCTCCAATATGGCGTAAGAACGTTTTAACAAATCTGACATGTTCTGTAATGGTAATGTTAGTAATTAAACATCAATGATATGTTAGTAATGAAGCATAAAAAATATGTTAGTAATTAAACATTTTACATCAGATATGTGGATCACACAGAGAAAGCTTTTTTGTACTTTATGTAATATTATGGTTATTTCAAGGAAATAATAATCTTTACTGAAAATAGAGGATTGCCATAAGTGTAGCTATATTTTAATGCAAATATGCCAATGTAGGGTCAAGGTCAAGTCAAAAAATTTAGTTCTTTAACACCTTTGATGATTTAAGTTTTCTTTTTTTTTTAAATCAGTTTATATATATATTCATGACAAAAAACATTGTTTACACAGTTGAAAATGTAATCTACATTTCTAGTTTGTATGATATCATCCATTCATTTGATTTATGCTGATAACAAACTTGTATCAATGTTTCATTATCAATATTATCAGGTCATAAAGCAAACTATCTGACTGCTAGCAGCATTCTTCTCATGCAACCGGTGCAGATCATGACCGGTACACAGCATGGAATTCGGTACACAGCATGGAATTCGTCATGGATTTTGATCATGTCAGGTTTCAGAAAGAGACATAATTTGGAAATAAGTTTAAAATGATGAACGGTTTTGCCTCGATTGAAAGATGGATAAGATAGTTTAATAAATTTAATTAACATGGCATGAGCTAAAATATAATGAAATAAAAATGTTAACATCACCTGGTTTTGGTGGTCAACATTTTGAAGTATAGTCTGAACATTTTCACCACCTGTTGGATTATGCTCAAGGAGATTACCTGTAAAAATATAATTTTCTTAACTTGTTAACAATTTTAAACCCTTCCCAAGCAAAGACCAATGGCCTATTTACATCATTGTTTAAAAATAACGACATATGTTTCCTTATTTCAAAAGTCATGCGTCAAAAATTAACATTATCCCCACTTCTCCCATGTAAAACTCACATTTCAGACCCATTTATTTCCTTTGTTCTTAATTTGATTGCCCTAATAAACCTATTTTCCATCCTTATAGTCATAACACTTGATTTTCTCACAAATGTATACAAAAAAGTAGTAAAAAAAAAAGAAAGGAGTGTAAGTTTATTTTCCTTTTTAAACCCTATATGACTTTGTATCTTCTTAGTGATCATTGTTCACTAGCTTGAGTAAACATATCTTGAAGACAAACAAAATTTCACTGCCACGGAAATACCTACTTCTTTGAAAGTCTACCCATACTAGTAGGTGGTTGCATCTTAAATGAAGAAATGCAATGAAAAACACATTTCATGCAACCTAGTACTGATCTCTAAATCATTAAAATCTAAATTAAAATTAAAATCTCAACCAAAACACGAAAAGGTGATTGAGTAACTAAATTATTATGCATGTAAAGCAATTCAGCAGGTGAAATTTGTAACATAGATATTCCTCTCTTAATTAATTTACAGATATTTCATTATAAATTAATTGCAGGGGACATCAGCCTAATAACAAGAAAAATAAAGGATTTACCATCACTATCAACATGTTGGCTTAACAAGAAAACAGAATTTCTCAGTGCATCTAATTCTTCTTCTATATCCTATAAATAAAAAGACAGCATTTAGTGATCACCTATCTTGTATCCAGAGTCATAACTTTATTAAGAAATGCAAAATGACCCATGAAAAGCGTTATATTTACCAAATCGGCCAATGAATCGTACAAAAAAGATTTCAATTTAATTCTGTATGTATATTTCTTTATTATCCTTTCCAGATGTTTCCATTTTTTAAGTGCCTCGCTTTATGTACGAATTTCAAATTTTGTGTTTCCAAGGCTTTTGGAACTCAGTGGAGCTCCTATCGGTTGAGACACGACAACTGTAAACAATCTTATTTTGTTACTCTTGATGTTGATTTCTATGCCATGTAAAATAATTATAACGTTACTTGTTGATCTCATGCCACTAAACTCACATTGTAACATTTGTTGTATGATAAATGGTCTACATATTTTATAATAATTAATTCCTATAATAATTAATTCAACTGCAGAGGTGGTGTTGTGATAAAACTGCGTGTTAAAGTCAATAGTTCAAAAGCTATACTGGTTTGAAAAATAGCTAAAATTTGTTTCAGTAGGTAATGAAAATTTAAGCCTTCCAAATTACATGTCCATAAAAAAGAACTTATAAGATACATGTATCATTGTATGTACATATGTTCAAATATACAGATGTTCAAAATTGAAAAAGAAAATGTTTTGCCATCTATGTGTACAGTTTTACAAAACTGTTTAGAGTTTTTTTTTATTAATGCATGTAATTATTTAGTTAATTAATGAATAGTGCCGTACCTGTCTCGCCCCAGGTAAACGACAGGCTCAGTAGTAAGTACTAAGGCCTACCCTATCGTTAATAATCAGTCAATCAATCAATCATGCCTACCTTTTTCAACTTCTTTGCTAGTTCAACATCGACATTAATCGCTGCCATACTTGTAATCACGTGACCACATAAACTGATGTCTATGTAGGTTTGTAGGTTATAATTTTCCTATTCAATAAAAAATATCTCTTTTTAGAAATTTTAAATATATCTGCTCTTAGTGTAGATTCTAGTACTTCACACTTTATCTATAAGTACAATATACATGTAGCATTATATTGATTTTAAAGTGTGTAAATCGTTTGTTTTGTTTTTCCTCGATTTCAAATACGTGCACAGAAACGTATCTTCAACAAATTAAAAAAAATCAACGTTTAGAAACAGAAGTTGAACTCTGAAGCCTTGTAACTGCACACTGTTAAGTCTTAATTAATACTAAATTGACATAACCAGATAACATGTTATATGCATTGAAAGCACTTTCTAACCTAATAAGCTATAAACTAAGTCATATATGAAAAGTAAAACGTTCAACATACCTGACTAATCTCAAGTACACACTTCAAATGAAGTCGTTCGAGATAAAACAACAATTTAAAGCCGACATCTTTGAAAAGATACGATCCATCACGGCCCGAGTCCAAGTTAACAGCTCGGTGTGTTTACATGAGTATCCAATCAAATCACAGAACTTAGAGCTTTATCCAATCGTTTTCATTCAGTTCTAAAAATACATTTTGGTTTCCCAAAATCACACTAGCCGTTCAGTTTTTCAAAAACTACAATCAGGATTTTCCCTTGTTACTATTTTTGGATCAATTCATGGATATATAGACCGATATCGCTTACTTTAAGTAAACAAATGATGTTTGGTTTATCAACTTAATATTATTTGTTTACATCGATAAAGCATTTTTATCGTGGGTTTAAACTGAGGTAAAACAAACATGTGAGTCAATGTGAACACATTTTTTTTATATATTTATTAATTGTAAAAGGCTCATCATGTACAATATACGTGTATATATATATCTACATACGTACAGTCCTAATTATAAAGAATCAGAGATGATGAACCAATTTAGACAGATTTAATTTTGTGAAGAAAGAATTAACGTCCAATGTGAAACTTTATTAAATTCATTGACGATCTACCTGTCTGGCCCGGGTTGCTTAATTGTTTAAATAGAAAAGAAAGCTTGCATATTTAATAGGTCCATTTACAGTAGAGTAAAAATTTGAAACATTATATAAGACAAGTTGTTATATTTTACGTCATTTCATTTATTAATTATCTAATTCATTTCATGTGTTTATTTCATAAGAACTTCAGTCTGAATAAAATGTTTTGCAGCCAGATATATAACCGTTTGTTGAAAAGAACTTTTGATTTTCCACCATTCTGCTGCTGGGAAGAACCGTTTGTTGATATATATTTTTTATTTTCCACCTATCTGCTGCTACAATTAAAGGACCGTTTGTTGAAAAGAACTTTTGATTCTGCTAGAACGGACCGTTTGTTGAAAAGAATTTTACTTTAGATTTTCCACCACTTTAGTGTTTTTAAAAATAACACTTTTTTAAGAAATAAGGAAAAAAACGAATTAATATTTACATAAGGGATATAATCTTAATAAATAAATAAAGTCCGTACGTTACGTTATTAACGTTAAAACTAACGGGAATAATACATAAGCCATTCGCCTATACCCTGCGGTCAAAATTTGAAATAAAGGCCCACTAGCTAGACTAAGATACATGTTAGTCTGTCCTTTCTATCTAAATATCCTGTACACGCCATTAACCAATTACTTCATTTTGTTTTCTTTCTTCTCTTTTTTTTTGGTGTGTGTGTGTGTGGGGGGGGGGGGGGGGGGCGGGGGGGGGGGGGGGGGGAGAGAGGAGGTTTCCTAAGTAAGTCTTGTACCTCATGAACAAATATCTTTTAGAACTTCATAAAATAAAAAAAACTCACAAAAAACAACTATTTCCAGGTTCTGAGACCAAGATATACAACGGACAGCACCATATCACACAGCTTTGTCAGAGCTTCCCGCAAGATGTATATCAAAGGCTGTTTCAGGGATAAATGTCCTTCACAGAAATTATATGGTGCTCAGGTAAGTTGAAAAAATAAGATAAAATTGCATGTTTTTTTATTGTTGTATAAAAGTTTATACATACCATCAAATAGAGAGAAATAGAGAATCCCTAAAGAACGCACAAAACGACAATGAAAATAGAAATAAATAAACTGGTCAAACAGAAAGAAAGGTAATTTCTGACAGACTTTGGAAGGGACTTTGGAAGGAATGTATTCTGCATTAACGTAGATCACCCATATTTTTTGTAAGTGTCGTAGTTGTTCAAAAGATTAGATTTACCATCCCAACCTCTCGGCACTTTCTGTTAATAGTCTGATAAGGACAAATGATTATGAATATTTGTCGAGGTGTTCCAATTGTTAGGTGTAATACGACATTTAAGCTGTAACGAGTTACCTTTCTTTGATTCATATTCCACTAATATATTTTAAGGGTCAATTTGATGTATTAAACAGCATGGAATGAATAGAACATAATATTAAAACAACCTTTAATATTGTGGAGCAAGTGAATTTCAATATTTAAAAGAGATTCACAAAGATGCTGATAATGAATGCTATTTACTGAAGATTTTTTTTTTTTTTGCAAATTTGCAAATTGTTTAATATAAAACTGAAGAGAAAAGAAAAACAAACAGTTATTATTACATAGAAAATAATTAACATGTGCTCGTAATACAATATTTACATAGGCAATCGATCATTTCATGTACATCATACAACAGGTCCATTGTTTTGTTGAGTAATACTAAATAAATACATGTATTAAAGAAATTTAAGATTTATTGTTGTTGACAAGCAATTTAAACAATCCCGAAGTGTATAAATGTCATCAAATGAATAAATAAATGTGAAATTATCGTCTTTTTTTTCATGGATTTTTTTTATCATTTCTTTACCCTGATTTTTAACATATCCTAGGTATATTTAATTAGCCGACTTTCCTGTACATGTATTACCAATTTCTCCGAAATCTAACTGATCCTACTTCATTTCTGAATCAGCAGTGAGATGAAAATGACCATCCAGTGGGATCAATGTCCGGGATCAATTGCCATTGAGTAATAAGTTTCAACAACAAAGGTTACATTATTTGCTGCTCATATGTACTCAAAGTATCAGGTCAGTTTGGCAAAAATAAATAGAAATTCAAAATAACAATCTGATTAAAATCAGCTCTAAATTACGCTCCTACATGTAAAAAAAAGTAGATCTGAACTTTAGCAGTCAGATTGTTCAAAATAATACAATTCTTTCTAGTGTCATTGTTACATGCTAAATCAATTTATATCACACACAAATTACGATAAAAAACAATGGTAAAGAAAAAAACAGAATCCTTGCCCCTTGACAATGCAAAAGTTGTATAACCTTAAATATGCTGGTTCAAAAACTTATTAGTCTTTGCCAGACCATGGGGTCAATTTTTCAATGACCCCGTTGAAAACTGATCAAATATTTGCAGGTCATGTTTGAACATTGATAAGTGATCTAAATAATATTGTGAAATATGTCGATGGTCATACATACATGTATACAGTAATATTTCTGTAGTCCTTTAAGATTTTTAGGTGATGAACATTTCTTTATTTCGTTCAAGAGGACCCAGGGCTAAAACATTTTGCCAATCAGCAATAACTTTTATAATGGACTGCTCTATGCTTCTATAATATTACATTGCATGCTTATGTGGTTGTATTCTCCCCACTTTTACAAGGATTCACTTGTGAAATTGACTGTATTCAACTGTTATTAATACTCGAGAAAGTGACTGTATTCAACTGTTATTAATACTCAAAAGATATCACACTTGTTAAAACCCATCTACCCTTCTTAGAATGCATATTAACCATAAGGATCTATTACATGTTTTTCAATCTCATGTGCAATCTTATTACAGTACTGACGTAAAGTAATGTCCAAGGGAAGTAACTGCTATGTGTGTAGTGCCAGCAACGGTTACTTCCCCTGATCATTTCAGAAAAGTAAGATTGATGTGCTTGTAAAATGACGCCTGCGAGAGATTCTGTTCTTAACAGGGGTTCCTCTATTACAAACCAAACATCTACTACAAGACAAACAAAACTCAATCTTAAATGTACAATATCCCCTATTTTGATCAAAATTTTACGATCGATCAGTTCTCAACATCGTTTTGATCAAAATTAAATGTTGAATGTTTGGCAGAGTAAATTCTCACTTTAAAACATAACCCAGGTTTAGTTCCCAAAGTTGAAAAATGACCCATGGGCTCAATTTTCAACAGGATCAAAATTTAATGTTACCCTGGCCTTCACACTAATGCAGTTTGGCCAAGCAATTTTTTAGCTGGCCAACTTCCAATTTTGATACTGGTATCCCCAAATCATTCAGGATGCTTTCATATGTTATAATTAAGTTTATAACCCTGTAATTCAATATTCCGATTTAATATCTTGCATAAACTAAACATTCTGTACATGATACAAACAATTAAAATCTATACACACAGAATATTTACAATCATGAAGCATAGGAATTAAGTCCAAAAACAAAATCGGATATACATGTACCCACCGGTATCATAGCATTTACTGCACAGCAGTATAAAGCTACACAAATTTAAGCTATACAACATTTTACATATTTGTTTAATGTATGATGAACATAAATGGCACACGTAATTATCACTAGTTCACTAAACAGGCATGATAATATCATATCAACATAAAAAATTAGAAACAAGTTATAGAAAGAGTATCAAGCACGAGACTATCTGATTTGTACAAGCAGGCTTATTTTATCAAATTGCCAAGAGTTTTGATGGTCTTTCTCTTTTGTATCACAGGCAAAAGCAAAAAGCACTTTCTCTGTTGTCACAATATGAAACCCCAAAAATAGTTTAGCCAATCAACGAGCATGCTTTATTTTTTATCCCCAGCAGATAGTGCCGTAACTGGAGTGCGAGTAACTGACATCTGCACTCCAGTTAATGCTCTGTGCAGTTATTGGTAAACGATTTAACTCTTTGACATATTTTCAATAAAAATGTCTCCAAACTATGATACAAGCAATTATAAAAAACATGTTTTAAAAAATGTAAAAAACAACAACAAAAAAACAGAACAGAAAGCATAAGTAATAAACCTGCAAAGTAATCAGATTCGTTTTCACTAAAGAAGGAGCTTTTGCTGAAAATTCCATTTATTCGTTATATATATATAAACTATTCCTCTTCAATTAAATATGCATTGACGTCAGTGAAATTAATTTTTTTCATAATCCATAGGATATCAAATATAACTACATGTAATTCGCATGTTATATTATTTCAGTAATTGGTTACAGGAGCTCAACTGAAGTCAAAAAGCCTTAAAACATAAACATTGAAATTCTCACATTGATCAAGGGAAGCAGCACTTAAACAAGAACGGGGTCACGCTCGATATTTTCTTATTTCTAAAGTCAAACACATCAGAGGAAGAATTTAACAGTAAAGAGTACTTTAACAAAACATAAGTCATTTAGAAGAATTTTACAGTAAAGAAAACTTTTACAAAACATAAGTCATTTAGAAGAATTTTACAGTAAAGAATACTTTTACAAAACATAAGTCATTTAGAAGAATTTAACAGTAAAGAGGTCTTTTACAAAAAATAAGTCATTTAGAAGAATTTTACACTAATGAGTACTTTTACAAAACGTAAGTCATTTAGAAGAATTTTACAGTAGAAACTTTTACAAAACATAAGTCATTTAGAAGAATTTTACAGTAAAGAGTACTTTTACAAAACATAAGTCATTTAGAAGAATTTAACAGTAAAGAGTACTTTTACAAAACATAAGTCATTTAGAAGAATTTTACACTAATGAGTACTTATACAAAACATAAGTCATTTAGAAGAATTTTACAGTAAAGAGCACTTTTACAAAAGATGAGTCATTTTTTTTTGTAACAAAAAAAATCTAATTTCATATTTGACCTGACAGTAAATCAAAACGAAAGTATAAAAACACACACACAAAAAACAACATAATACATATAATAATATAGAATATATAAAACATGAAACAAAACATGAAAAAAGTAATGCCTACAAATCTGATAAAAACAGAAACAATATTCAAGGAAAATTGCACTCAAACCCTCCTATTAACTAAACTATATACATTTGTATACATCTTTTTATCACAGTCAATCTAGACCAAAAAAACAACAACAAAAACGGTGCGCCTGTTCCTCAGTTTTGTTTTATTGCATTTGGCATCATTAACTTTTAAACCTTGAAGTTTTAGAAGCATTTTAATAACTTGCCTAAAGTTGTAATTAGACAAGAGCACACCCATGTTTCAAATTTATACAGTCAGGCTAGACTCTAAACAGGCACCAGCTCAAGTCTTGTTTTTATATAATGTTCTTACCGCTAAATATCAACACAAGAATTGAAATTTTTCAAACGTTATCCTTTGACGATTAATGGTTTAAAATCATAAAATGTAACATACATGTAGTTCTATCACCAATGATTTAATAGCTACAAAAAAGCAGATTTCAATTGAGTTTTGATGTAACATACTTGCATGCCAAAAATAAACAGAAGCATTGAATTTTTTCAAAAGTACTGTAATGCTACTAAAAATCACACAGAAATTTTGCTATCAATTTCTAATAAGATAATTGCAGCGAAAAAATGAATCTTAGCCTGTCTTTTGATATAACATAATTACATGTCGTATATAAGCATAATCATTGATATCTTTCACAAGTTATCCAGTTAAAATCAATTGTCTACGGCCATACGGACATATAGACAACGTCTTACTATAAATCATCCCAAAGAATTTGTTGGGTGTATACAAAAAATACAACATGAGCTGTTGCCAAAATAAAGGAACATAAACAAATATATTACTTTTGCTTTTGTAGCACTTAATCATCATTATAGCACTGCAATAGCTTTAAATACAACCATTGTAGAAAGGTAAAAATATATAATATTTTATAAACAAAAAGTCATCTAAAATCTAAAAGCTACATCAATGTGACAATATTTTTTGTACGTAGGTCCATATAAAGTTCATATAAACCATAAGTTTACATTTTTGCCATATTTTCCTACTTAATTAAAGGTATTTTCCTAGCCTGACATTTCTTTAACTATACAAAATTACAGAGTTTAGTTGTGTTGAATGTAATACTAAATTAGATGTTATTTTCATTTTATCCTAATATTTTTATTAAAAGAGACATAGATTGGGATACTGATTCAAGTCTTTTGGAGAGATTTGCATCTACTAAAACAAATTTAACAAATATGCGTTGACTTCAGTGAAATTAATTTTTTCATGAAAAATAAGAAATTACCTGTAAATTTCCATATTGTTATATTTCAGTAATCTATTACAGGAGCTCAACTGTTGTAAAAAGAACAACATTAAAAACATAAAAATTTTAATTCTTAGATTGTTCAAGTGAAGCACTTAAACAAGAGCAGGGGTCAAGCTTGACTTTACTTATTTCTAAAGTCAAACACATCAGAAGAAGAATATTATAATAGTAAAGAGCACTCCTACAAAATATAGTTTCTTTTTTTTGTACATAATCTACAGAATATAAATCATATTGATAAGCAGATGAAGAAATAAATATCAAAACGAACAATTACTTTTTTCATTCGATGTTGGTCTAAATTATTAATAGTGTTTTTAAAATGTTTGAAGCTATAATTATGGAATGTAACCAAACATAATATCACAAAAATACTGAAACAAAAATATGAAACAAAATCAACAGCAACATTCCCCTAACACAAACCAGCAACACAGATCACCGGTAAGTCCGTCCTGCAGGACACAAAATGGGACAGTGAGCATGTGCAAATGCACACAAAACATTTCAAAGCATTTGCTACAGTGTAACACAAGTATGAATAGCCATCAAGTGTGATAATAATGCTGACGCATTAAATGGTTTTCTTTAACATCTGCTTAATAACTTTTACATTGAGTATATGTATTTCTTTCAGCTTCTAATGGTTTACTGACATCTCACGGAAATTTAATGATAAAAAACTCAATTGAAGTACATGCTCTTACTGTTGAACATGACAGCTGACATTTCATGAAGCAATTTCTCTTTTTCTCTAATAAAGCAAGCTTGCTATATTATAAATTGTATATAAAAGATTTTATAATAGATTATTGTGATACATATTTAAACACAGTTTGAAATACATGTATAACCCGGCTAGCCACTCAGCAGCTTCGATTTTATGCGTAAACAATCATTTACATAGGCCCATATAACTTGACAAAAATCTTTCTATTACTAAACTAACAAGAGCCATGTTATAACATGGCTATCCCCCGCCAAATGTGTTTGCTCATTGGAAGAATATATATGTAGTAGAGCAGAATAATTCAATTTTAAGAGGTCTTTTGGTAATGAAAACTGATGCTGAAGTGATAACAGATTTGAAACCTATATGAATACTGATGGCTTAAAAATATAGGGCAATAACTAGACTCCTCAATGAGATTTATTCACAAATGAAGTTTCAAGTTGATACCTCTAACACTTTTTAAGATAAGCTCCGGGACAAAAAGTATGAAAAATAACAAAGAGTAATCACTCAAAAATTATAAAAAGTAGAGTTATCATTCTTGAGCACCGCATTCCTCCTCAATAAGATAAATCCACCATTGACATCTCAATGACTTTTTGAGTTAAGCTCCACTTAGGTGAAAAATTAAGTATGAAAAATAACAAAGGGCAATAACTCAAAAATCATGAAGGGTAGAGTTATCATTCTTGTGCACTGCACATCTCCTGAGTGAGATCTATCCACCTATGAAGTTTCATGTTGATATCTCAAAGGCTTTTTGAGATATGCTCTGGACAAAAATTAAGTTTGAAAAATAACAAAGGGCAATTACTCAAAAATTATGCAGGGTAGAGTTATCATTCTTCTGCACTGCACTCCTATCCACCTATGAAGTTTCAAGTTGATACCTCAAATACTTTTTGAGATATGCTCTGGACAAAAATGTCGGACGGAAGTATGGACGGACGGAGACTATTTCTATATCCCCCACCGCCTTTCGGTGGGGGATAACAATATACATATATCAGTACTAAAAATATACATGTATATATAAGTAGGTCAGGTAATAAAACCGCGAACTACTTGAATAGACTGAGGATATAAAGGTAAGCAGGACGGTTTGTATATCCTCCTGTGCCTGGTAAATCTGCTGAAGATAAAAATAGATTTAAGTAGGTCAGGTCGTAATTCCCCCACTGCTCGAATCAACTGAGGCAAATACACTTGTATCAATCGTTCCACTGTTCATTTCCTCTCCTTCTGCTATTTCAGTAGGACTGCAATAAACAAAACATCTCTGTGGCTGACAACATACATGTATATACAAATTCAAATTTTACATATCCTAAAAACTTTGTTTTTTTGTTGTCTTTTAAGAGACTGTTTCATACATTCTACACTTCTTTTAGACAATTACAAATGAAGATATACTATGTGGCAGCATGGCAGAGTGGTTAACGTGTTGTACTAGTAATCTAAGGGTAGTTGCACGTTCAGGTTCAAACCCTTTCAGGGGTGAGTCATTGTTTCCTTGAACAAGAAACTTTACATTCGCTGCTTAGTACTGGTTGGTTCCAGGAACGGATTCGGAAGTGTTTCAATAAGCTAATGATTGAGCTTCCAACACAATCAAACTAAAATAAATGTTTATAAACTAAACTAAATGAAGAAGTGTGAAATGGAATTCAGAATTAAATTTTAAAGCAATAGGATTGTAATGTAGAAAATTACCTGAAATTGAATGCATCAGACATACTTCCAGAATAGCTCATAGTTGGTGTACTGGTACTTGCCATGACCACATTACCAGTTGTCACCAGGTCAACTCCTGTGGTCACCTGAGGGCTGTCAGTATGAGCAGCAGGGGTAACATTCTGTTCTAAATACGTTTGCAGACTTCTGATAATGTCAGGTGGTTGTGTATTTAATACAGCCATGATCTGAGCCAAATCTGGATTGTTCTGAAGACCCATATAGATCTCTTGCTGGCTGTTGGGTAACGTTGATCTCACAGGTTCTCGTAATCGGAACATATTATTACCTAAAGGTTCCATGTAGGGATTCTCAATTTGTGATAGTGCAACCCCATTGTTTAGCTGACTGTTGGAAAGTGAGGAATGGCAGCTGCTTGTGCTTTCCATGGAACTATGGTCACTTTGCTGTTGTACTACAACTTCAGAAGAGCCTGATTCATACGAGACTATTGACATGTGACAATCTCCATCTTCGATAACTATTTGCTGGGGCTCATAACTGATTCGCTGTGGAGATTTGTTTGCTGAATGAGAATCATTGTGGCAGGTTAAGTTGGTTCCCAGCATAGGTGAACCCATAGGGTTTGTGGTAGCTTTTTCTGTAGGATATAAGTCTGCCACAACTGTTGGTAGTGAACTCAATCTTAGAGAGCCATGCTCAGATGTATCTTGTTGCTGGTGCCCAGCTGAGTGAGTTTGGAAAGGGGAACCAATAGTATCTTGAGAGTAACTGGCACTTGAGAAAGCTGGGCTTGGCGTGTGAGGATAACTTGGACTCGCTACTTGATGAGCCGGGCTCTGACCATGATAATATGGACTTTGACCAATGTGAACTGGACTTGGCATAGCAAATGAGCTTCCTTGTTGAGGATAACTGTCAACAGACTGACCTTGTTGTAAGATCTTTGCTATGGTTGGGTGACTCACACTAACTCTTGGTCTCTTTATCTTTGCAGCTTTAAAGAAAAGAATTTTAACAACATTTATTACTTTATGAAATATTATTAAACTGGGTCAAAAAGTCAACACTTGGTACTGGTCAGCATTTACAAAATAAAATTGGCACAGCAACCAATTTAGTGTTTGAAAATAATTTTTTATAAAACTGTCGTTTATTAAACTGATGTGTAAATGTGTTATGATTCATATGAAATACTGCAATTCTATTGGACAAAAATAATTTCAAACACTTAATAAGTTTTAAGGTCTGTTTTTTATGTAAACTAATAAAGGTTTGTTTTTTATGTTAACTAACATTTTTGACTATTTTTGACTCTTGCATGTTTTCATCAGGTATATTTTGGTCATGTGATTGTTATCAAAATAGATTTAGTTTCATATTTGGATCTTCCTAAGGTTAACAGTAACTAAACCTTATCAACTAAAATATAAGGGATTAAACTGGCTAAAAGACCTCTGTACTGCTTTGTCAGCAATGTTGAATATTAAGATGATCAAGAAGGTATGATGAAGTTTCATGTCAGTAAATTATACTGACCTATGTTATGCTCTGGACAAAAAGACGTGTTTGGTAAACACACATGACCTGGGCCCTTGTCAGTAAAACATTTTCCAAGTACTGGTTTATCCATTCACTAAGTTACGAAAGGAAAGATTGCTTACACAATAATACAACTTAACAGTCATGATATTTTGTTATTGTAAAAAAAAATGTCAGTGGGCATGTCAATGCTATTTGATGAAGTTGATGAATAACTTAAACATAAAAGTTAATCATATATAGACAAATGTGAGATATTGACCTTGAATCCAGTGACCCCAAACACAATTGAAAGTTGTAGGACCACGTATGGTATGTTCCTTCTTAATATGAAAGACATTAATTTTTTACACCAGTGACCTTGATCCCAGTGATACCTAACTCCCTTCAAAGTTAAAAGTCCATTAAAGGTATCTACCTACCACAGAAATGGAACGTATCATAAAATAAATGAAGTAGTTAGCAGAAATTTAAGATATGTCCAACTTGTCAGAAAAGGTTAACAATACCAGAGCATGGCCGAGTGGTTAATGCGTCGGACTAGTAATATAATGATCGCTAGCCGCATGGGTTCAAACCCAGTCATGGGCAAGTCGTTGTTTCCTTGAGCAAGAAACTATACACTCAATGCTCAGTACTGGTTGGTTCCAGGAATGGATTCAAAAGTGTGTCTTTAAGCTTATAGCTCCCTACACAATCGAACTAAAATAAATTCTGTATAAACCAATACCAAAGTCCTATATTCAAAGTGAAAAATAAAGGAAATAACAGGAAATATTAGATCGCACAGTTATATAACTTATATATCATGTTGTTTTTCTTGTATCAGTAGGTAAGAAACTATGAATTATATCATTACGCACCATTAAATGTTGGTCCACTGAAGCTGAGTGAACTGTTGAGAGGTGAGGACAAATCTACCGTCTCTATCCCAGAATCCACAGACGGTGAACGTGCATGCTTGCCACAAGTTATCTCCAGAGCACTGTGGAAAAAAATACATATTGCATATACACATAATGAAAGTAAAAAGAAATTCTTATACAAGATGTAGATGTCGAGATAAATGTGTATTCTTTTTTTGGTAAAATTCCTTCAAAAGTTTTTCCCATTTTATTGGGTTACGTTTATATTTCTTTGCGTATGTGTATGTTTGGTGAAACATTTTATACATTTAAAAGATAAGATATATATCCAACCTGACATTCAAAACAAAAGAATAAGTACATTTATTAATTTTCTTGACAAACTTCTTCACATGAAAGAATCCAAAGTCCTGGCCTGGATTTCCAACACACAGTGGTGAGGGGCAAGTGGTTTGAAGTCAACAATCTTAACAAAACACCAACAGATTCCCTTGAATATTCTTCATTGCATTTTAAACTTGCATTTTAAAATATAATAACTATTGAGCTGAAAAATGGTCTAGAAAGAGCCTAATAGGCTGCCTTTTTATATAACTTTGTCAGCAAGCAGAAATTCCACTATCTTAATGGATATTCTCCTTACATGAAGTCGTTCATTTAACGTAACAAGATTTAAACCCATCAGCAATGAGTGGCAAAATACTGTGATATAAGACTGTTATATTACCTCCCTTGAAAATAGTAAACAGACAATGAACAATTATATAAAAGAAACTTCTTACGCAAACTGCTGGTCTAGATGTACAACGAAAGCATCTCTAATTCCAGTGTATCCGGCCACCACTGCATCTATATAATACAACAGAGAATATATATTTGAAGCCATCTGCTAAAGTTGTGTAACAAACGTGCCTTACTTTGAATTGTGAAGAATCATTTCAAAGTTTAAGGGACTTCTATTTCAAAATATAAGAACTGAGCTAACAACAGTTTAGTCTGGTCAAACTGTATGATAATCCAGTCTGGAGTGGACTTGTTCTATACTAGTGGCAAAGCTTATCACTTAAGCTTCCAGCAGTTTAGGTTAATAGGTATTCATTTACTTTACATTTATTTTCACTTAAAACTGAACACAAATCAACATATTTATTGAGTATTCTTTCATGTCTTTACCATCAAATCAATACATATTCAGAATTATGATCCTTATTTTTACTAATACACAATGCTCACCAACAACTCCCCCAATTAACAAAAATAAATAAAGGGGAATAATCTCTTTTACCTTTGTCACAGTATTTATCAAAAGTTTCCTCCCTTGTTTTGTCTCCTGGATAAAGATATTGATAAATCTTGCCAGATTTCACCTCTTGTGTTGCCTTCAAAATGTTGGCGAGATTTTTCTCCTTCAGTTTTTTATGTCCAGCTACGTCCATGTCATAAATCTTCTTTTTCTTACGTCCATCTGTTAATTTTAGTTTAATACAGTATTAAAGATTCTAACTTGATTGCTTCAATAATTAGAGTTACTTCAAATCAAACTCCAGCTAATTTTCTGGATCCAGACAATTTTCTGGATCCGTACAATATTCTGGATTTAGCCAATTTCCTGGATACAGCCAATTTTCATGTGAATTATAAATGAAAGTGAATGAAATGATCTAATACTTAATATCTGAGAATAAATTGGCCGTGAATGTTCTTATTTGTCTGCTGTTCTACACTGTAAAGCAATACCCTTAATATCAATATAAAAATTTAAAAACAAAGTTCTGCTGGATTTTCTACAGCAAAGTTTAAAATTCTCTGGGCACATTTTTCAGATCGAGGACTGCGTAAAAAAACATTGGGACTTTGATTTATGTACCATACTCATTCCAAGCCGTCAACATAAGACAAGTCGCCCTATGATCCTAACATGAGTCACCATATGATCCTAACATAAGTCACCCTATGATCCTAACATAAGTCTCCCAATGATATAACATAAACCATCCTATGATCCTAACATGAGTTACCCTATGATCCTAACATAAGTCTCCCTATGATCCTAACATAAGTCTCCCTATAATCCTAACATAAGTCTCCATATGATCCTAACATAAGTCTCCCTATCAACCTAACATAAGTCTCCCTATAATCCTAACATAAGTCTCCATATGATCCTAACATAAGTCTCCCTATGATCCTAACATAAGTCACCCCATCAACCTAACATAAATCTCCCTATAATCTTAACATAAGTCTCCCTATGATCCTAACATAAGTCACCCTATGATCATAACATAAACAATCCTATAATCATAACATAAACCATCCTATGATCCTAACATAAGTTACCCTATGCTCCTAACATTAGCTGCTCTATGATCCTAACATAAGTCACCCTATCAACCTAACATAAGTCCCCCTATGATCCTAACATGAGTCACCCTATGATCCTAACAAGAATCACCCTATGATCCTAACATAAGTCACCCTATGATCATAACATAAACCATCCTAAAATAAGTTACCCTGTGATCCTAACATAAGTCACCATATGATCATAAATTAAACCATCCTATGATCCTAACATATGTTGTCCTATGATCCTAACATAAGTCTCCCTATGATCCTAACATAAGTCTACCTATGATCCTAACATAAGTCATCATATGATCCTAACATAAGTCACCCTATGATGCTAACATAAGTCTCCCTATGATCCTAACATCAGTCTCCCTATGATCCTAACATAAGGCTCCCTATGATCCTAACATAAGTCTTCCTATGATCCTAACATGACTCACCCTATGATCCCAACATAAGTCACCCTATGATCATAACATAAACCATCCTATGATCCTAACGTAAGTCTCCCTATGATCCAAACATAAGTCTCCCTATGATCCTAACATAAGTCTCCCTATGATCCTAACATAAGTCTCAAGTTTCTCTATGATTCTAACATAATTCTCCCTATGATCATAACATAAGTCAACATAAGTAACTTAAAAACATGGAATTTTATCTATGAAATACTGTTATCTATCAGTCTGTTAAACGAAATGAACAAAAACAGTATTTTCAGAACTGTAACCCTAAAAATACAATTAGTTTACCTGTAATATCCTCTTTTATAATGAGTACACATGCCGTTAGATGACCAAACACACTCTTCACTCCCTGACTGTCAGTTATATTCTGGTCAGAGAATCTCAACAAGAATGTACCAGATCTTCCATTCTTACACCTCTTTAACTTCTCTTTTGCATCCTCCTTACTGATGAAACCCAGGATTAATCTGAAAAAAAAGAGTACAATAAATCCTCAAAATTAGATACATAACTGATACTCCCAAGTACACTAAATCCTCATAATGAGAAACATATTGGATTCTCCAGAGTACAATAAATCCTCATAATGAGAAACATATTGGATTCTCCAGAGTACAATAAATCCTCATAATGAGAAACCAGGCCTCGACACTAACTTTTTAAGCAGATGGTAAGCCGGACCACTAGATTTGAAATCTAGGTGGTCCTTCCATAAGCCAGGTGGTCAATAATCATTATTATATCATTTTACTGCAAATTTAGAAAAATATGCTTAAAATTGATGACAAAGATGTATTATTAACCTTAGAAAACATATATTTTTTGGTATTTCATCGTGGTGTTGTTTTTATTTTTATCTCATTCAAAAATACACCAACCGGGCTCGTATTTATGCTTACTTTTTACAAAAAGTGAGTCCTCTCTCAACACAAGTTAGAGAATAGTGAAACCATATGTGTTTGATATTTAATTACTGATATTCAAATATACATTGCTGGTGCTTGGTATGTCTTATATTCATGATTAGTATATTTGATAGATTTTTAATCAAACTAATTATCTGATTCTTGTCTTTGAAAACAAGAAAATATCTAAAGGATATAAAAATAATACCGACGTTATATATAACTATAGTTAAGCTTATTTTTTGACATTTTTATTATGAATACAGAATTTTTACCTCCCTGTTACTTGTTGGTTGATTTTTTTTTTTACATTGAGTATATTTAACCTTTTAAAGTAATTTTTACTCTGGAAGAAATGGATCTCTTATCATTAAATTAAATTACTAGATTAAATTAAAATATTAGATTAAATTAGTTAAATTACTAGATATATTTTTCCATTTCCATTCGCTTGATGCAATTATTCAACTATCTGAACTGATATCCCATACAATATCATAATACCTAGCATAATTAGAATGAATTTTCTACCTAAATTAATATCACAAATTCTTAACTCTTTCAACTTGCATAAACAAACTTTAAGCGACATAAAATGAAAGTTATTGGTGACTTCAAAGCATCTTTAACTAATCAGAGGTTAACGAACCATATACATGTAACAGACAAAAGATTTTAAACAAAAAATATATAGTAACATGTTTTTGACAAAATCGCCATTCTCCCAAATGAGCCTTGCACCAAGCAGAAAAATCAAGTGGTCAGACGGACCAGTGGCTTTTAAAATTAGGTGGTCCTTGCCAAAATCAGGTGGTCTCGGACCAACGGACCACCGCTAATGTCGAGGCCTGGTAAACATATTGGATTCTCCAGAGTACAATAAATCCTCATAATGAGATACATATTGGATTCTCCAGGGTACAATAAATCCTCATAATCAGATATATATAGATTCTCACAAGTATGACATTACAAGTTTTATAATTCATTGATTAAATCCTAAGAATAGCCATTGTTACATATATCTTCTTAACTGATACAGGAGTGAAAAAGCTGTAATAATCCTATGATAATATTATATTATTTAAAGAAAATGTCTATGCAATACAATAATCAGCTCACCCATCTTTCCAGAAGTTGAGGAGATATTTATCAAGGAGATTATATATTCCTATAAACCATTTCCAAAATGAGAAAGTTAGTTGTGTGTTGTCATCATTACTGTCTGTCTTCTCTAGTTTATCCTGAAAAAAACGCCATTGTAAAAAAATATATTTATTTCACACCTTTAAAAAATGTGACTAAAGATTTTCCAGATATTGCACTAAGTAATGTTCTTATACATGTATAAATGATTATTAAATCCAATCTAATCAATTTAGCCAAATTTCATTCCCAAAGTCCAAAAAATAAGTATCAAATGCATACATTTGTACTTTTCTCCATCAAGTCTCAGTTTCATTTTCCGAGTCCAAACAGTCTATATCAAACCCATATTGTACTCTTAGTAGATGTATCTATATCAGAATACCAAAACACTGTTATTTTTCACTGTGCTTTTCCTAATCTAATGTTTTGGTGTGAAATCAAGAGTACATTAAACATTGCTAAGTACCATACTGATTCTATTGGACTCACACAATGCAACAAAACCTATATTGGCCTCTGCCACTGTCTAGTTGATTACAGTACTGATGAATTTTATTGGAGGAGTACAAAGCTGTCAAATCTATATTAGATGAGGCGCTAGCCAAGTCAAATACATATTTTGCAGATAATGACCTAAATTTCACACCATTTATTTTTTAAGTTACTTTTATACAGGGATTTGATATGAGTTCTTCTGACTAGGAAAATGAAAACAAGGCTAGATAGAGGTACAATACTAATTTGATAAGGTTTTATAGTGGTAAAATGAAATGATACTTAATTGATAAGATTCAAGCCAATAATATTAGGTTATCATACACTGTTGAGTACAATACTGAATTCTACTGGACTTAAGTACACAGCTGTCAAACCTATATTGGATAAGAAGCTTGCCGAGTCTGAAATACTGGTTTTACAGCTCTGAACTATTCCAATAGAATCAAGACTTTTCTAAGCCATGTCACCAAATTCTGACATTTTGATGGAACTTTGATACTTCAATTTCAACACGGATCGGATATTGATCTTGAACTGTCAAAAAATAAAAACGAGGCTAGATGGAGTGCGATTTGGATTTGATATGAGCCTTGTGGACTCTGAAAATGAAAATGAAGCTAGATGGAGTGTGATATGAATTTCATATGAAAACCTGGTAGACTCTGAAATAGCTCTACCATTACTCCACTCTTTTTCCACAAATGTACGGCCACAAAATACTTGCAGATAAACAGGTAAGAACTTATACAAAATTCAGAAATTATAATGATTTTCCAGATGTCTCTAGGAATACACCTGAAAAGCTGTTAAACTGAGACAAAAACAATTCTGTCTATTACTCATCAATAAAACTTCATAAAAATTGAGCCGCGTCATGACAAAACCAACATAATGGGTTTGCGACCAGCATGGATCCAGAGCAGCCTGCACATCTGCGCAGTCTGATCAGGATCCATGCTGTTCGCTTACCAACCCTATTACAAGTACAGAAACTGATAGCGAACAGCATGGATCCTGATCAGACTGCGCGGATGCGCAGGTTGGTCTGGATCCATGCTGGTTGCAAACGCACTATGTTGGTTTTGTCGTGGCACTGCTCAAATTATACTTACGAAACAAAATTTCTTCAATGTAACAAGTTCCTCATCATGCACATCACTTTTACCTGAAAAACAGGTAATCGTAATATTTTAGATAAGTACATTTTTTTTTTCAAAAATATATCAATCACTTAAAATATGTGCTTCCATAATAATGAAAAGTGATCATATAAAACACTTAAAAACAGTATGCATTAATTAGAAAGAAAAACAAAAGTATTCTTTTCTACCATCCCTAAATTCTGCTGATGTTTGTTAAAGTCACGCACAAATATTAAAGGGATATTCAGGCAAAATAATGACAAAAATATTAAAATGATCCTATGTACTCAAATCACAGAAAAATGACTTTTCTTGAAGTTTCAACATGATTTTCTGTTTAAATTCTATATATTTAGGGTTTGAAGCGTAAATATATTTATATATGTTGAACAAAATTTATCCGCCAATAGAATCATCAAATAGTTTTTAAACAAGTCAGGTGACTTGAACAAACCCTTGAAGTTAAAATAACAGATATTGTGGATATCATATGATTGAAACAAGCCTAAGTCATTCATTTGACATGTTCTTTAACGTTTCCAGATTTCACTTTGACAACTATTGTGAAATGCTAGCGCTCTAACCTGACCCACGCGGGTCAAGACCATTGGTTAAGATCCTTTTATAGGAACTAACTATAGCCTGTTTTCTTTAAAAATTCAATTTAGAACACACCGATATAAGCTAAATAAATTTTTAGCAAAAATAAAGCTTAAATATCCAAATAAAATTAAACTTAAGAAAGTGTTATTCTGTATCAATTCTAACAAAAGAGTTACCCATAGTAAAGTTAGACATTATGCTTACCAAATAGTCTAGTTTTAAGGTGGTTGATATTTTCTGCTGTGAGCCGTGTGGGGCACAATTTCTGCATTTTAGCTTGTAACATCTCTGCCACTTGACACCATGGCAACGGCTGACTCTCGGGTATTGGAAATTGGTACTGTAATAATGAACAAGTCATACTTGTAATTCAACAACAAAATCCATAACTGAAAACTTCCAAAACTAGGGGCACTGAGGTCGAAAGCCAAAATACATAAAATTAAAAATCTTAGAATTTTTAAACAGGGGCATTATTCCTTAATACACAAAGAATTAAATTGAAAATCTATATTTAAAGGGACTGTTAGTGTTTTCTTGATGTTTGAGTGTTTGAACTAAGTTTTGCCCCGTGAAATCAAGCAATGATAGTGATTTGCCAAGGCCAACAGCTTAGAATCAGACAAGTTAAAACATGTACATTGTATCTCTATGTTGTCTTCTCAGATTAATCTGCCCCCTTGTGTTGCCTTTAAAGGTTGAGGCATCAGAATTGCAGCCACTGTTTATTCCTGCATGATCATAAGAGACGACTAAATAGTTTAGAATTAATAGAGTACACACATCTGTTTAGTGTTAGCTAGAGCAGATGAGGTGGTTTTGACCTCTGGTGTTGCTTTAAGTTTGTAACACGCGAGATTAGCCATATGACCTAAACTGTGTTGATGTGTCGTAAAACAAAACAAAATGACACCAGACTGATGTTAGAAAATTGATTTCAGTAATTTAGACACTGAACTCCTTGACCCAGTAACCAACTCAGAGGATGATGTTCAGCATTCGCTTTAAACTCTTTGGCATTATACACCACTCACACTTTGACTATATAGCTCAGAACAAAGTTTAAGATGAATATACATACCACATCTGTGCTAAAACACTGCCACATGACAGAAGCTTGACTCAAACAACCCTGATTAGCTCCAGTTGTCACCACCAGAGGAAGTGATGCGGCCTAAAATGAATGTTGGTATATATAACTTGCATTTTCAGTAGTTCATCGCACCTAAAATAATGCGTAAACTTGTTTTGTTTTTCATATGAAGGTTTGTACATCATTTCTTAAGGGTATATGTGTTCATCTATTTCAAAATGTTTTATTTATTTTTCATAAATCAAATCTTAAGGCATATAGAGTATGATCTAATATGTAGCAAGGTTTCATAGCACATGAATGTTTAAATTATGTAAACAAGAGTTGTTAGCAGGACAGTGTGCTTGCATACTCTCAGTGCTTGATGGTAAAACAAGATCCTAGATAATGTAGAATTTTCTTAGTACAAAAGGGCCATAATTCTGTCAAAATCCAAGTTAGAGTTCGGGGACTTGGACAGTTTCCTCCTATTATGCTCTCAAATAATTTTGTGAAGTTTCAACTAATTCTCTTCAGTAGTTTTAAAGATACATCTTCCACGCTAAAACTTAAACAAAATGTAATGCCGACACCGATGGTGGGGTATTAGTATAACAGCCCTCCTGATTCTTGGAATAGTCCAGCTTAAAAGAATCTAAATATGCAAGAATTATTAGTAACAGGTAAGAAATATGGTGAATAAAGTAGTGTATCAGACATGGTTTTGCAGATAACATGTTAAGTATTATACTGATATTGATAAAACAATAGAAATATATCATATGGAGTATTCTATAAAATATTGCTGGAAAACAGAATGTTGATAGGGCTCTAAAGTGACTTAGTATGAACATAACATATATGACGATTAATATTACAATATACATGTATTTTGTTCTAGAACACTCTACTATCTGCTATACATTTATATGTTATTTTGGATCATAACAGTATCGGACACTTACAACATTCATATATAATTCATTAATTTTTTTTTTCATGTATGGTGCTGAATACTGGTATACCTGATTTTTTTTTTTACAAAAAGATTTCAAATTTTTATAGATCTAAAAGTATTTTTTTAATAATTGTTAGAACCTATTCTTTTTTTCCTTCGTTATTGTTAGATCAGAAGGCAGTACTGAAAATAAGTTCTCGTTTTTGTGTAAACTTTGTATGTTACCTTCTGTAAATAAAGATTTCATTATTTATAAATATTACAGTACTATCAACTAAATTACTTACGGTATACAGATCTTTTACTGTAGACCAATTCTTTAGATGATATCTATATATTTACCAAGTAATCTTGATTATTGATCCTTGTTGTGAAGATGATTCTGCTCTTCTCCTCGTGCACTTGTTTTCCAGTCTGTATACCATTGCGACTGAATTTACCCTTGAAGTGTAACGTCTGAAAACATGCTTCACATTTATCCCTCCTCTTTCCATTGTCAAACTTGAAGACATTTGACATCAGGTGTATTCCTCTGTCATCAATTTTTTCCATCAGTTGTGTAAGCTCAATACAGTTGTCATGGCAACAAGTGTTTATGTCTTCTTCAAAAACAAAATGTGCTGCGACTGTTTCCAGCCTTTCTGGAAAATGCTCCGCAGCAAGCATTCTACAAAATGTAAAATATAATTTGCAAACTTCTAAAAAGAAAACCAACAAACTCAGTTTTAAAGAAATAATTCCACATCTGAGATACAGTGTCTTAAATATTCATGGTTCAGCAAAAATTATAAACAATGATTAAAATAAAATAGAAAAAGGGGGTAAATTTCTGAAAATCTGATCACAATAATTACCCTTTAACAAGTATTTTCAGTTTCAAGTGAATATCTGTCACGGTTTTTGAGAAAATAAGGAAAAACGAAAAATTTAGAAAAGGGAGATAATTCAGCAAAAAAAAAAAAAAAAAACTTTCATGGCTATCTGTACTTCATGAAATGTATTCCAATTTAGATAGTGAACACAAATCACATATTTATATTAGTTTTTGAGAATATAACCTTAAATAGTTTTTGAGAATATAACATTAATGAAATAGTTTTCCAGAAAAGGGTAAAAAAAGGGGCATAACTAAATATTACATTACAAATATCCAACATTGTGGTATGGCATCACATTTTGAGAGTAAACAAATTATCATGTTCAAATAGATTTGATACTTTCTGAGGAAACAGACTGCAATCTATTGCATCTATTAGGTACCAGTGACTTTGACTTTTGACCTGGAAATGGGTGGGGTCAAGATGAATCTCCAAATAGTTTCAATGTTATTGGGTGGGGTCAAGATGAATCTCCAAATAGTTTCAATGTAATTGGGTTGTTAGAGTTGAAGATGACCAAAATTGAGCTGCTGGCGCTGATTGTTGGAAATCTATGAAGACAAACGTCTATTCTAAATGAAAATGAGTTCTGACACCATTTTCTTAAAATATCACTATATTGGTTAATCTCCCTAGAGACTCAATACTTATAATATCTGTCATATTTTGCGGTTCGGATCGGAATATCCGTCCCGAGGTGACCCGCCCATTGGGCGGTAACGAGGCTTGCCGAGTTACCGCCCATGGGCGGGTGACCGAGGGACGGATATTCCGATCCGAACCGCAAACATATGTCAGATATTTTTTCTTGCATATTCTACCATATTCCATTATATTTTAAATTCTTTATCTTTATTTTCAATGAAAATTTATATCATTACAACCGTAACTACTTTCATTCAACAGTGTATGAATTACAAAATCATTCATAACGGTAAAATGACGTCATCTTTATCGTGCCATTGTACAGCACGCGACTCATCTGGAACCCCCCATGCCAGATGAAATTTCCGGCATGGGTAAAACTAACGGAAACGCCAGTCTGATATGCAAGAAAGTATACTCTCCCTATTTGAAAAAGTATGCTTTTGTTTTTTGTTTGGTTTTACAGCACACGCGTCACCACAATTAAAGTGATATGGTGCAGGAACAGGAGACATGATTTTTTTGGTTAATTATGGGTGTCACAAACTAAAAGCAACACCATGGGTCTAAACCACCTCACCTGCTGGAGCTAAAAGATGAACTGACTCCAGTAATTTGAACTCTTGCGGACACACAGGGATATATGGTGGCTGCCATCTGATGCCTCAATCCTTTAAAGTAACCCCTCAGCCACAAGGAGATAGACACAGGAAAAAGTTCCCATGTTTGCCACAGATAATGGATTAACATATTTCAACCACTTAAATTGTTATATCATACATACCTGACAACGATCTTAGGCAAATGCTTTTTATCCACTTTTATGATACAACATTCTTGCTCAGTCACAACAAATGTACTATAAATAGAATATTGGACTATAAATAGAATATTGTACTATAAATAGAAAATAATCCTATAAATAGAATATTGTCCTATGAAATTAGTGTAAACTTTATCATACAATAAATAGAATATTGCACTTGAACATTCTTATAGGGACTCCAGTGAGGTTTTTCGACATGACAGGACTGGAAATAAGTTTTCAAGATTAATGTTCCATTTGATATAAGTCTTGACCAATAACTTGTGTGCAAAATTTCAGATCATTTACTCACTCTGTTTTTCCAGCATAATTATTCTAATTGGGAAAAATGACCCAAATTGAAAAGCGTTGCAACGCTTTTCTCTGAAATATGACTCAAAATAGCACAAAATATGATTTTCAATTTATTTCCTAGTACATTTCGTATTTATCTTTTGCATATCTTTCTGTATTTAGTTCCCCGGCTAATTTGTGTAAATAATACAAAATTTCATTTTTCTAGGTTTTAGGACCGCAGTGGAGTTCCTTTAATGAAGGATTACTTAATCATATGCACGCTTTTATCATTTTGTCTGTCACAAAAAGATACTAAATCAAATATCGTTAAATTATGCACATAAATTTTTAAGTTTTCAACTTTAATATTAAAGCATGGGGGTGGTGTTGGTAATTTTCACTCTGGATCATGGCAGTATTAGCAACATCGAATTTACAAGAGCACTGTGCAGGCAACACACTGTTTTTAAAGCATTTTAACATCATGAATTTTTAGTAAGTTGAAGAGTTGTAATTGTTCAAGAGGGCACCTAGGTTAAACCATTAATCTTTATGAAGCAATCAACTAGATATGTTCAATATAAGCAAATATGCAAAAAAAGCCCTATTATTCAGTCATGTCTGGCACACAACATGTAAATTTATATTGAATCTTGAATCTTTTTACTATTCTTAAAATCTTAGTACATTTTTCTCAAGTTTGATTTACTCGAAAGACCTTTGCTCATCTGAAGGCATGCAGCTTTAAAAAGCCGATAGACAAAATAAAAAGTCTTCGGCTGGCATTTAAAACAGACAGCGTACATGGAGAACCTAACCTAAAACAAATTCTGTTGGCCTAAGTGAACAGCATTCTTCTCTTGTCCAAAGTACTAAATTACATATATAAACAAGCACTGTACCTTTGAAGTAGATCTATCATAAGACTGTTGAATAATTCCTGGAAATTTTGAAGACCATTTATGCCTGATTCTGTACTAAGCAAAATGTTTTCCCAGCTACAAAGGCTTTCATTTATCACATCATAAATCAACCTACCAGTCTGTGCACACCTGCAAATATACATGTCATCTATTTCAATGAGTAAAAAGGTTATCGAATGTACAAAAAAAGATTTAACTCTTTATAGATACATAATTTCCTTAATAAATAACTATAAATTGTCAATAATAAGCAAACATTTTAGAAACATATTTTATCATCAGCTACATTAGTAACATGGCAGTTTAAAATGCCAAAAGTGGCGGCATGGTTGAGTGGTTAAAGTACCAGACTAGCAATCTAATGATCACTAGCCACATGGGTTTCTTTGAGCAAGAAACATTACACTCATTGCTCAGTACAGGTTTGTTCCAAGAACGGATTAGATGGTGTGCTTATAAGCTTATACTTCCTACACAATCAAACTAAAAGAAATTCTGTAAACCAAAATTCCACAATTTGCATGATACATTCAAAGTTAAACCAAGATAGTAAATCAAAGTAGGCGTGACAAGTAGAACTCATTACGGTTTGTCCACATAATCTATAGTTTCAATGTAAATCCTTTTATTAGTTTTGAAGTAAATAACTATAATATAAACACAAACTTCACCATTTAGGTGATCAATAACAAATAACCAACTGTCAACAGTGGGTCATGACACTACCTCAATTTTCTTTGAAAAGTTGAGCTAATACCACTGCTCCACTGTATATTTCATTATCTTTATGAACTATATACATGTACATTTGTTGACATATACACATAACAAAAATGTGCAGGCATGCACACATCCACACACTTATGCCTGCTTAAACAAGTTTATTAATTCCATGAACATTAAATTAAATACTGGTATATCATGAACGAAAATGAGACATATGAAATGCGTTTGTCACATTCCTTGAGTTTGCTTTTTTTTCTATTTTAATGTATGATAAGAAGATTCTTACCAGGATGCAATGTTGGTCAGGTTAGGAGATGCCACAAGTTCAACATACTGGAATTTGAACTCATTCTTCCAATCTTGTACAAGTTCTGTCAGTTCCCTCACAAGATTGGTCAGAAGTTGATACAAATCATTAAACATTCTAATCACTTCCTGTAAAAAAAATATAATAATACTGACCGGTTAATGTAAATCACTTTATATTCCAATGATCTTTATTTCTCGAAAAACTCATTCCTGATTTATTTTGCATATTCATGAATTTGCAATGAATTTTGAAGGATTGTTAAGAATGAGTTAAATTAAGTATTACCAACCTCTTTGTATGCAATGAATTGTGAAGAACTGTGAATAATGAGTTGAATTAAGTTTAACCAATCTCTTTATTTACAATGAATTGTGAAGAATCAGTTGAATGAAAATTTACCAGCCTCTTTATTTACTATGAATTGTGAAGAATTAAGTATTACCAACCTCTTTATTCCTATGAATTGTGAAGAATTAAGTATTACCAACCTCTTTATTCCTATGAATTGTGAAGAATTGTGAAGGATTAAGTATTACCAACCTCTTTATTCCTATGAATTGTGAAGAATTAAGTATAATTACCAACTTCTTTATTCATATGAATTGTGAAGAATTGTGAAGAATTAAGTATTACCAACCTCTTTATTTGAAATGATCTGATGTCGAGTTTTCTCTAGACGTGATTCACAATCTCTTATTGTCAAGTTAAGTTGCTTGATTTCTGCAACCACACCATTCTTTGCTATCTGATTAAGGTACTCTTGCAATCCTAGAAATACAAAACACTCCCTATATTCTGGAAACTTTAAATGAGCTGCGTCAGGACAAAACCAATGTAATGCGTTTGCGACCAGCATGGATCCAGACCAGCCTGCGCATCCGCGCAGTCTGATCAGGATCCATGCTGTTCGCTATCATTTCTCTACTTGTAATAGGGTTTGTAAGCGAACAGCATCGATCCTGATCAGACTGCGCAGATGCGCAGGCTGGTCTGGATCCATGCTGGTCGCAAACCCATTATGTTGGTTTTGTCGTGACGCGGCTCAAATGTTAATCTAATCCCGCCCTTTCTTGATGAACTTTAAGCTGTCGTCAGCTTTTATTTTCTATTGGGGAAAACAATTCTATGTTGTTTTCCAGAAAAGTATTTCAGTAAATTCATTTTGGAAAATTGCATCATTTCTTTGTTAAACGTTCTTCAAAACAGCATCCTAAGAGCTATTTATAATGTGTAAGTGACATTTGTGTCTAAATATACAAATCTTTTGCTATTATATAATACTTATTCTAACACTCTTCGTAATTTTTCACTATAGACAAAGAAGAAGAAAAAACCAGTGTTAAACTGCCAATAAACACCGGTTAGGGACTACTTGTATATGCGGCGGTTATGCATTCTCCTTCTATTATATAGTTTACAAAGCATTTTAAAGCAACAATAAAAAGCATTTTTATTTACATGTATATTTCAGTTCTTATAATGTTTTCTTTTCATATAATACCGAAAAAATATCTCATATACACTAACGCCATATATTTGACTCATATCAGTTGATACATATTTTTACAAAACGGCGGCAATCCGTAAGCAGTGTAATGACGTCATCCTAAGTAAACAACCCATTCATAAATGCACACGTCAGTTCAAACATACAAGATTGATAAATGGGGCACTGATGTAAACACATTACAATCCACTGTTGGTTTGGCTTGCTCATGTATAAATTACTTACTATTCAAGTTTTGGGTGCTTTCTTCTTTTTTATTGTAATACTGGTTCCAATTGTTCACCTCATTCCTCATCTTCTCTAAACATTTTAATATATTCTGAAATCACAAACAGAATGTAGTAGTTTCTTAACCTTTAACCTGCTGAACTTTTGTAATAAATTGGAATTATTTGTGTAACTTGTGTAATAATTTACTACAGTCAGAGATGGGCACCTGAGCAGATCCAATGACTTTCCCTAAGCTAGATGGATATCTTCTTCAAATGAAAGAATCCGAAGTACCTTACGAGATTCTGGCTCGAAGCTTTGAGAGGCAAATGGTATGCATTCAGCAGCCTTAACCACTTGGGCACTGAGGCACTATACAATAGTCATAATGCATTTTCTCACATTCTAGCATTAAATGAGAAAAAGAGATTTTATCCTAACTACTACATGTACTATGAAAAATTTCACAACTAAAGCTTTTGCTTGCACAGGTAAATATTAATAATCATGTTTTTTTTCCATTAATTTGGGTATAGTTATTTAACTTTTTATATTGCTACTTTCCAGCTTTCCGATAGAAGAATTTCTCAAGTGCTGCTAATAATGTGCAGGATTTCCAGCATCACAGAACTACCACAAACATTGTGTAAGCTATCTGGATAGGTTCCTAACATAATGATAAAAGAATCAAAAGTCTGCTTGGACTCAAACCAAGTTGATTAGTCAAAAACCATAACCACTGAGCCACAAAGGAGTCCTGCCAAACTCTTAAAGCTTGAAGAAAAAAAAAACCTTCTTTATGTCCATCTGCTAATTATCTTTGATAAAATTATGAGTTTTTTATATGTTTTTTATTCAATTAAATAAGGAATGACAAAAAAAATCATACTTTTTGCAACAGCTTTGCCTCTGTTAGTTCCTTTTCTATTTTTTGATTTGCCTCCGCCTTTTCCTCAGCAATTTTCACCTGCAATTAAAATTCTTATAGTCAAAATTTAACTCCTTTTCTATATGTTCAATGTATGGGTTTAAATCTTACTACTAGACTAAAATACATTATGACTTTACTTATCTCAAATGTTCGGGTTTATGCGGTATTTTATGTATGAAAGCTATGGCTGAAACACTGACAGTGTAATATTTGATAATGTGTTACAAGTGTATATTTTTGACATACATTTAGGAAAATAAAGTTTATTTTGGTAAAGTTACGGTTGAAAATATGTCTGACAATCAAAATAAATTTTAAAATGTCCACTCATTTACAATTAAATTCAAATGTCAACCTGTAGACATTTTGTACTTTTGATTTCTACAACCATAATAATAAGTATATGAATAATGTACTCTTTACTTTTATATCTATAAATTTACGTAATTTAGGTAGACTTTTCTCTCGATATATTGGAATAAACATAATCAACAACCCCAAGCATTAAATCACTCTTTGTTTACATGTTTAGTTTCTTAGCATAGGTTAGATTGAAATACTTTGTGCGTTCTGCGTATTCCTACTATTGTGTCTGAAGTTTGACGGAAAGGGCCAAGAAGGTATGATTGCTCATTTACTAACCTTCTTGAATTCAGCCATAAGTTCTATTTCTTTCTCTACACAATCATTGGCTCGGTCAATCCAATCTTCTGGGTTGTGTTCATAATTTCTCTGCAAAATCAGACATCATTAGTACTTTATTATTGTTGGAAGAATGAAAATTCTGTAACCTCTCTAAAATGTATGCTTTGGGGTTTTGCATGAAATAGTCAATGAATACAGGCATTTGACACTAAACTGCATAATTTTTTTTTTAATCCTGAATATTCTTCGAAATATATGAACATTTTCCCCAGCCAACTCAACATTTGGGCATAATTTGCAATTATAATTTTTTATAGACATTCTAAAAACAAAATTAAAACAGTTTTATTTAACCTTTGTATGATCTTAAAATACAAAAGATAAAAAATTGAGTGTTGCTCAGCTTGATTTCTGCCATTTAATTAAAAACAAGAGCCTGGTTGGAGCCGGGTGATGCTCCCCGAATAGGTTTTGGACACAGGAAATTACACCTCTTGTAGTTTCAGAGTTATGTCCCTGGAAAAAGTTCAAAGTCCAATATAATTCCAAAATTAGGCAAGGCAGAGTTACTGTTCTTTGCACTGCACTTCTAATCAATATGATCTATCAACCTACAAAGTTTCTGGTTGATATCTCTTATGGTTTCCGAGTTATGTCCCAGACAACTTCAAAAAGTAAAAATAATCAAAGGGCAATAACTCCAGAATTAGGCAAGGCAGAGTTATGATTCTTGTGCACTGCACATCTACCTATTGAGATATATCTACCTACAAAGTTTCATGTTGATATCTCTTATAGTTTACAGCTAATTGTCATGGACAAGATTTTTCTAAAAGGGGAGATAATTCAAAAATGAGTCTTAACAGAGTTATGGTTCTTTTGCACTGCACTTCTACTCAATAAGATCTATCTACCTACAATGTTTCATCTTGATATCTCTTATAGTTTTAGAGTTATGTTCCGGACAAAGTTCAAAGTGTTAAAATTAACAAAGGGCAATAACTCCAAAATTAGGACAAAAAGAGTTATTGTTCTTATGCACTGCACATCTACCCATTGCGATCTATTCACCTACAAAGTTTCATGTTGATATCTCTTATAGTTTTAGAGTTATGTCCTGGACAAGATTTTTCTATAAGGGGAGATAATTCAAAAACTGGGCAAAATAAAGTTATGGTTCTTTGACACTGCACTCCCCCTCAATGCCCTCTACCACTGTATGAAGTTTAAACAAATTATCTCCAAGGGTTTTCGAGTTATACTCGGGACAAGACAACAGCCGGACAGACGGATGGACGAACGGACGTACCAAATCAGCTCATTAACACCACCTGGACCAACGTCCATAAGCAAAATTAGCTTATGAGCTTTTGTTCTTTATTTAACTACGGAATGAAGCTCATAAATATCAAATGTTTGCTCGGACAGATGGACAGACGGACAAGGCGCCGACTATATGCTCCCCCGAAATTTTTCAGGGAGCATAAAAATTGCTCAAACATGAACAATGACCCTTAGCAGTCATGTTCAGGAGTGAATTTTAATCATACAATCTCAGTAAAGGTTCATCAAAAGATCATTTCTGTTAAAATATATCAAAATCTGGCTTAATTTATACTTACAAAGATTTCTCCTTTAGCTGCCTCTATCTTAACCTTGTTAATGAAAACTTCTTTCTCGCTTTTAACTAGTTCTTCAATTTCTGTCTTAAATTCATCAAAAAGTTCTTCCTTCCTCTTTAATGCCATCTCAGGAGAAACTTCAGTTGAAAGCTTCCTTACTTCCTTACTGTAAAGAAAGTTTAGTCACATGAAACATTAGTCATATGCATGTACATTGTTGTATATTGAAATTTTAACTTATAAACCTTAACTTGCTTGTGTGAACTTATTGCTGTATAAAAAGTTAAGGTAGCCTTACTGTAATGCTTTCCCGCCAAAAAATGTCTAACATCAGACAAGATGTATGAGTGCTTTGGATTAAAGATTCATTTATTAGGAATAATCTTTTTCAACAGGCCTTTTGTTCTCAGTAAAGTAAATAATGCATTTCTAAGGCCATCTAAAAATATCCTTTTCTAAATTGTGAAGTAAAACATTCAACAGATTTTGAAATATTTTGTCTTTCTTGCTAATACTTATGTTATTATTAGTATGAAACAGTATGTCCAATAGCTTGTTCCCTTATAAATTTGCTTCAAGTAAGAAATTATCCTGCAACAAAATCATAATTATTTGTAGGGCACTAATTTTCATGGTTTTGTGGATAGGTCATTATCCACGAATTTAAGATCCAACGAAATTTCATTTCAACTGTTGTTAGATTATTTTTCATCACATTATTTACACTTTACCTTTTGGAAAAATAGACAGTCCATGACCCACGAAAATTATGTTTACGACAAAATCACGAAATTTCATGCCCATGAAATTAAATGAATTTACAGTATGACAGGTTACCGAGAAACAAAATATTATAATAAATCAGACAAACCATGCACAGTAACAGTGCTGGAACCATTTGTCCAACTTCCATCTTACATAGGTCAGATCAATCTGTAAATTTGCACATACTGTCTCCCATCTGTCATACAAATCCTTTATCTTATTATTTGTACTATTCTGAAATATTCAAATTAATATTTAAAACATTAGTAATTTACTAAAAGTATGTGCTTTTTAGTGCTCATGGACCAGTCAATTGTTGCCATAGATCAGCATCCCAAGGAAATAGCAGGGACTTTGACTTTTTGATTTTTAAACACTCAATCAAAAACTAAATTTCTCTAAAAATACCTCCAGCAAGTGAAATCTTCCACAGCTTTTTTGGCACCAAAAGCAACGCCACCTCATTGACCATGTGATGATGTTACTTGTTTCTTTTGTTTTGTTTTACGGCACACCCAACACAATTTATGTCATATGATGCCGAAACAGGAAATATGACTTTAGCTAACCTCGGTGTTACAAACTTAAAGCAACAGCAGAGGTCAAAACCATCTCACCTGCTGGAGCTAACAAATACACAGACTCCAGTAATTTGAACCAATTTTGTCCCCTGTAATGATCATGCAGGGTTAAACAGTGGCTGCAACTCTGATGCCTGTGAAAGTCCTTAAAGGCAACCCCTCAGCCACAAGGGGAAGATGTTGGTACAGACAGAAGGTCTAAAGCTCATGTATGTATTCAAAATTTAAGTGTTGCAATATGTCTTGCAATCAAAATCACGGGACCAGATTGTTATAATGATAATATAGTCATGAAGTGTAGAGACCTCTTCTTCACAATCATTAATATATGATACATAATTGTTTTATAATAAATAAACATCCGGATGTGTTTCTACTCAGTTGTTCATCTAATGTGACATTTAGTAAAAATAAATATATATACTATTATGAAGCTATTATTAAGTCCAAAACATTGATTTTTTTTTTTGGTTTGGTTTTATGTCACACCAACACAGTATAGGTCATATGGTGACTTTCAACCTTTACTGGTTGAGGAAGACCTCAGGTGCCCTTGTGTGCATAATTTCAGGCACTAATGGGCACCTGATTAGAACTACCAACTTTCCTTAAGCTATTGGATAGCTTCCTCATATTATAGAATCCGAAGTCTCTGTCGGGATTCAAACCCACAGCGATTAGGGGCATTTAGTGACTTGAAGTCAACTGACTTAACCACTCGACCACGAATGCCTCTTAAAACATTGTATTTATTATCATATATGTTAAATAAGTATGAAGCAATATTATGTATCAAGATCATTCTGTCATGTAAAACTATATGCACTTACATTGAAATGTTAAACAAAGAAACAATAAAAACTATTCAAGCTATAAGGTGTATGTAATATACAAATTGAAATACCTTCTCTACAAACTCTACTATACTTTCAGTGGTATCCTCAAACACATCAGAACTGTCTAATGACATTGCCTCCGACATTGTAATGTGTTACTGTAGTCTTTCATGTATTATATATTTTCTTCAGCTGTCATCAATATGTTTCAGACTTTATTTCTCTTCATGAAAAGATATTAATTCTATTTAAGAAAACAAAGAATTTCATATTCCTTAATGCAGTTTAATCAAATATCAAAGTCTAAGAGGAACTGGTCTTATAAATGTATCTATTTATTATTCATTCTTGCTATAAACTGATACAATGTCATTTACTTACATTATAAGTTGCATTATATAGGACCTTTTTTTATACAAAAGCCATGTTGGAGATAGAACAGAATGTCTAGCTTTCTGAAATGCTTTTTGATTGAAGAGGCACCTCTGAATGTGTTCTAGTGTTTTATAATGTACACCATAATGTCAGGGAGATTGGTCTGCAGTTAGCTGGGTTTGACCTCTCATCCTTCTTATAGATTTCCATAGGTAAGGTATGTTGCCCTTATTTATGGATTCCTGCAAAATGATCTCAAGAATAGGTGAGAGTCCAGATGCCAGTGTTTTAAGGATAGTTCTAAGCTTTATCTTCTGAGGTACACATGTAGATAGATATTTATATTGAAATAAGTACTCAAATTGGACAAATTTTTAAAATTTCTTGTGAAATTGGATTAATTTTATTTAACATACAGAAAAAACTTATTATTGATGGACCAAATTAACAGACTGCTACACATTTCACTATGAGGCGAACAGTTCTTATATGGTTCCTGTAACATTTCAAAAGTTTTGATTAAATCATTGTATACATGTAAGTTAAGATCATTTTACCTAGCAACCATAACCACCCAAGTGTTCTCTAACTGATTGTACTATTTTGTGCATAAAGTGACTGTTAGATTCTGAAGCAGAAAAAAAAAATCTCATATCCTAGCATTGGCATGTCAATATATTTTGTAATTTGACTACATCTGTAACACTCACAGGAAAGGTAGATATACATATATGCATGTAATGCTATACCCAGGTACGCATATAAATATATATACCTGCTATATCTTGTGAACTGATGTTCCTTTCTGACATAAAATATTTCACTTCTCACCTGAACTTGAAGTGATTGTGCATACACCAAGCTCATTGAGTTATTTTAACTTACAGTATATTACTGTATGTAAGAGGATAGACATATTTATGATTACTGAACTGTCTGTGAACTGTGTATTTTCAAAAGGACCTTTCATTTTGTCTATTTGGCAGACCCTGTTTTACATTTTAAAATTACATTGTCTTTTATTAATTAACGTTCAAACCACATTAATTTCGTGACAACGTTAGACTTAAGTTAACAAAGTATATTAACAAATGATTTACGAAAAATACCTTATAATCCATGTAGAACGTTGGTGCATTTTCTACAAACAGATTGACCTAAAAATTTAATAAAAACTATTTTGTGAAACTGAAAGTAGGTTAGTGCTGTTTACAATATGCTTTCTTATCCAATGAGAACGAAGTAAAAAATATATAAACCAATCAGAATTGATTATAAATCTGGATTTCCTGGAAATCTATTTTTAAATTTTCTAAAATTATTCGAAACTAAAGCTTGAAATTATCACGTTTTATTGAATAATTTTAGTAATATTTATTTTTTTAAAAGTCTGATTTTACAAATTTGAAATCAGGCAATTGCATACATTTTCTTTTGCTTATATCTTTAATTTCTATCGAATTACGAATCTACGCTCACAGTTGAAATTTTCAACATGGCGAACCTTAGTTCGCTTTTCTGCATTTTTGGCGTTTATTTGGCAAGTTTTTCCGTGAAATGTTATTCTTAAACGATGTTTTGATCATTATCTGAACATAAACATTTTCTGTTGGTTTCTGAATAACTAGAATACTGCTGGGTCAACAGTTGCTTTTGTAAACATTGCAAAATAATCACCAAATGCCACGTCAGTTTTACAGGCTTACAGACACTTCACCCGCCAGACACTTCACCCTAGGCCATTTTTGTGGTTATCGAACTTGCTTTATTTAATCTATAGAAAAAAATTGGATGAGGGGTGAAGTGTCTTACTGATTTTGGGGGGTGAAGTGTCTTAAGGGGTGAAGTGTCTTCAAAATTTGAGGGGTGAAGTGTCTGGGGGGTGAGGTGTCTTGCTACCGTTTTACACATGTAACATGACTAGTCTCTAATATGAAATTAGGCAACGCCTATGAACGGGGAAGTCGTTAAAAATTCTTTTCATTCTTTCCGTTTTAAAGGTTTCATTCGGTAATATGAAAAAGACAAAGCCTCAAAGCAAGCTCTTACTGTATGATAGTTTAAAATAATTGTTCATTTTTATTTTACATTTTCTGTTTTAAAATTTGTCATTCGGTATTTTATACACTGCTTCCGTTTATTCTGGTTGGCCCTTTCTATTATGGTTCCTATATAAGCGCGCAGGACACCAGTCTACGCTTCCGTTTTCAATCAGAGTACATCGGCTTTTATCGTTATCTTGTAATTCGAAAAGTTGCGATGTGTCCAATTTGGTACTTAGGACGAAAGTTTTCAAAACCATCATTTAGCAGGTACTTGCGTTACCGTAAAGCTCGCTTTGCGAGCAGGCCCTCCGGGCCAGATCGTCGAGCTCACAATTACATGCACTGCTTCCGTTTTCACTCGGAACACTCGACGATTATCATTTATCCGAAAAGTTGAGATTTGTTCCATTATAGACGATTATCATTGAGTTACATTATAAATGGCGGCGCCCGACTAGAACTGACACTGAAAATTTCATTGATAGGTATAGAATTCTATATATTTTTTAATTGTTTTTTTATTTGATTTTCTTTTAAATATACACATGTAGTCTATAGCCGGGCAAGCAAAAGCCCAGACCCGCTTCGCGGGCCCGGTCTTTGACTTCCCCGTATAAATAAAAAGTTGTTTTGTGGTATTTTAAGTTCTATGCAAAAAAACGAGCATTTTAGAATCTTTTTGAAGCAAAGTTCATGCTTAAAAATCCTAACCCTTATTCAGTAGTCATTACTCTATCCCAAGAAATAATTTGAGTGATTTTGCATAGGTGGCGCGATAGCTCAGTTGGTTAGACCACTGGCTGTCCCTCCTGAGTAAGGCTCCCACGCTTTAACGGACTCGTTTTGATTTTCATACGTATATGTGTACGATATATATTTTTTACCGTTTAATCGAAATGACTATATTGTCTTAAAAAATATCTTGATCATTGCCTGTAATGATGGATTTTATCAATTCTAATTGGTTTATTCCAAAGTCAAAAACGGTCCAGGTAATCCTTGCATGAATCTGTGCTATACACTGGACATGTAAAAGAACCAAGGGGTCTATTCAATAAGAGCTAGGGACTGGTTCCTAGATTCCCTTGTATCTCATAGCATTCTCTGAAGTGACTAGTCATGTCTACATCCCCCCGAGGGGTTTGACATTAATGGAAGGATTTAGATAGATAGAGATTGGTGTTCGGCTCGTTTATTGGTCACTGCCCCCCACTATCCAAATACCACAACCCTCCTACCTCTCCACAACCATGTTAACAGTAAACTGCAGTATTATTCATTTGAAATATGTTTCAATATTTGATATACAGTCAACTATCGTTATCTCGACATCGCTTTTCTCGATATTTCGTTATCTCGATGAAATTTTGAAAGTCCCGATTTCTTCCTTCTTTATCTATATTGGATATATTTGTTTATCTCGATATTTTTATTTCGATATTTTCAGTATCTCGATGTAAAATTTCATCCCCTAAAGTTATTTTCACACTACTATCCTTTGTTTATCTCGACAAATAGTTTTCCTCTTGTGAAAAACACAAACAAGACGATAATTGCTCAATAGCGCGTGTCATTATGATGATTATGTTTGTAACAAGTTGAACTGTTATTATAAAAGTTAATCTAATTAGCGTGTTGATTGACTTATGTCCAAAATGACCGAATTTTACGTTCTTTATAAATATTGGAACACAGTTTTAATTCATTATGACTTAACTGTAAATGAAATAGTGAAAGTATAGAAACGTTATCGTTACAATGTTGTTTTACAACATTAAAAAATTAAACAGCGGTCGAACAATCCCGATAACTAACCCGGGAGGATATCCGATCAACCACACTTAAAACAATGTTTTCACTATTTTGGTGTATTACATTACTGAGTAAACCTCACTATGTGTTTTTATCACAGACACCCGTATTTCCGCTGGTAAACATCCGCTAATATTCCTTTGTTAAATATTGACTTTGAGATACTAGGATTATAAAAAGAAGACATGGAGATATCATAATTTATTTGGCATAAGGTATGCACATGTCTTTTGTAAAAATCAGCTTCTGCCTTGTTCAAACCCTAATATGTTTATCTCGACATTTCGTTATCTCGATATTTTTTGGAGGTCCCGATGACTTCGAGATAACGAGAGTCGACTGTATAAATTTAATACTTTATATCCGATTTCTGTCGTGTATTGCACAAAAAATACCTAAAAAAAATGATACATATTTATCCTAGTTTCTCATTTTGTCTGGGTTTCTCGTATTTATATCGCGACATGCTTAAAACATATGAAATTGGTACTTCATAAGCTGTAAATGCGTCTGCTTTGTGTCGATGATATTTAATAATACGAGAAAATAGAATATATATTTAATAATATTTAGGAATGCAACTCCCCACTCATTTTTCAGTACTCATGAACTCCATAACTTCAACATTTTTTCATCAATTTTCAAAATCTTGGTACCAGATTGTAGGGAATTGATTTCTCTTAAAGGAAATAAAGCTGTCATCACAAACATTTCAAGTTATAAGAAGATTTGTAATCTCGAAGTCATGGCAAGTGTAAGTCGACAGCGACCTGACCACTGGGTATTTGTGAAAGTTACCCTACTGAACAGCAGTTTATTTGAAATGAATGAATGAATGTTTTTTTTTTATATTGCACATAAAAATATGATAAAATTATAAATATTATTTGCAATATTATAAACTGTTCAATCCAAACATCATTATATGAAAACCGTTTTTCTGATTTGTCAAATTCTGAAACCAAAATGAAAGTAATGGATGCAGCAGATTACTCCCCTTTATTTTCATATGAAATATTTTCATTGGTCATGTGAAAAACCTCAGACCAATGAAAATACTCCTTACAAAAATAAAGGGGAGAGCACTCTGCTGCACCTGTTACTTTCATTACGATTGGGAATTTGACAGCTATTGTTGAGTTTTAATGTTTATTTTAATATGATTTACATTACAGATTCAGCTTGGTTTAGGAGACTGTAGTAAACTGACAGAAGAAGAATGTCGCAGTCTTGGGTTTACACCAAATCTGATGTGCACATCTTGCAATCTTCTTGATAACTACAATCTTACACCAATTAAAGATAATTGTATGAGTTGTTGCCAAAATGATGCCAGTTCTGATGAAACTTTAAAGGTGAGCATTGCTTACATTTTAGGAATTATTGACAAAGTGCTTTCTGTGTTCTGACTGAAAGTGCTATTAAGTTTACTTGTGTGCAAGTAATTAAACTTACTTTGCATTTCTTAGTCCATGCTTAGTCATGGGCATTGAATTGTTTTGTTCTACTTTTATGAATGAAATTTAAATTTAAGTCTTGTTCCTTGCAAAAGAATATGCTTATGTAGCTGGAGTGGTCTCCTCTCTCCCATATAAAATTACAGTGTTGCAGATCTCTACTGAAACCATATATTGCTTTATTTGTGTTTATCTGCATATCCTCGTGTTGTATTTATAATACCTTGAGGAGAAATAAAGTTTTCTGTCTGTCTGTCTGTTTGTGTAAGGAAATGTACTGTACTGAAACTGTATCACATTGTTACGTTTTTCTTGCCTCTAACTGCTGTAGACTCGAATCCCACTAGGGACTTTAAATCTTTAATGTGAGGAAGCTATCCAGCTAGCTTACACAACATTAGTGGTTTCACTCAGGTGCCTGCTTGTTCCTGAAATAATGCACAGAGGTGCGTCTGAGGTCTTCATCCACAATGACCAGTAAAGCTGGAAAGTGGCCATATGACCTCAACTAAGTGTTGGTGTAATGTAAAAAAAAAACAATGTGCAATAGGGACTTATGGACTTCAAATATTTAATGTGAGAAGAAGCTATCCAGCTAGCTCACAGAACATTGATGGTTTCACTCAGGTGCTTGCTCATGCCTAGGGGCGTCTGAGTTCTTTATCCTTGACCACCAGTAAAGCTGGAAAAAGTCTATATCATGTATGACCTCAACAGTGTGTTGGTGTAATAACTAAAACATAACTAATGTGTGTGCATAAAAAAGTTGTTTGGTTTTATAGTAAGCTCAACTTAGTTTATGCCAAATAATATAAAAATGAAGTTTTTAAAGTAAATTGTAAAGTCATTTTATATTGTTTCTTGTAATTTACTTTTCTAGCATCTTTAAAATTAATGTTTTTGTATTATAGAATGAATGAATATTTTACAGGTTTATCCATATGCTGAACTACGCGTGTGTGGATGAAAATTGGGGAGATATCCTCAGGTGCAGGGTAAGTATTAAATTACCTGTAAAACTTGACAAACATTATACTCTATAAGGCTAAAGGGGGAGCATCAGATCAGTTATCAAAGGATAGGTTGTTGGATCCTCGGACGAGACATAATTTCTACATTTCAATTGATCTCAAACATAGAGTCTAGTCATCATAAATGGCCATTTTTCTCTCAGCTGGTTAAAAAAACATGTGGGATTTAGTAGTTGGTCACTTGTTCAGATATTTGTTATTGCCGCTTAGTTATTCAGAAAAGCCGGTTTGGCGCATCAATCACTGAGATATGAACAAACAAAATGTGTTAAAATCGGCGCAAATAAACAAACAAACAACATGTATAATGAAATATGGCATTGGCTTGAATTCTATGTCTAACTAATATTTATACATTAATATTTAATTTTGAACATGTAAAAAAAAAACAAAACAAGATCATATTTAAAACATAAAGAACTAGATACATATTTTTATCATGTGCTTACATGAACTACTAAAGGTGGTAGAGATTCATGTACGAGTAACTGTCCTTGTTTGGGTAAAATTAAAGCAATTTTTATTTCTAATGGAGTAAATGGACATTTCTTAAAAAAATAACATATGACTTAAAACAAGTTTTTTTTTGGCTTTAACATTCACTATGAATGAAAATAAAGGTTGTTTATAAATAGATATAACTAAATGGGATTAAAATATCTATAAGTTATTGTAAAAAAGGAAATTTTTACTTGCAGCATTCGTGAAAAGCGAAAAGCCTAACCAGTTTCCGGGTCTCGAGGTCAAGTATGTCCGCGGTGCAGATCCAGAAATACACCTGATGGATGAAGATAGAAATGTACGGGAAACATTAGGCATAGAAAAATGGAACACAGATTCCGTAGAATCATTTTTTCATGAACGTTTGAAAAAGTAGTGTTTGCGTGAAATTTGCATGAGTGTATTTAATTGGTAAATTGTGTGAATGAAACTGAATGATTTAAGATTGTTAAATGGACCTTTCTAGTTTTAACAGTTTTATGCAAATTTAACTGACTGGCCATCAAATTGCTACATTGGGATAATAGAATTCAATTCAATTCAAATAGTTTATTTGCGTCTCATCACATGTACAACACATATATCACAATCAAAATGAATAAAACTGGTAAAAGTATGCCATTCAATATAGAATTATATGAGACGTGTAAGCAAAGCTTACACCTATAGGTAAATATAAGAAAAGATCATATTTACATACTTATGATTATATACTATACACACTTATAATAAATGAATTGGGAATGCTGTGAATCGATAATACATAGTCACTGGTTGGGATAATACATAGTCACTGGTTGACCGGGTTTACTCATAGTTTTGCTTGAGATACTGTTTGTGAGCATTTGAACTGTCATTGAGCTAGATTTTTCTGTCACTGATAAAAACTGGAAAGGTCCATCAGGTTGTCTGTTTAATTTTACTTGATTTGACTTGGTGAATTATATAAAGATGAACTTACATGTATTATGTGTTAAATATTGTTCACTTAACAGAATTATTTCAGATACTTACAGTGAAATTGTTTAGACTCTATTTTGAAGTCCCCTTTGGTATCCTTATTATTGAATTTATTTTTTCTTCTAAACACATGTTTAATGACTTTTGACAAATGAAATCAGACTTTTTATATAAATACAATGCCTTACCTACTACCTTCTATCATTAACAGTTATATATTATATGTACATAAATAGTTTTACTGTGATTTTAATTATGTTTCAAAGAGTACATTACAAAGTTTTAATTGGCTACTTAATTTTGTAGAAATAATTTTACAGGACTTTAATGTTTATTTAGAAAACTGAAGAAAACTGCAATTATCATAGTTACTTGAACCATATACCAATTTGCATGCGTTTATATAATGTACAATCATCATAAAGTTAAAACCCATGGTGCTTATCATATTATAATTATAAGCCATTGCTTATATACTTTTTACCAGTTATACATAAAATTCATAGAATACAACATGACTGTATGTTAATCAATGTAATAATAGCATTTACTGCATGATTAGGAATTGTTACTATGTTCTAACAAACACTTTTAATGAGGATTTGAAAACTGACAGCCTCAACATTTTTAAGTAGAAACATCCGTCGATGTCGCCCAAGCCAGTTTTATATCCTCAAAACTTGTTCAATATACTAAAATAACTATAACTACTACTAATCAGTGAATTTAAATTGATATTACTGATGTTAAAAGAACTTTTTTCACAGTCTTGCATATAAGTATTTAAAGATTTTGATATATACTTTGAATTTAAATAGAACAGTTTCAAAAATGTTACTAAAATATATTCTCCAGTATATATGATTTTTTGTTGTACCAGCATTATTTTTTTGATATTTTCTCATGATTATTGAGGTGTTCATGTCTTAAACCATTAGTAATTCAAACAAATATTTAATATTCTTAATATGACTGTGCAATTATTGTTCTCTGGTAAAGCTTTAAGTATTTGAATTGTAATTTAGAAACAGTAATGGTTTATTGTTTTGAAAAATATTTTTGGACATCAACAGTATTGATACTGATCAGATTTTTGTATTAAATTACATTTTTATACTAAAATTGTTTAAACAGCTTACATATTTCTGCCTGGGACATGTTAATTAGATAGTTAGTTATGTCTACTTACTAAGGTTTTCCAGTAGTATTTATACAACAACTTTGTATGTGCTTGCAAATTCCAATTTTAAAGATAATTAAACCTTTTTAATATTTTACAAAATTATCTGATATTTTACATTTTATTTTCCAGTTACTTTGGTCTTAAACGATTTTGAAAATTTTGGGCAAAAATTTTTCATTAATTCGTTTTGAATATAATGGCAAAAAACAAATTGACCTGTATTTTTCTTTATTTTGTATTTTGAACAAAACTAAAAACAAAATACCTTTTAAATTTAAAAAAAATTAAAATTTACATGAAAAAAACATGAAAATTAAAATTTTTTTAATTTTTTCCTTGGAGAGAATCAAATCGATAAGTTGCACAAATCAGGTAACAAATGAACTTTTAAAAAAGAGAGAAGTTTTTTTTAAAAAATTTTAAAAAAATAATTTTTCCCTTACCTGTGGGTTTGAAAATTTTTTCCTTGAAAAATTTGGAATCAATCCATAAATCTTGTTAAAACCAGTTATGGGAAAAAGGCAAAACGGATATTTCATATTTTAATTTTAATTGAAAGTAATTCTTTTGAAAAAATTTTTTTAAATAAAAAGACTGCAAAAAAATTTTTTTAAAGAAAAAAATAAGGTTTTGAATTTAAAAATTAAAAACAAAAAAACCAGAGAACATTTTTTTAAATCTAGCTTTAAAGACATAACTTTTGAGTTTTTGACCAACTTTAAAACTATAAAAGCCCGTAACGTCTTATATGTTACTAGGCTTTTTGTTTTCTGTGAATTCCGTTTATTTTACAAAAAGTCATTTGTTTTAAAAAAAAACCCAACAAAAAGGGGAAAATTTACGTTTTTTTTTGTTTATCTGGGAAAAATTATCTTTTTGTCCTATATAATTCCCTTTTTTTAATTGATATTTTTAAATGTTTAAAGTTTGCCCAAAAATATTTACCTGTTTTTTATTTAATAATTTTTCATGAAGTTAAACTTAAAAATTGGTTTTTGTTTTTCAAAAGAATTTTGAATACTTTAAAAGATAAAATTTGGGTTTTTTGCTGTAAGTTCAGGAAAAAAAAAAAATTTGATTTTTTTTGTACAAGTGTGGGAAAAATTCCATTTTTCCCTTTTTAAAACATTTTTTTTTTAAAAAATTTTTTCTTGAAACCAATTTTCAGTTGTTTTTTTGTTTTTTTAACTTAAACTAACTATTACCCCAAAAATTTCTTGTGCATCTTTTGGGAAAACCTATTGGTTGTTTAAAAAAATTTTAATAAAAGATTTTCCATTTTCAAAAAAACATCAATGGGCGTTAAAAATTTGAATCAGCCAATTTGATTTTGAAAAATGGGAAATTTGTGAAAATATTTTATATTGAATTTTCCTAAATTTTATTAATAAATTTTTGATCGTCAAAAATTTAATCTTTATTTTTTCTTTCTTTTAGTAAAAAATGTTATCAAAATTAAATACCCTTAGTGCATTATTAAAATTTTCACAATGCGAAAAATACTTTTTAGTTTTTAATTTGGGAATCAATTTTTTTAAAATTACTCAAGCAATTTAAAAATTTTAAAAAGGAGATAAAAAATTTGTTAAAATTTTTACCCCGGGAGGAGAATTTTCTTTTACTTACAACAACTGTATTTTTGGGCTTTTAAGCTAAAAAATTTTTAACTTTGGGGCTTTTCTTGGGCCCCTTGTCCTGAAATAATGCGTATCTTTTATAATTGGGCCTTGGTTACTTAAAAAATAAACAAAAAAAGTTAAAAATTTTTTCCATGGTTCCTTTGGGGATTTTTTAATTATCTGCATTAATCTTTATTAATTTCTTTTCTTTAAAAATTTCCCCACAACAAATTTATTTTGAACTTACCATTACTTCCCCCTGTTTTTTTTTAAAAATTTGTGGTACTTTCGTCTATATAAACAAAGGGACAAAAATTATATTGGCTGTTCAGAAATTTTTTTTTTTATGGTGTTGACACTCTTCCAATTTAAAAAATATAATTTTTTAACTGGTTTTTTGGACTTCCAAATAAGACTTTGTAAAATAAAATTTTAATTGAATAAAGGAAAAATTTTTTAAATAACGTAGTTGGAAAAATTTTTTAAAATTGTTTTTGGTAAAATTTTAAAGGAAAAGTGGTGGGAGATTTAACTCCTGAATTTAAAAAATTTTGGAAAATGAAACTTTTTTAAAGTTCTAAAAAAAAATTCCCCAAAAAAGCAAAAATTTTTAAATGGGCAATTTTGGTTCATATAATCCGGTTGTAAAAATTTGCAAGGCCCAGAGGACATAGAGGCATGATATTGGAAATTTAGATTCACGGATTGTTAACATCATTCCTGTGTAATGAAAATATTTTACATAAACGTTGTTGAAATCATGGATCTACTCTTGTTGGTGGTGTCCAGATCAAGACAGTAAGCCATATTGAGTTTACCAGACCACAATTCAGCCACCACATTGTTCCCGATAACTTCTGTACATGCCAGAGCATAGGTACAGTGGGAATGACTGTTACTGAGAAAGGATTTCATGTTCAATCACAACTAAAATGACATGCACCTTTGTGAAAACTGAAATGCTTTACCTATTGAGCTAACTGGACGGTCTAAATTTGCCTCTGTTAAAGGTCCAAAGACTTATGCTATTGTATATAGTGAATCTAATGACGTAGTCAGACACTAGATCTTTATGGGCAAAACGGAACCTTGCATTCTAGTATTCAGCAATGTGTGAATTTAAATTATCTACCAGAAATAGAATTTGTTCAGGCCTATAGGGTCAATTATATTATTATTCTTAAAATTATACAACAAAAGCTCGACATTATGTAGGTATGTTCATGGCCATGTGGTTATTAACAAGTCAAGGTCATTGACTAAAAACCACTTGCCCCTCATTGCTGTGTGTTCCCATCTGGCAAGGAACTTGGATTCTTTTTTTGAGGAAGCTATCCAGCTAGCTTATGACACATTAGTGGTTCTACTTATGCGCCTGTTTGTTATGAAAATAATACACGTTTGTAATAAGGGTACTTTTCAGGTCTTCCTCCACTAAATTTTGGCAATAAAAGTGTTTGATTCTCATATATTGTACTCTCATAGTGTGATCACCCATATTTCATAATAAGGCCACCCATAATACACAAACGTACATAATGTTGCAACCTGATTGGATTTTCCATATTTTGTGGCAACCTTTGTCAATTCTCATAGTGTACACACATAATGTGGCAACCTGATTTAATAATCGTTCAATGTACACACATAATGTGGCAGATATACTTTTAAACTCTGATATACATTCATGTAGTATACACATAATAAGAACTACTTTATTATTTGTAGCGAGCACTAATAATATGGCAATTTGACTTAATTGTCATACATTGTGCACATAATGTGTCAACCTAATAATTGCATTCATAGATTTTTTGCACAAATAGTGTGGCAATACTGGCTAAATTCTCAAAAAGTATGTAATGAATGTGGTAAATCAGGAATTTCACAAATAGTGTGGCATCCAGACTGGGTTAATTATTATTAAGTGTGCACGAAATGTATGGCAACCAGACTAACTATATAGTGAGCACAAATAGTATGTGCCTTCCATACAAGGAATTTTGACAATTAGACAGTATCACAAAATACATTCATGTTTTTCTTTTAATAGAACAGTAATCAGTTAACAGTCATATGTAAGTGAAATTATTGTTGGAGTAAACTTCCTGGAATAACCAGTACTGATAATTTCTCAATCAGGAATCACTAAGGAACAATTGCAGAAACACACAAACCAAAGGAAGTCATTCAGTTATAGGTATTAGTGATAACTAAAACTTTATTCAATTATATATTTTATTTTCAAATAGTTCTACATTGAAACTAGAAATGTGTCGAA